TTCGTTGATTATAGATTTTTTTATTGAATTTTTAAATTTATTAAAATGATAATCATGTTGGATAATTGATGTATAGTATACCTAAATTGAGTTTTTCATTGGAATGGTATGATTTTAAGAACAAAAGGAGGTGTGAGCCCTATCTATACTTTCTAAAAATTAATAAAAAATGTTGAAATAAAATTTATCTTATTAAATAATTTAGTATAATATATTATATTATAATTCGGCTGACATATTTTCTAGAAAACAGCTATATTTTTCTACAGGATTTTCAATATGAGTGTAGAGTTGATTTTCATTAAGACTTTTTTATATATTTTGGTGACTGTTGAAAAAAGAATATGGTACTTCATTTTTTCTCGAAAACGTTCATTATCGTCTATTGATACTTGTGAATCAAAATACGGATCGTAAATAGCTCTTTTAAAATAACTTTGAGTGCAATCAGCAGTTATATTTATTCTATATATTTGTTTGTTTAAACTTTTTTTGGCATTGTTATTTTAATTTTTGATTGAGTTTAACTACTTTCCATATTTTCCTAGGGATAATTGAAGTTTCCATCCGCAGACTCCTAATTTTCTTGAAATATTTAAGCTACCGAGTAGTGAGTAATCACGATAATTTAATTTTTTCATAGCTGCCCTACTGCTAGTTATAAAACTCGACTTGTTAATAAAATATTATTTATATTTTATAATAATGATGAAAAACAAATTTAATTATATATTTTCACAATTTATTTACAGGTTTATATTACTTTAACCAATAAAGATCTTAAACAATATTAGTATAGTCTAAGAAATAAGAATGATTATCTTAATTTACCCTTCTCAACAACTGATTAGTGATTAGGTACTGATTTATAGACGATAGCTGTTATTCTAAATAGTTTAATTTTAATAAACATTGTTATAAATAAACGATTGAAAATTGATGTACGAAGAATACATTATAAATTAATATAAAGTACATATATACACCTGCTTTACATCTACCCACACACTCATAGAAATGTATTTACGAATAATTATACGTTTATACATGTATTTATACATATTATAAATTTACAAGCATAACGAGTTAAAAATAGAGATTATATAATTATATCGATAACTAATACTGGGTATTTTTGTTAGTGGTTTAATAATTAGCTCTCAAAACATTTTTTCAGCATAATTAATTTTTGTAATACTAAAAATGGTAATTCCATCTGAGAAATGAAAAATACAAAAATAATTATTGAACATTTTGTTTTTGTCACCAAAAATTATAATAGGTATATGGGGCTATACGTCCTTATATCTATCCCCGTATCGTACATTTAGAGAGTATACCCTAAAATAAAAACTGCAGAAGTGAATAATATACGCCGTATATTACCCAATATACCACTGTCGATAATATTGTGTATTATGATCAATTTAAATTATTTTCTTCTCATTGTTACTGTATAATATCGATTAAAATTGTTTATTTTATTTTTCTAAAATAATGTTTACAATATTTTTTTTGAACACATAATCGTAATTTTGTTACCAAACTACGTAGGTATAACTAGTTGCGTTTGAGTGGACCTGCGTTCGAAGAAAGGCTTAATCACGGATCTTTCTTAGTATATACACAATATAATCAAAGTTACACCGTAATAGGACGATTTTCCAATAATTGAATTTCCTACTGCTCTAATTTTCTGATACTTATCTACTAAAATGATCGTATTGTCATTTAATCAATATTTGAAATAAATCTATTTCCAATAACAGTGTTTTGTCATGATAATATATGCGAGTATTGTAGAACTGGTCATTCGCGGTATTTTAGCGATGAAGTGAATTTTTTATGACAAGAAACTTTATTAATCGTGTTTGATGAGTAGAATAGTGTTCTAATATTTTCCGGAGATTAGTCCGCTCATCTAAAATGTAAATATTCATAATATGATTAAATCGATTCTTGATTTGATATTCGATTATTTGATATTAAAATTCTCAGAGGTTTATCTATAGCCATTAAAATAGCGTAAAATTGGAAAAACAGTAAATTTGATTAATTTCATCAATGATATCAAATTTACTAATTCATTCATGTTACATTTTGCTAATGACCAAAAATTATTTTGTTTTATAAAGACCCCTAATGAAGTTAAGTTACTTGATATTTCGTAATGAGGTCATTATCATTTATTAATGACTTAAACGATGGACTTCCAAGTTTGCATTGATATAAGCAATAACTATAATTTTATGAAATAAATCAGAAAATTGTACATTTCTTTCTACTAGGTATTATGATATTATATTGTTGTTAGGCTTTTTTTTCACAACTATGTATAAATAAATAAATAAAAAAATATAATTTTTTTTCGAAAGTATTGTGTTGACCTGCATGTAGGTAAGTTTTTTTTTTTTTGGTTCATGAAAAGATTTTTTTTCCAAAAGTATGTTTTGTGAAATATTGATAAAAGATCATCATGTAATTTTTATATTAAATAGTATATTCTAAAATTAACAGTAATATCTATTAACTACTAAGGTATTATCAAACACTTGTAAAATTACATTTTATCAGTTTTATTTTAAAATTTGCTCACCGCTTGCAATACATTAATTGTTAATGAGTAATGACATAACATTAATATATTATATAATATTTAATATATATATAATAAATTTATATTATAAGTAATATTAAATACACCTATACAATATTGATAATTATTTAGTCTCTCATGGCATCACTTGTACTCTATGCTGTATTATTAGTTCGTTGAAACACATTTATTTTATGAACCATTATTCCGTTCAATTCATTCGTATTATTGTTACGTGATCTTCTATGCACACATGTTATCGTCGTTATGTATGAATAGTGTACGCACATTTGGCACCGACCGTGTAATAGTGTTCAGCCTATCTAATCATAGCTACGCTTTATCCTATTTCTGTTCACTGAAATATAGTACTATGGACTACGGACCTTACGGGACATAATTACACGAACGATAACTATAATTATTTTTTTAGTTTGTGAATTTCATAATTATGACAGGAGAGTTTTTTCTATAACACTTTTAGTGGTATATATTTTACAAGGGAAACCTTTTAAATGTAAACAATTAATTTTTCTCAAAAACTAATAAATTAATAGTTTAAAATACTTAGCTATCCTTTTAAAATGGACAAAAAAAAAAAATTTAAACTTTCAAGTTTAATATGCGTTTTAATTTGTATGTGATCGTGGATTTCATAATGATGGGTATATTTAAATTAGTGAAAAAATTATTCAGGGAATACTTGTAATTTGGAATTATCCTATAATTTCTAAATTAATTTAATAATCAATGTGCAGGGAATCTTTATTTTTGAGATATTATTATAGAAATATGGTTTAACATTTTAGAAGTCAATAATGTTATGAATTAATAATTCAAATATATAGAAAGATTTGACTTTTGTCATTTAAAATTTAAAATAAGAAATGAATAATACACGTAAGTGATCGCTGTTATAAATTTTTCAAAATTTGATAATGATTAATGACGGAATATCTTTTAACAAAGAATTTTATTGAAAAATTTCGCTCTAATTTAAAAATGTTTTGTATAACAGAAGTTGAGATTATTATCAGATTATTTGGAGGAGTTGAAGTAAATACATAATATGCAAAATATATTTTTTGTCCTGAAAGAATATAATAAACGTATTGCAGCTTTAGTTTTTGTAGTAATTCTACATATTATTATGCTTATACGAGTAGTATTGTACTTTTTAGTTTACTAGATAAATGTTATATTTTTTATAAATCATTCAGTATAGTACTATACCAATGTAATGTAATTTAATTATTGTTAATAATGAATAAACATTAAACATCTTATTTACATGGTTATGCTAAAAACCCATTTAGTATTTATCTACATTTACTCTTTCTTGAAAGAAGATACAGTGCTCAGTATATTATGTATGGGTAATGGGTATATAGTTAAGACAGTGCTATATTCAAACTGGAAAAGTCAGCATTTATCTAAAAAAATAAATACGTTTTAGATTTTCAATACAGAATATTGTAAACACATTCAATTTTATTTTATTTATAATCTTAGTAAATAATATTTTAATCATAAATTAAAATTGTTTAAGACCATAAATCGTAGATAATTTTAAAGACTATTATCGATATGACAAAAATATCTTATTTTATTAATTTTATTTAAGTGTCAAAAAGCTTATACATAGTAAAATACTAAAAAAGTAGTTAGAACGTTTAACATTAAAATAAATTATAAGCAAAAGAATTTTAAATAAATATATATATAACTGTATTATGGCGGGAAAATGGTAGCCATGTTATCCGGTTACGATCTTTCTAACTATTAGATACTCTGTTTTTTTTTTTTTAATGATGATAATAATTAATTTCAGTAAATATTTACAATAATGTTAACAGATAATCATGAGGAATAGTCATAAATTTTAATTTACTAAAGAGTCTTAAGAGTCACTTAAAACTAAAATTGTTATATATCATAATAATGCCAAAAGGGATAAAATTTAAATATAATCTTATTTTACGCAAATTGAGTGTAAATGATACACAATTTGAGTAATGGGATAAAAATTACATAATCCTCTATTTACACTAGTTTAAATCTGAATATTTTCTTTATTTAAGGAACCTGTTATACTATATCATGTAATCCTACATAATTATTGAATAGGTATTGATTAAATAATATAGTTTTATAAATATTTAAAAATAAAATTGTGCCACCATGATAATAACATTGTTTATTGTCAATAATACATTTCACCTACCCCATTTTATCTAGAATCCTTTTTTAAACTATTATGCTTTTGTTCTTATTATTATTACTATTATAATTTTAGTTGCCATGTAAATCATAAAACACCGGAAAAGAGAAAAAAAAAATATGAACTATTTCATAGAGAAAAATATATTAACAATAACAGTAAATAACAATCGTTTAAGATACGATGCGAATTGCACTGATTTTATTATTGATAATTGAAATAGCGAAATTTGAAGTTAACGTGACCAAACACAATATTTATAGAGGTCTTATATACAACGGCCGAAGTTATAGTGAAGATGATTATCCGTTCGTAATTTCTATTAAAATAAAGTACCCTAACCATACTAAGAAGACTTGCTCAGGTTCGCTTTTAAAAAAATTGTTCGTTTTGACTTCTGTTCACTGTGTTTACGGTATTGACATAGATTATATTGAAGTAAATATCTAAGCATACCTACATAAATAAACTACATAGTATTATATAATTTACGAAACTAATTTGAAGTATGTTTTTATTGATATCACTATGTTTAATACAGGTATATCAGGGTACATGGTTACAAAATAATATTTCACGAAACTTAGTTGAAATGTACATACACGAAGACTATAACCCAGATAATAAGCATACATTTATAAGTGGAGATATTAGTGTATTAAAAGTAAGCACTAAATATTTAAGATTATAATACTGCAGTATGCTTGTATGAGTGTATGACTGGCATCTATGTTACACGGGAGACCTGCACTCGTGTAGTATTAACTAATTATTTATTATTAAAAAGCCTAATTTAAATCACTTAATTAATTTCATATTTTGATAACGAAAAAATATAAAAATCTTAAACAATATTCCTAAATGAGTGTATTAAAATATTATTAGAATAATATTTAGGATCTAGAATTTGATATTTTAACTCTGAAGCAAATTATAGACGTTTTAAAAAGTGAATCGTAGTGTATGTTATTTTAATATTAGTAATTAGACATTTCTATGGAAATTAATTAAAAACTATATTATAAAAATTCGGTAGAGTGATAATTTTGAAATACTAATTGTTGTACATATTTGTTCAAACAAAAAACAATATTATGTAATTATTAATGTGTTAACTATAACAGTGTTAATATAGGGACCACAAAATATTGTTCCTAAAAACCTGCTCCCGGGTCCATCTACGTACATAATAATTTTAGAGCTATCGCCCTTTTCATCACCACCTTCATCGGAGATACTCTTATTGAGAACCACTATTCTATAATGAGATAAATTTATTTAATTTTACATGCTTTGTATTTAAATATAAATATATCATAAATGTGCTTTATATTTATTAAAATAAAAAATATTTAAATTTAATTTTTCATATTATATTTTATTTATAATAAACTACGTAATAATAATGTTCATAAAAAAAAAAAAATGTTCTATATATGTATGTACGTTATAATGTATTATTTTTATTATATTTATATTTAGATAAATAAACCGTTTCCAAAAATAAAGAAATATATAAAAATAGGTGGCACTCATCGTGATTTTACTAATGGAAAAATTCTCAATTGTACAGTAATTGGGTTTGGTTTAATCAATGAAAATACTATGGGTACAAAAGGATTTATGAGCAATATTATGGTCAAACATGGTAAAAAAGCATGTCGAGGATCTGAAAGGTAATAAACAAAAATTATTCTATCAAGATCTATATGATTCACGTGTTGAAATAGTAATCCTATAAAAAACACATGGCAACAATATTTGTGTATGATACCAGGCGAGAATACGACTTGTGATGGAGATAACGGTGGTCCGATGATTTGCAATGGCTTGCTATATGGTATATGCAGTTTTGCAATAAATTATAATGGAGAGATGGAAAACATATGTGGCAGTGAAAATCTTCAAACTGTCCACGTGTTTCTTTACTATTATAGAAAATGGATAAATAATATTATAAAATCGGACATACCGACCACAGTTAGTATACCGGACACAGCGACGATTATACCGGATACTACGGATTTACCCGACACGTTGAAAACTCCGAAGTATACGACTAAAAAACCATTAAAACCGAAAAAAAATGTTGGCAAATCGATTACACCACATATATTGTATACGATTTTAACATTGTTATTTTATCATGTATTGTCCTTTAATTGAAATTAAAAACAAATTAAAAATATATTTTTTTTTTTTTGTGGAAAATCGAATTAAAGTTCATATTATTAAGTATATCTAATATTCGAATAGTCAAAGGTCTATCTAATTATTAATTTTAATATCAAATATCATTTTTTTTTTTTTATTCTAATTAAATAAAAAGCAATTTATTATTATTGTATCTTAGTAAATTTAGCGATAGTTTTAGGTAATATATACATTCTAAACGTTTTATAAAAACTGTTGATTGAAAGTTTTAACGGGATTGTTAGATTTATAGTTGTTATTGTCTTTCAACAGAAAACAATTTTTCAATCGTAAAAACTTTTAAAAACTGTAAAAACTAAAAAAAAAAATATAAAACAGAATAAGAACTTAGAATTAAGACTTGGAATCTATAGCATTGACTAATTATTAAAAAATTCAGAGATAGCTATAGAATGATAGTACTAAATAAAATATAAAAACAGTTTAAAAAAAAATTCACTGAATACTGGCTCAATGTAATTAGTTTAGAATTAATAACTGGTTATCATTACTGTGTTTATTAATATATATTATAATTTAATTAATATCATATTATCAATTATTATGATCAAAAAAATGCTATACATAATACAGTATGTAATAAGTCTTAAATAAAAAATGTATTACATAAATCAAATCAAATTAACTTGAATATATTTTCACAGTTCATAAATGTTATGGGAATTATCAAATTAAGTGTATTATTAGTTTATTTAAGTTGATAATTTAAATAAAAATGTATTATATCAAATAAGTAATACTTTAATAAATTATAAATAAATATTAATGAATAAAAAAACTTTTTGTTACCAGTTTCTATATTTTTAAGACTATTTTGAGTCCCATAAAGTCTGAGTGTAGCTCAAACATGTAAGAACATCACTATAATTTTGTTGCATTATTATTAGTTATTTTCTAAGTTATCCCAACAATAGTTTCCTTAACTTTGGTAACATATAAATCTATAATTATTGGATTGTCTCTAAAAAAATATTACTTGTCAAAACTAATTTTTCATTTACAAACCATCAAAAGCAATGTTCAAGGTTTTCCATTATTAACAATCAGTTAACCGATTAAATGCCTAGCCATAATTTATCTATGGTTGAGGAAAAGTGTTTATTAATAGTACATAATAATTGCTAGTGTATGTATAAAAAAAAAAAAAACAATAGTATCGAGTTTTTACAGTAAAAATAAAAATTATCCCATTTATACGCATTCAATAATAATAAGAAAATAATTATTCCTTAAAAACTCATGATTAAATCAAGTATTAACTAATCTGGAAGACTTGTTGTATTTTATTTTAGTATTTATTTATTTTTTATTTGCATGCCAGAAAATATTTGAAAATTACGATGCGTGTAATACTAAAAGTTCTAAGAGTATAAACTACAAGTATGAAACTATGGTTCGTTATACACCAAATGAAAATGAAAAAAAAAAAGATACAATATATTATTGAATTATAATATAAATTATAAACATTCAACAATAATTTAAAAAGAAAAAAACAATCATACCTTAATATACCTCATTAAACTTAATTATACCTTTAATATGGGCATAAAGCTATGTATACGAGTGTATATATAAATATGTTGGTGTTTGATTCGTTGAGAGTGGAATTTTTGACAATCTTGTTAGTTAGTTAATATTTTAAGTCTGTATTTTTTAAATAAGAAATGTAATAATAATTATCATATTACATAAATCACGTTCATCGTTTGAGTTATAATGGAATTTAATTAATAAAATTAATCTAATAAAATTCTTAGAAAATGACGTACTATTTATTGAACAATAGTTGCATACATCTTAGAATTTCAAATTACACACTTATAAATAATATATTCAGTTCATATTCTATAATTTTTGCTATTATATGATTATTTATCAAGCGCATGTTCACTCTCATAATTTTCCTTAACAGTTAATAGATTTTTGGAATTTTTAGGGTTTTTCTAGCATTTAAGAAGTTTTTTGTGGCGATATCAACTTTTTTTTCAAATTTGAATAACTTAAACATTCTACTGAATCTAATCTGAATTTTAAAAGAGGGTACTAAAACTAATAGTTCTTTGATAAAAAGTTTAGAAGATAAAGTAATTATTATGATTTAAAATTTATTATGATTATTATTATTTATTATTACTATTTTATAATTATTTAAGTATAATAAGTACTTTCTATCTACTAGATTAAATATTACATATAATTTACATTTTTGTAAAAAAAAAAAAACAATTTTAATTTTTAAGGAAAATTATTCATAGTATCTATAGGTAATAGTTATAATAATAATAAAATATCGTTAAAAATTCGGCGTGCAAAAGTATACATGTTTCATATAAAATAAAAAACAAAATAAAAATATAGACATGACATTTGTATATAATAATTCACACAGGTACATTATGATATTATTTTTAATTAAGTTTTAGAGTAATAAATAATTTCTAATAATGTACTATTGTATAGTAATAATAGTAATATTCATATTTTTACCACCCTGATGGTATAAAATATGATAGTCCTGTAAAAGTATAAGGAAAATCGAGGATGCAATTCAAATGGATTTAATAACTTAAAACTACTATTGCTCGAATTTTGATTTAAGTATATAAATATGTTTAATAAAGTCATTTGATTTTTTGTTAAAAAAGTGTTTGTATTGTTTGTAATGTTTAACTTTTTAATTAGTTAATGCACACTTTTATACTTGAGTTGATATATTATTAAAAACTACTCTATTTATAAATGGTTTGATTTATTTATGTATAAGTAACCTATGTGTAAAATTGTATTACATTTTAATAATAAGATTCAATGCTCTGCTTTAAATATAGTGGTTTATTTTTGTTGTTGTTTAACGCCAGCTTTTAAACCATTAAAATTATTAAATTTTTTTTTTATATATTTTTTGATTTGTATTAATACAATGTTTTTTTTTTTTTTGTCAAAAAGCTTGAACAATATCCTGTTACATATTTTGTACTTACAGCTATTAAAAACGCTGCAACTCGTTTGTGCATTTTCAAAATTTTTTACCTGAGAATCGACGACTTGCTTGCGCTTAACGAAATCTGTCGTTTACCTGAAAACGGATCACTCTTTTGCGCACAACGATATTCACACACATGAATAAATCGTTACAGACTGCAATACACATTATTAAATATTTGATAGCAATATAATCTTATAATCGATTGTGTAAATTATTTTGGATTTTCCGTACCTAACTACTTTTGGTACAGTTTTAGTGGTTATGGTTCAGTTTAGTGGTGACTAGTGTTTACGGCACAAATTTTTTAATATGGACGTAGAAATTTTTAATATTTTTGAAACAAGGCGTGTAAACGAGAAGGAAAATGTGTGCGCAAACGAGATCTATAATATTAGAGATTTTCGTCACAGGTAGCCAAAATGTATGTGTTCAAACGAGTTAAAGCCACTAAAAAATATAAAAACAAATAGCCACAGGTAATTTTTTTAAATTATATGATATTAAAATGTTGGTACTTCTGATATTTATACGAAAAATAACGATTTTTCATTATCTTAATGATTATACTGATCATAGCATTATCACTTAAATTTTGCTATACTCAATGACTTTTAAAAATAGTTATATAAATTTTGAGCTGTGTATACCGTGTAATATTCTGTGATAATTTAACAGTATTAATTTACACATAAATTAGTAATAATAATATTTACATAGGTATGTTAATATTTTACAAATTATTATAACACGATAATATTATATTGCACTGTTGTACCTAATGTTTATTATGTTCATTGTCCGTATAATATAATATTTTTGAAAAAAATAGTTAAATAGAAAATTAAATAACAAAAAAATATAAATAAAATATAAAATGCACTTGAAAATAAAGCCTATACAGTGTCTCCGCTCAGAACATTTTTTGGTAAGTACCTATTATTACTATTTAATAATAAATTTGACGATGTTTTTACACTAAAAATAGTAAGAAACCTATTATATCGGAATATTTAGTACTTTTGATGTATTTTATTTAATTATTGAATTAGTTAAATTTCAATGTAAAAATTAATTCTAACAATGATATATTATACTTTATATCTTAAATTACCTAAACGTGATTAAACCTTATAAATATTAATTATTTCATCACTGCAGATATATATATATATATATATATATATATATATATATATAGGTATATTTAAAGTTGTTTGTGAAGTGGGGTAGGGTCAAACATTTATCTTAATTATTTATTGCTAAAAACTTTATAAAACAATAAAAATCAATACACCTAATTATATACACAAAAATAAATATTATCAATGCAATTATTGAATTTCGATATTTCATGACTTTGCCATTGTACCACATGGTTTGCATTTTTTGGTTTTTATTCTTAGAGGCACGATATATATAAATGTGTGCGTGTGTGTATTTTTTATTCTTGTGTCTGAAAATCTTTTTATAGCAGAAAAAATGCACCGATTTTTAATATATTTTCTGATGAGAAATTCAGTCAAGTTGGTATTTTGAGGAGTCAAAAGAAAAAAAATTCGCAGTACTTACTTTGTAATAATCAAAAAAAAAAAAAAAAATAATAGAAATTTTTATGCAAAATCAATTTTCAACAAACCGATTTTTTTTTATTGTTGGAACACAAAAACTTATAACAGTAGTTACTTTTCATTTCACCATAAGTTAATATTTATATATTTTTTTAGTTTTTTTCTACGTTAATCAAAAAATATATACTGTGTAATAAAAAAAAAAAAAAAATTGAATGCCATAAGGTTCCTCAATATAATAAATATGTATTTCGCTACTAGGTATGTGTTCAGACTCCTCTTTCTGTTAACTGATGTTAAAAATATTCCTTAGATTTGAATAGACATTGCATACATAAAAATACTCCTTTTTATAAATATTAAAATATAACCACTAGTATATCATTTGTGTTTAGTTGACAAAAATGTCATCATTAGATATTTTTATCCAAGTTATATTATGTTTCTTAAATTCAATAAAGTTGGTTTTTTTATGTACATTGTGCAAATACCACTTTATTTTCCATTTCTTACTTCCACTCTCTTTATACTTCAAGTAGCTAATGTGGTAGGTACATTAAATTAAAGGAATTGTCATGTTCAGCAAAAACATGTACATTTTTAGCACTGTGTACTTGAGATGAGAAGAGGTAACGTACGATAAGTTGCACATGACTGTCCGGGTGGTGAATTAATTCTAAATAAATACAAAAGTGTAATGTATTAGAAATCAAACAGATAGCGCCACGGTGATATTATTTTATCACTCAGTTTTCTAAGGGCAGCTGAGTTGGATCAATCGTATATTATATTAATATGCTCTATAGACTATGGATATAGCTAAATATTTTTTTGTTATCTTTAAATAATCCTGAAAACTTTACCAAAACTGATTGGATGGAAATACGACAAAATAATAATAATTATTATTAGATTAACTCTTAAAATATTATAATTTATCAGTGTTTATTAATGAAGTAGTAGAATATATTTATGAAAAGTACATTAAATATAATTTTATAAATAATTAAATAAGTATAAAATAACATTACGAATGAAAACATTAATTTTGAGTTTTGACTTCCGAGATTTCTTATTCTAATGATTCTGAATACCATTAAATAGTACGTTATTTTAAAAGCTCAAATGTTGAATATTTAAATGTAGCCCATTATAGAACTAAAAATATTTTTTGAAACGACTAAATAAATGTTTTATGTGTGTATATTTGAAGCACAAAATGCTCAAAATATTATTGTAAGTAATAATTTATAATATATGAGTTTGCAAAATATTTATGAAATGGTGATATACGGTAAAATACTTAAGTATATAGAATAAAATAAATAACGTTATTTTTATTACCTAGAATGACATATTATTTCCGTTTAAAATTTTTAAATAAAATATATTTTTTTTTTTATTAAATATATATAAATTTACATATTCATAACTAAATATTAAATATTTTTGTATAATCGGGTTTACACTAATAAGTATATTATTTTATTTTACGGCTTCAATACGAAATGAAATCACGTGAGTTTTATAATTCTGAAAAATATTTTTATACAACGAATGAAGCACTCAATATAATAATATTGTGTTTTAAATGTATATCAAACAACTACCATGTGTAATGTATATATTTAGTAGTTAAGTTAGTTGCCAAGTTTTAAACTTATCAAATATTAATAATAGGCATAAAAATAGTATAACACAATAGTGGATTAACATCATTAAAATGTTTTCGAATAGTTCGAGTTTATTTAAAAACAAAAAAGAATTAATTAAAGAAGTTATTATTTTATAGATTCGGTACTTTAATATATTATTTTGTAATGAACACAGCTGCAACATTAACAAATTTATTCTGTTTGGAATTATTATGGTGGTAACTAATAAGTAATAACTATGATATACTAAACACAATAATGTATAAATACTTAATAATTTTGGGCTCATATGTAAAAAAAGGCACGAGTTGAATCAGTTTTTATCATTAAATATATTTTATGATATAACATAGCAATTTATTTTATTATTAGTAATACGATAGATTGAATTAATTTTTGCCAAAAACATCTTACATGTAAATATCAATTATAAAAATAAAACATAATAATATTTTTTAAAAGTTTCAATTACCCATAAATAATATTTTTAAATTAGGAAAAAATAAATAAGGTTGTTATTCTTTGTTTAAATATTTAATTTTGTCTACATTTTTGTTGTGTGTTTAATGCAGTAATTTTTAAATTGCGTGCTGCTAGATTTTATTTGAAAAATTAAATAATGACAAAAAAATGTAGAAAAAAAAATCACTGGTTTAACGAATATGTTCTCTATGATATTTTGACAAAATTGGATGATTAAACGAGAATAATGGTTTTAGTTATTTTGTTGTTATTTAGAAATATGATTCACAGGGACTTGAAATTTTTACGTATTTTATTGTACTTGAATATTGCAAGTTTTATGCAAGTATCTAATATTTATTGAATGAAAAGTTAATAACAATATGATATGCATATTTTAAAATACGTTAAATAAATAAAATATAATAAATTACATTTTTTTGACAATTAATTAAACCAACCGTTTTACTAATCTTAGTAAAGTAAATTACTAGAATAGGTAGCAGTATGAACGTATAGTGAAGTTACACAGATAATACTTAAAGGAATAAGGCTGACAGACCGTTTCCGTTCGGAATCGTTTTTTTTTTATGCAATGATTTATCTTTATATTTAATTTAATACATCCATTACATTACTACATAAACCTACTCAATGACAAGGTACACTCGAAACCTGCTGTACAATAGAAGCTACTTAAACACTTTTTTTTTTTCATATCCGAGTGCTATTATTTTACTTTTTAGTTACTCAAAGTTTGCTATTTATTTTAATTGTTATTTTTATTTTTTATTGAGCACAATAAATAAAATACATTAAAAAGGGTTAATAAGTATAAATTTATTTTTCAATTACGAATTATAAAATTTGTAAGAGGACCTATGTATAAGCATTTTTTTCATCTAATTTTATTTGATAAATGTTATCAACATTTTTTTTGATTTTATCTTATTTTGTTTTATACCATGCATTGTAAATTTTCACTAAAACATATTAGAATACTTACTACTAATAATAACGTGAAATAGATACATCAATTTGAAAATTGTATATAAAAGATTTAATTTTATAAATTATAATGTCGTAAAATTATTTATTTTTTTCAGTTACCTACTTTTTAATTTTAACGTTCTTTAAAATTTGCCCTCCTCGCTATTTACCTCATTAATTTTCTCAAAATAAGTCTCGTGTTATATGACTCATGATGGATTTCGATACCTAATTTTACGGTGTTATTGTTTCTATCAATAATATTTTATAATTAATGTTATTAAATTATATGATCTTAGAAAGTTATTAGAGTTTTACGCATCAAACTATATTGTAAAAAATGTTTTGGTTAATCAGAAAATACTACGATAAATATATTTTTGTTTTCATATTTCTTTAAAAACAAAAAATTCAATTCATATTATTATATTTAATAAAGTGATGTAAATATTTTAAAAGCTATTGAAGTTTTACTTTTTAATTTCCATCGCGTATTTAAATAGTTATGTAAGTTTTAAATTAAAGTTGTGTATGTGGATTACATTGTAAAAAAACTATAGCTTGTGAGATATTTGCTGTATTAGAGGTTAAATATGTTTAAATAAATGTATAAATGTTTTCATTTGTTGAACTAAAACAGTATAATATTATCACCATAGTTTAAAATACTATACTACCACAGTCATACACATTTCCATATTTTATGTTGTAGATAGACATGGTCCTCAAATAAGAGATATGCATATATCTTAGATATATAACAGAAATATTATGTATAATTGAGTTACATAAATTGTAAATTAAATATTGTATTTAGTTAAATTTTATTAATGTAATTTGCATATTATATTTATATACTTATTTGGATGTAACTTGTAATGAATATAGATATAAGACGATTATGCAATTTTTTTTTAATTTTTATTAATAAAATTAGAATGCGCGATATTATACAGCATCGTAATTGTCTTACAATAATTGGGGTGTATATATAAATATATATATTTAAAACATTTAAAATGTACAGACATACATCAAGATGAATGTTGTTAGACATTCGTCGTCTAATTATCAGTGTAAAGTTATTTTATTCGGCTGAATATAGTAAATTTGTACACTTTAAGAAGTAGAAAACAACTTTTAAATAAAAAAAATAAAAGTTGATTTAAAATGAATGCAATGTTCTAATGATAAAAATAAATCTTTGGCTTGTCCAAATAAATATTCTGTAAATAATAAGTTGTTTGTAACATATCTAAAAATATACTCGTAGATCCATAGACTATTATTCTGCAATAATCAATAGACAGTATCATGTTTATCAAATATTAATTTAAAAAAATATGTCTTCTTATAATACAATAGGTAATCAAATTTTAAGTACATCAATATTTATGATTTATTTCAAAAACTTACCTGTGTTATATAATTTGTATTTTTTAAATATATTTTTGTTTTAAATTAAAAAAACAATAATTGTTAAATAAAATAAAAATAATTTTTTGTTTTTAGATTTTTTTTATAATACTAGTACATTTTTTATATTTTTTATTTTATTATATTTTAATATATTACTTGAGACTGAATTGTAATTTATATCTGGTTAAATTATATTGAGTATTGAGTAACTAAAGTTTGTCTACGTGACTATGTCATTTCAATCTAAAAATGTTTTTATTTGCTTTTTTACGTTTTTCATAGTACCTTTATTGTTTACGCGAATATATATTAAAAAATACCATGGATAACGTTATAAATACTCTTATAATCACAGACACACGAATAATTATTTAGGAGAAACGATAGGATTTTTTTCTTAATTTTATATTGCTTTCGGTATTATTCATTATTGTTTGTTGTTGTTAAAAACATGTTCATATTTTATAATAACGATTTGGTGTTTAAAAATTAAAATATTCATACCTACTTCAACATAACTCATTAAGTTTTTAGTTTTAAATATTTTAATCAATATATCAGAGCTGCAAAAATCTTGCAGTAAAAAATAAAACTTATAAAGTACATTTTAACATCAAACCAAACCTTTTAATAATGTAAATACTTGATGTAAACAATTTTGATAGTTGATACCAATGGTCACAGTAGTCGAGGTTTTCGACTCAAATCATATCTTTTTAAATAAAAAAAAATATAATGAAATCGCTTTCATAATTATTACGTTAAATATTTAATTAAATTCTCTTACATTAGTAAAATACTATTTTTCTCCACTATTTGTTTCACATGCCTACACAAAATATTATTAAAATAAATCTTGACCATTTTTCTCCAATAAGGAATCAAGAATATTTTGTTTGTCATATTTAATTTAATACAAAATAAAATAAATAACAAGGTAATATTTTTTTTTACCATATATTATAATTTATACAAGTAGGTATAGTATCCCTTGATAATTCAGTATACTATAACAACATTGTATATTTTGGTAGGTTAGGTAAATATCTGTCATTTTTTTATTAAATTCATTTCAATATTTGGAGGAAAATAGACATAATTTTAATCCAAAAACAATTTTTGAAGTTAAATGGTACCTAATATATTTTTTTGTAGAGGAAAATGTATAGTGAAGGAAAATAATATCTCACTTTTGATGTCCCTGCTACGTTGTTTCGATTAAAAATATATATATATATATATATTATACGAACATTATTCATTTATATTTATCAAAAAACTAATTAGAAACTATCATTTTTCCTGGTAATTTAGATGTTACATTGCAATAGGTAATAATAATAGTGTAATAGTGTAATAGTGTAATAGTGCTATCGTGTACAAACGTAATAATAATCCGATATAAACTGTACCTACATAATTGTTGAGCATTGTACCATATATAATAAATTTATAACACATCACTGATGATTAACAATTTTATGTAGAACATTCGTATCTCTAACAAACATAGCCTTTGAACTTGATAATGGCCTACCTTATTTACTTGAAATATTTGACGCATGTATTTAATGTAATTCTGTTTGTAGAAAACTGTACTCGTTGTTAGTGTTTAGTAACAAAACCCATACCACGTTTTATTGTTATAATTTCGTTTTTATTCCTACGTTCGCAGTATTTTTTCTTTTATCGGGCAATCCATTTTCTATGATTTATATCGTATAAAAAATCATATTAATTTCGTTTACAGAATGTAATCGTTTTATATAAAAATAATTAAAAAACAGACAAATTTGGGAAAAATGAAATCTGAACATATCTATGGTCTGATCGTCTTGACACTATTCATCATATTGGATATAGCTTCGCCATGTAAGTACTCACTGATTATTATTAATTACCAATTAGACAAACTGTTAATACATGAAAATATAAAAATATATATCTCGTTAAATATGGTATGAATATGAACATCAATAAAATATTTATTTTTTTGAAAATGTAAGATGGTAATTTCTTTATTGATAAAAGCATTTATTAAATGTGTAAATTATTAATTTATAGTCCATTCATTTGTATGATAATGGGCTCCTTGATAATTTGTAATGAATATTTTTTACATTATTACTCACATAATATTATTATTATATATTATTAATGAATTTAAAATAATATTATTTATTGTTGTAATAAAATATTTAATATTGAAAAAATTCCATACATTCGTTTATTTTATTTATATTTTAACTAAAAAATGTTGAAATTCTCATAGTTATAAGTTATAAATACTTAAAAATAAATTCGTATAATTTTCAGATGTTAATATTGAATTCGAATTTTAAATGTTTTTTTTTTATATTAAAATGTTAGTTTTTGAAAGCCCTAACAAATTCACTAATTTAATGATTAAGATGGCAAATAAATTTAGATTGTTTAAAAAATAATTTTTATGCTCATTTTATTTATTTTGCTATTAAGGGTGGATATTAATCGTTATATAATGAAATCAAGTGGATTATAAAACAATATTATAATGACTGCTGAGTTATAAAAATAATATAAAGCCAAGACTTAACGCTTATAAATTATATCTACCTTGGCTTCGATTTTTTAACTTAATATTTAAAAACAATCTTGATAAATAAGTTGCTTTTAAAAACAAAACAAAATATTTTTAAATATACTGATTTCTTATGTTAAGAAATCAATTATTGTTTGATTTTGTAAAAAACTTATGGTGAATTAAGTAAAAATAAATGTAAAATAAAGAAACATTATTTTTATGTAGGTAAATAAAAACAAGTAAATACCTGGTTAATAATGTTATATTTAAAGTTTATGAGTGGAATGAAATGGCACAGAAGAAATCTGTAAAATGTTGGTTCACTATTGTGCCCATATAAACTTAAAATACTTTTAACTAATTAACTAATTACTAGTTCGAAATTTTATGTTTACTTAAACAAATTCTCTGTATTATATATAATTATATGTTTTCATTCAAAACGTTTTAAATGATATAGTGATAAGTAAAGTAAAATATATAACTTTTTTTTTATAAATCTTTGTTTTACGTTTAATTCAAATTATGTTAAAATAAATATTTTCAAAAACGTTAATATTTTTTAAGACATTAGATAATGAATGCTTACTGCGCTAATAATAGACAAGTTAATACATAATGTTGTAAAACGATTGAAACGTTTTGAAATAATTACATGAAGAAAATTGTTTATGCATATATAAGTTTCACTATAACTTTTGATTGATGCAATTTACTAAGTTAATAAAATTAAAAAAATTAGTTTCTGAAATTAATATACAAATATAGATATAAAAATTATGAGAATTTATGTTCAATACTTGTCCATACTTGTCTATTAGATTTTTATTTTCTATAAAATATTGATTAATTAAATTTTTCAATCCTATAAGATTAATATCATTATTTTTTTCTTAAATATTTATCACTCAATCAAAACCTTACGTTCATCTAATACAGAGACATCTGTAGTAGATTTATTTAGGTATTGGAAGGTGATTACTATAGACAATGGGGTTTCGCACTGAATTATATGGTTGCTTAAAATTTTTAAATATCAATAATAAATATAATATACGCATATTTTTATTTATAGTTTAAAACCGTTTAAAAGTTTTATTAAAAATGGAATAATGGAAATAAATTACTAAATTATTAAGTTTCAGTTTTTAGTATTAGTTAAATTAGTTAAGATTATATTTAAAATGAAAAAGAAATGACATTTAATAGTTGAATACCCATAATTCTTGACAAAGGCATCTACAATTTTTTCTATTTACATTAAGAAAATTCCTTATTTCCATGAGTAAGTTTTTATTTAACAGGAATATCAAATAGTTAAAAAAAAATTAAATTATACGCTCGAAAAAAAATGACAACAATATTAATTTATAAAATTAAAATCAAACATGAAAATATTATATAAGTTATCTTATCTAGATGTGCTTTCAAAAAGTTATGATCAAAAAATTCATCAATAAAATTTTGCATAACAATTACTGTACGTTATCTTAGAATTTAGTTTTTTAATAAATCCATAGCAATATTTTACTATAGTAACTATCAACATAATATACATCACATTAATTATTAGTAAAAAAATACCTAGTAATATTAGGATTACTTTTACAATTATGATTTTAAAACTTGTATATATTTTATAAATAGACAAATTGAAATTTTTACCTTTATAACTGTTCTCGGTATTTTGATCATTATCAATTTTTATTTATTATTGAAATTAAAGTCGAAGGAACCAAGATTATTTTTTAAGTTTAATTTGTAAATTTGTGTACCTTAGGTGGTGCATCAAAACTATCTACCAGTAGTAAATTAATTATACAATTTATTATTTTTGTTTACTTATTATAAAATAAATTGATAGTTTTATACATATATTTTTTACATTATTTTATTTATTTATTCATTTATTTTTTTGTATAAATAATAATTATTACTTATTATAATTACATTTTTCTTGTATTTAATGTGTAAAAATATAAAATTATATAAACTACAAGTCTGATGAAGTAACTAAGCGTGATTTGGAATTCGCTTGTGTATCAAAAGGAAGTTAACTTAACATTAAATGTTACTTTTACGATTTAAAACTGACAATATTTGTGATCATGTAATTTTTAATAATTTTAAAATTCGTTGAAGTTTATATTAATGGAAATACGTGGTTTATTAATGTCAAATTCTGTAGTAACATTATATTTTTATGTTGGTAGGTATTAACAAATAATTGGATGATCATATATTGTTCATCTCTGGGTTAAATTCTATAGTTATACAGTATGCATAACAATAATCCAATTTATTATTTTGCATAAAATCGTAAAAATAAAAATACCGATATATACAGATAACATATCCATGTTAAGTGAAATCCATACAATAGTTTTTAGAAAGCGATTATTAATCGTATTCATAATGTTAAGAATAATACTATTATTGTATGCTCTATATTTACACAAAGCACCATTATTATCATGATATTAAATCCCCACCGAGGCCAATCCGAGTTTTGAGTGCCAGACATTGTGATCACTGTCCCGATTTTAGATGCCGAATGGACTGATGAGTACATTAGTTTTACAATGACGTGTGATAATATTTATTTTTTCTCTTATTACAGAGGGGATGGCAAAATATCTCTACGCATTTCTTTCAGAGCCTGTTTAGATTGCAAATTGAGTATAAAGGACTTTGAACGATTCGGTTTTTGAATTTCTAACAGTATTAGGAGAACGTAATAAAATAATCGTTGAAGAAAATAAGTTCATCTAACTATTATATCGACCAGGTTTGGGTATTTAAATCTAGTTCTAAAGGCGGATTCGGGTTTTTGGTGGCTTTAGGGTGGAATATAGATATTTCGAGGACATTTTTTTGTTTATCTAATAAAATTTAATATTGTTTATAATACTTTCTATTTGTTATTTTTTTAATTATTCATTTCATAACAAAAAATCCTAGAACACTACTAATTATTTTTTTCCGATTTTCACGTATATTAAGTACGTTCAATTTGACATTTTAATATGTACCTATAATATAAAAATATCTATTATTTATTTGATAAGAATTTAATTAAAAAATAAAGTTATATATTAAATATATTTTTTAATATAATAATTTTTTTTTATTTTTATGCTAAATAGTTACAGAACTCGGGGCCTCTGGATTGCAGTCGACTTGCCCCCTCAATAAATCTAGCTCTATATAGTTCCACACATAACATGTTTTTTTATCATTGGTTCTGTTTTTTATAGAATTGTTGAAGGTACTATGATTACAAAATGTATGTCTTAGTTCAACGTCGTATACTCGTTTGTTAAATTCATTTTTTTGATTCGATTAACTATAATTGTTTGTTTGCATTTTAATTATTATTAACCGTGAATATACTTGTTCCAATAGTATTAGAAATATTGCATCACAGCTCAAAGAGTTCCTATTACTTAACTCTCGGCTTATTCTTATCATAAATTCTTTTTTCATGACTTACAAGCAAGTGATGTCATTGTGTATCGTATATTTTTCTACCACTACCATATTGCTGCCACAAAGTATACTTTGGACAAAACATTTATTTGTTAAACAAATTGTATATTCCGGAAGCAAAAAAAAAAATAAAAATAAATCTGTTTCTTTTTTATTTGGTTATCTTATCTGGCTTCCTGATTTAATTATATTTTATTGTCCTAACTTTAGCTGTATTATATTATATTAAATTGTTCTATTTACTATAATTTTTACATTCTACTTTGTTTGTTACATAAATCAGCTATTGCAGTGAAGTTATAATAATTTATAAGCATAGTTTATAACTCGTATGAGAAATAAAGAAATAATTGACCATTGTATTCATTGAGTATTTTTAGTTTAAAATAAGGAAGTATAAAAAGTTAGTGACTTTATTTTAGATTCTGAATTTTCATTGTTTTCGTAATGAATTTATTGATTTTAAAATTATGTTTTTATATGCGTGTACGATTAGTATAGTTGATAAAATGTTTTGATTTTAAAAAACACAAGTGATTTCGAATATAAAATTGAATTTAGTTTTTACTTTGGAAACCTAAAATTAAAAATAATTCTTAGTACTTTTTTTATAATAGGGAAAAAAAATTAAGAAAAAACAGGAATTTTTACCCAAATATAATTTTTGACAAAATCAATTTTGTACTTTAAGTGTTAATTAAAAATGAATAACTATAGATACTTGAAAATATTTAAAGAGGTAAGAAATTTTCAATTTTTTTCATAAATGTCGATTAAAAATAATTCTTGAAATATTATACAAAACTTTCATAAAAGTTGTTCATATTTCTGTAAAAAACTTTTCATGAAATGTTGATATTTCAATTAAAAAATATAGAATATTTATAGTCAAAATATTTTTTTTACAGCTTGAATTTTGCCAAATTCATAAAAATCACGAAAATAAGTTATAAAATAATTATTTTGTAGTTAAAAATTAATTAATATTTTTGGTTTTATGCCTAAGATTTAAAAATATAATACAAGAATCTTTATAAGTTTTTCAACTACCTATTCAAGTATACGAAAAAAAATTCCACTGGAAGATTTTATAATTATTTAAATTTTAAATTTTTATGATATTCGATAAGTATTCACTTTTAAAATAAATATTTCTTATTAAACAATTTTTGATATTTCATTGTATTTCAAAAAACAAAATAACAATAGTTATTTGTAATTTTTACTAAATGTTTATATTATCATTTTAATTTACGTGATCAATTTTCAAATTTTTTTTATATTTCTTCTATAAATATCGATAAAAAATTATTTGCTGAATGAAAATTCTTGAAAATTTAGTACAAAATTCCATAAAAGTTTTTCTTATGTCTGCATGTATAAATTTATTTTAAATACATTGGAAACATTTTTTTTTTGTATGTATTTAAAGTTAAAATTTTAATAAAATTTGTCAAAATCGCAAAAATTTTTTTAACTATTTTATAGTTAGAAATTCGTGAAAATTGTGTACCTAAGATTACCTGAATTATCCTCATAAATGTTCATTTGAAACTATAAAATTTAAAAAAAATATATATATATATATATAAAGACAACTATTTTTCATTGACATTTTAAATTAAAATTTGGACGAAATCGCTTATTTAAACGATAAACAACGTTATTTATTATTTTGTTATAATTTAAAATATTATTTGAGGGAACAAAAAGTTATGGTACGTAAATTTTATATATATTATATTATTTTGAATTATACTATACGTAATGAAATTATTGATTAAATATACTATGAATTTATTTTTACTGTGTTACAGTATTTACAAAAAGATAAAATTAACTTTTGAGTTAAATAAATTAATATCTTATGGTATTAATGTATACATATCATTATAATAATTAAAAATTTTATTATTCAAGAAAAAACAATATCAACCTACCGTAATTTTAAAATTAAAATAAATGGCATTTTAAGTTATATCAAAAAAACATATCAATCTATATCAAAAATACTTAAAAGGGCTGATAGAACATCTTCACTTGAAATTGTTTTTTAGATACATTGGAATATCATTGAATTCAAATTTAACATAGTGATCCACTTTACATTCAATTTATAGTAAAGCGATAACGAGTTTTTTGTTAAAATTTATCGTGTAAGATTTATAGACAAAAAATTTAAAAAATCACATTTCTAGTATCATATTGTAATATTTATCTACAGTAATATTATAAGCTAAAGAGTATATTTTGTATGTTTGAACGTACTTAACTCAAGAACTACCAGTTTGATTTTAATAAGAGTTATATTAGTCCTCGAGACTCGCAGGTGGTTTTAGCTTCTTTTTTTTTAAACCTTTATAAGGTTGCTATAGGATGATTCACTTATAACTTTCATTTCGAACCATGAAAATCAAATCATTTTTTTTTTTTAATATAGGGTTGGCAATAGTTGACATATATTATTTTTATTTTTAACATTTATTAGATTATACACAATAATAGTTTATGAGCGATGAACAAAAAAAAAAATAATATTATAAACGTCCTGAAATCTTGAGGAGTGTAGTTACCCAGGAGTAACCCTTAGAGTGATATATTTGATAGGCTATTTTATGTATTTTATGTACAAATAGTATAAGTTTTTTAACATTATTTTTTTTTTCTATTAGTTTAATTAAGCCAAATTACGCTTTACTAGCGTCTCTTAAGTCTTCTGAGCAGGTTTTTAGAAATGTTTACTGAGTTAAGTGTAAGAATTAGTGGAGTCTGGTGATTCTTTAGGCGAGAATTGAAACGCTTGCATGTAAGAGAATGTAGCCATTTCGTAAACAGCCTGTAGTCCAAAAGCTGAGTATAGTATATTGTTTGATACATAAAAGGGCGCATTTGTGATTACACAAAGTGATATCGATTGAAATGTTTGCATTTTGTAAATATTGGATTTTCTTGTTGCTCACCATAATTGGATATCATAGGCCCAAATAGGCTTCAGGAGAGTTTTGTAGAACAACTCATTTTTTTAAATCTAATTAAATTTAAAAAGAAAAATTGGTATAGATTAGCCGACTCACCTTATACGTTACTATGAGATTTTTTGTTTTAAATAAAATAAAATAATATTATATTTATTGTACTTTATTTATTAGACTCAAAAATAACATGACCGACGTTGTCAAGTTTCAGCGGTTGTTTTTAGATATTAGATATGATAGAAAAGTTTAGAGAGTTGTCTGAATCATATTCAAAGATTACACTAAAAGCGATATTTAATACGTTACAGACGGATATTACCCATTCCGATCGAATAAGTTAGGCATTTAGTTCACAAAGTGAAGTATATATATATGGTGATTCGCGTTCAAACTGAGATACACTAAAACCGATATACATTGATGATTAAGATAGGTACTTATAATAATGTCAACTCTATAAACTCTCAAAGTGCTAATATACTTACGTAATCCTAAGTATTAATTAGTGTTTTCAATAAAAAGAATGCAACAAAATGATTAATTCATATGATTCTGATTAAAGTTTACTTTATATGTGCAGTTACCATGTCTAATTATGTGAATCCTTACCTATTTACATAATACTTTTAAATATGGCTATTCGTACAATAAATCATTAAGTAGAAAATCATTATAATTATAATAATACTTATATTCTTATTGAATTATTCATATTCATATAAAGTATATAATGATATGTAATTTATATTCAACAAAATAACTATTTTAATAGCGCTAAAAGTTTCAATAAATACAATATTATTTGCTATTATTAAAGCAATGAATACCACTTTAACGAATTTTAATATCTAATACAGAAATAATAAACATATTATTACAAACTATTGTTGAATTCCTTAAGCAAAATAATTTCATAAGCTATACAAAATAACAAATATTATATTTGTTTTATTCATATATAAAAAGTGTAATAATATGTTGTACCTAGAAACTCCCTATGATAGAATAAAAAAGGTAATATTTGCTATAGTGACACATTTTTCGTACCTTATAATATTTTAGAGTTTGAATGTATTGGTTTTAAATTGATGTATGTTTTTCGACTAATGAAATATTTTTATTTTAAACTAATATTGGCCCAAGATTACTAATGGAAGTAGCTTAATATTATATTATAATATTTTTTGTATTGATGGAAAATTGCATACATATTTTAATACTATCATAAATCAATAAAAACAAAAATAAAAGGTTTATTTTTTAAAAAAATTTTTTTGTTTGTCGTTCTAGATGACGTAATTATATAATTTTTATAATATTATAAAATAAATTGCAGGTTTATTATATACATTTATTATTCGGGTTTTGAAATTTTATTGAAAATTTTTTGTTTTCAGATACCACAGCCAAACACAACAGTTGTTCAAGATCTGCTTGTTTTAGTATGAAAATCACAAATAGATTATGTCTTAGATTATTTTTAACACATTTTTAATTATTTTTGAATGTAGGCGATGGAAAGTTTAACTTCTTACCCGGTACCATTTATGTGTACAAAAATTCCATTAGTACACAGACTACGTTTGATAAGTCTAAGAACACAGCGTCGATTGCCGAATTTAATTTCAAAGTTCATATACACATTCAAGAATGCGACGGGTTCATGTTTGTAAGTGTAATTCAAGTTTTATTCATTACAAAATTCGATTCGCTAAAATAATAACATATTTTATTTTTTAGATTACTGATACTAGTATTCATAAAGGAGTCAAAACAAGGAACTCCAACACTGTGGATGAAGAAAACTATTTAAGATCAGATGAAAAAGAGCTGTATGAAGATTTGGAAAAAAATATGTTGAGGTTTGGTTTTGTCTTCTAACAAAAAAAACAAATAATATGATGAATTTTATTAGCTATAGTAATATAGAAATTGCCAATTGGTTTCATCGTACTATTTTGTTTATTTTACATAAGTATTATTATACTTGAAAATGTAAGCTATACAATATCGTAATTGAAAAATAACCACGGAAATGATTCACACAATTGAGAAAATTTGTTTTACAGCATAAATTATTATTAATTAGAAAATGGAAATTATATTTATTATAAAACAAGCATTCAACGACGATATGACTATGTCAGGGTATTGGTATTTGAGTAATAATTGGGTGACATTTTGGCATGTATTTGTGTGTATGTGTATATGTAAGGTTGGGGGAGAAGAGGGTTAGAAAATGATCTTGGCTTCTTATTAGTTTTCAATAAATAAGTTTTCTATGATTATACAATGCTGTAGGTATATATTTCATTGAATTTTAAATTAAATATTAAATATAACGATCAAAACCAATTAAATTTGACGAAAAACGTATACAAGTATAAGTGCATTGAATGAATAAAACAAGTTTTTCAACAGATTTTCATTCCAAGATGGTCATATTAGCACGGTTTGTCCTAAAGAAAACGAATCGGTGTGGGCTTTAAACATTAAAAAAGCTGTACTATCTACGTTCCAGAATCGCATGGAGAGATTTGATATTCATCACATTGTCGCAGAGGTTAATTGTGTTTATTATTTTTTTTTATTATAAAATTTAATTTTTAATTTACACGTTATTTTCTTTTAGAGAGACATAAACGGATTTTGCCCAACTTCATACACATTTTTGAAATCGAATGGTACGCAAATAGTGGTAGATAAAGTAAAGGATATTTCAGAATGTTCCGAGAGATATCACATGCATTCTATTATTCCAACTTCACCATATGTTTTTCAAAGTGTAAGCCAATAGTTTTCTTTACAGTACAATATTTGTAGTTTTTAACTACTTACCGTCAATAATTTGTAGGAAAATCAACTTAGTTTACAGTTTCTGCATGAATTAAAATATTTTCTAACATTGTTGAATAATAATAAATTGAATAAAACATTTACTTTATTATATTTTTACGTTAAACCCTTTAACGAGTTTGCTTAATAAATAAATTTAAAAAAAAAATAAAAAAAATAAAATAAATTTATACATTAATAGAACAACGATAATTATTAAAATTAAAGGGAGGTCATGAACAAATAGATATTTAATTATAATGATTTCCACTAAATACATGCATAAAAACATTAAAAATATACATTTGGCACTTAATATTAAAAAAGCAATTAAGGCCGACTCGTGATTATTTAATAAGGGGTAATAATTAGGCAATTTGTGCCCCTGCTCGGTAACTTTGTATTAGACGTAAATGATTATCAGTGTGAATGTTAGTAACGTTACGTAGGTTATGAGGCTACTAAGCACGCACACGGACTAGTCATGTCAGACAGAAAAATTACAAGCGTGATTATATGTTCAGAATACACGTTACAGAAAAAGCTCTCACATCTCATAGATTGATCTGATTAAAATAATTGATTTTTGTCAAGAAGAGTAATATTTCTTACAGTATGTATTGGACTGTGGTTTTTTTAATTACGTACATCACTAAAAACAAAAATAATGAAAATAACAAAAATCGTGAAAATTGGTGAAATTTTTATCATAGGATTTAAAACAACAATATTGAAAATAAAAGTCCAATACGCTTTGGAAGAAATCTTTTTTTTTTTTTTTAAAAAAAAAAAAGAAAAAGAAAAATCATTGTAATCGGTTCACTTTTTGAGGTCCGAGAGTTTTTCCTGTAGAGTATGTTTTTGAACAAAATTATAGGTCTGGTATGTTTACAATAAATGGAAAACCATTGATTTTAAATAACTATAAAATGTCTTTTGTAATAATATTATGATTTGTGAATGATATTTTTAAAACCTTGAATAATTTTTAAATTCTAACTTATTCAGATTTGATAATTATATCATTATATTAATTAAACAAATGAGTTAGTTAATTTTTGAAATACTTGAGATTGGTTTAATCAATATTATGCGAATAAAAAAAATTATTCTTTATTGTAAATTGTTATAAAATATATTATATGAAATTATAGTAAAAATTCGTTTAATCGTCAGTGTCGAAACCAGGACAATGAAAGTTAATCGAATAGACGATTATCAGAAATTTTTCAATAAACGTATATTATATTTTATGATGTGATTCGCAAAAAAAAATAATATGTAATAAGTAATAAATACTTATAATATATAATATTATGTAATTTTTTTGAGGCACGAATTTTTTGAGCGGACATGTATCGTAATTTTACAAAGTAAAACCTGCGTTGCATTTGCCTCTTCTTGCACTTAAAACCAATCAATGCATTTTGATAACATTACTTCTACTTCTGAGTAGTTAGTTGACGGTTTTAAGACCGTTTTTCGATGGTGATCGATGATGGATAACAGAGAGTGACGGTTAAACGAGTTTCTACTGTAAACAAATTATTTTATTTGAAATGCAAGAAATAAAATTTGGACAAATAATTAGAAGGCTAAAAAATTTAATAAAAAATTGCATCCTACATTATTAAATAAAATTTAAAGTGTTTAATAGGTTAAATTAGTTTGAGTATGGTTAATATTATTAAAATATTCTCAGTGTACTTACTTTTAAACATTAAAATCTAATTTAGGAGAATCGTTTTAACTAAAACTGATAATGGCTATATAAAATTATATATTAATAATAAAATATATTGAAAATAATATTTTTATCTAGTTTAATGACTCTATCTACACTCTAGTCAAGTTTTTGAAAATATTTTAGTTTTCCATTCACAACAATTAAATATTAATGATATGCTTGGTGATTAAAAATTTTCTTATTGTTTAGTCAACGATAAAATTTATTTTAAACTATAAATTATGTACGTATATATATATACGATATTTAATATTTAAATGTACCTTATAATGATTACCTATATTTATATTTTGTATTCATTCAAATAAGTTTTTGTAATTGTAATGTACCTATAGTTAAAACTTCTAAATTAACCCACAGTATTGTCAGTAAATAGTTTTTCTATAGAAATAAAATCTTAAATTCTAAAAGTGATCATGATATGGGCAACAAATATATAACAATAATAAATAGTATGACTTTTAAATTGAAAATAAGTAATAATGTACTATCAATCTTTAATAAGCTTAAAGTGTATGCTGTATTCTTATTAGTTATTTCACTTATTATAATTTTGTGAATAAATATTTGAATAAGCCGCAACCTGCCTGAATTTTCAGCCGAAATATTAAGCAATCAACCCCAATCCATAGCCAACATCATCCAATTCATCACAGCCGTCAAACTTCAAACCAAAATTTAATTAACATTTAGATTTAATATACAATGTAATTTTTTTTTTCTTTCTCATTTTGTAAGCCCAATGGCCCACGTTGCCGAGAGTATAGATTTAAATAATAAAAAAAAAACAATTTGTGAATAGTAAACGAAACTAGCCCTACGAATAATAATATTATGTACGAGTATGTAGAAAAATTAATTAAATATATTTTGTTTATATATATTAAATGTATATAAATGTTAGTAAGTAAATAGTTTAAGCATGATGCAAATATTGAAATATATTATATATAGCCATCTTAACGACGTTATTACTAATTAGTAATGTACCTACTACATATTATGCAACTATATAATAGACATTACAAGCTTTATTAAAGGGGTAAACAACCTTTTTAATTCTTTGATGTTTGATATTATCATAATTTTAATGTTTTATAAATTTGTTTTTAAAATAACATGATCACTTTATACTCATCCTTTTTAAAATTTCAATAGTATACAAACTATATTTTTTAAAGGATTAGTGAGCATCTATCTAATATATTTTAGGTAGGTTGTCGATGTTGTGGGTACATATTAAGTATGTGTTTGTGGTTTGTTTACACTGATTTTGGGTTCTTTTCAGTTGCGTTGTATAATTCATATTTTTTGATTGATAATCTATAATATTATTTCTATTATTTATTATTTATCAATAATTTTTTTAGAAATACCACAAATGGTCTCCGATGAAATCTCTATTCGTTTGTTTTTACCACATTGATCATCATATTATTGTAAAGATCGATTGTCAAGAAAAACACTCATTCCAACCATTCGCTAGTAATGAAACAAATAGTGCAAGAACAAAAATATTTCAAACGATGACATTAATAAAAGAAGATAGTGCATTGTATTCATCTCACCCCAATAGTAAGATGATTTTCAAATATTATCCTGTAATTTATCTAATTTGTAATTGTCGTTCAATTATGCTCTTTCTTCAATGCCTAATGGTTTAATTTACTTGTATATTTACATTTGTCATAAATTCAAAACTAACTAAGAAAATATAAAAACTAAAAATAGTAACATCGTGAATCTTGATTAATTACCTAGTCGAATTGTTAATAATATGAAATTCGAGTAAAAATATATTATAAAATATAGACAATTTTTAATAATGTATGTATTGATATATTATAAATAATTATACATTTTTTGAAGATTAGCAATTCATATTATATTTAAATAAAGGAAATGTAATTTATTTTAATTTATTTCCAACCGTTTTTATTTGATTAGCTTATGAAATTACATCCAGACAACCTTTGTTATACAATCACAAGCTCATTAGTAATCCGGATTCATCGAATGTAACGGAAACCAATGAACTGATTAAAAAGTTATGCGCAATGAGTGAGGTATGGAAAAATAAAAACTAATTTACTATACAAATAATTTATCTTTTACCTTTTCTCCTAGGGACAATTTGACCCTGATTTTCCAAGCGAATTTTATAAGGTTATTCAAGCAGCTAGAAAATTAACGTATGATGCGTTAAAACACCTTTATTATCTTTCACAAAATGATTTGTGTTCATCTGCAACGTAAGTTTTTTTTCAAAATTAAATTTAACCTTTTATTTGTAAATATAATACGTACCTATATTATATTTAGTATATACACATGTATGTAAAAATTTTTTTCACATAAATATATTTTTAAATTTAAATAACTATTAGAGGTATTTTTAAATTGTATGCAACTCCTATAATTCAAAACTCGAGGGAGATGAACAAATCCAAAGTTATGGAGTTTTTACTTTCTAGAGTTTTTGAATCATTAACATACTGTATACTGATTTGAACGTGTGAATGATTTCAAGAGGGAAGAAAAATTATTCGAATTATTGAAGTTGATTCAAAAAAGTTACAATATAGTTTCTATTTAAATGTATATAACATTACTTGAATCGTTTAAATAAAATATACTTCATTATTTAAAATGTCAAATGTCAGGTTATCTATATAATTATTTTTTACATTTTGTTTTATTTCAAGCAAACATCTACAAAGCGCTTTACCATATGTTCGTACCACGTCTGCAGTAATACTTATGAAAGACATATTATTGAATGGAACCATTAGTGAATCTATTTCTTCCAACTGGTTAATGGCAATGGCAATGTTTGATAGGTAATTGAGTTTATTTTTGTTGCATATTGTCATTAATAAATTATGTTTAAAAAACATACAGTTATTAAAAATATGTTTTATCGTTGTGTAAAACTTTTAATGCTACTTATTTTATTTAAATTGTGACCTATAAAATATTACATGAAAACATGTATAAAACTAATAATTGTATTAAAATGCTACAGGCCCGATGATCAAGTAATTTCTGAAATTTCTCATTTGCTTCACAAAGAAAATGCTTCGTCGGGTATATTATTAAGTGTTACTTCTTTGATTCATACATACTGCAAATTGAACCCTAACTGTAAAGAAAATGTTGAGCTAATACCAGCCATTGTATACATTGAACAGAAAATCAAAGAGAATATTTTGATAAAAGAAAACCGAGACGAGGTAACTAAAATTAAATATTCAAAGATAATGCAGTAAAAACTTAACGAAAATAATATTATACCCGTTTCTTCCTTAGACGTTAATATGGCTGAAATCGTTGGGTAACACAGGGCAGACTTCGCCAACTACACTTCATACATTAAACACAATCATTATGAATGCAGATTCAACCGTGGACATTAGAGTTTCGGGAGTTCAGGCTTACAGGTTTGTTAAAAAATATAGAACATTTTTACGTCACACGTTGGTCAGCCACTAAATTATCTGGAACAATACATTTTAGACGATTTCCTTGTAACATAACGAGACCGATTATGTTGGATATCTTCGTCAACCAATCTCTAGACTCGGAAGTCCGTATTGCTGCGTACCTGCAAGTAATGAGGTGTCCCGTATATAGTGTGGTGAGGCATATAGTAACTGTTTTAGATAAGGAAGAAGTCAACCAAGGTATTAAGAGAAAGAATTTATTAAATAATATTATATTACTTTATATTACATGATGATATTTAATATTTTTATTTTCATTTTTTCTATAGTTGGCTCTTTTGTTTGGACACATTTGCAAAACCTGAAAAAGACATCTGTACCATTTTATTTAGAGCTACAAACCATGTTAGCTGGTGACATAAATAAGAAATTTAACACTGATATACGAAAGTTTTCCAGAAATTATGAAAATTCATTTTTTTTAAACGAATACGGTGTTGGTAAGATTTATTGGAGGTAATGCTTTGCATTATAATTATTATTAATCGTTATTTTAAATGTAATTTTATCAAGGTGGATCTTTTGACAGTAATGTGATATTTTCTCCAAAATCGTATATACCTCGATCGTTTACATCAAACATCACATTAACTCTGTTTGGAGAATACATTAACATACTTGAAGTTAGTGTTTAATTAGTAATTAAAAAAAAATCTACAGCTATAATCGAATAATATGTTAAGTTTATAGTAATTAAATTTTTTAATTTGATTAATACATTTTTTTCTCTTTATTAGTTTAATTAGAGATTGGTTTATTAGTTTTGATTTTGAATGATAAATAACAATACCTAATTTGAATAAGTATTTAAAAAAATAGTATTTTATTTTATTAAAAATAGTTATAACTTACATGACGTATTGGTTGATATATTTTAATACATAAAGTCATGACAAAAAAAAAAAAAAAGATTATAATAATTTAATGGTTGTTAAACATATTAGATAGAAGTATACGCCGAAGGCTTTGAAAATTATATAGAAGCATTATTTAAGCCCGGAGGTGTATTTAGCTCTGAACGAGTAAAAAAAGGATTGGATGTCTTACGTTTTGTGCGAAGTTTAATGCCGGACACCCTCAAGGATAGGATTAACGAATTGCCAAATGTCGTTATAGACAATGTGCCTCCGCCAAAGGTCAGTGATAATTTAATCAGAAAAATACTAAACAATATCGATTCTTGATGAAATTAGTATTGAACTTTTTTCTAAATAATCCTTAAAAGTAATTAATTGGTGTAGATCATTATTTTGATTCTCCTACAGATATCCTTGGCGATTAAAGTATTTGGAAACGAAGTAAAATTTTTACGTCTTAATGGTGTAGACGAAATCAACAAAGCGATCCGTTCGTTTGATGTATATAATATTATGAAAACTTTCATGAACGGACGAGTAAATATTTTCGTGATATTTTACCTTTTTAGCATAAGCTAAGTAATATATTATACTTTATACTTTTTGTTCAGGAATTCAAATACGACCAATCCGCTATGTTTATGGACTTAAAATACGTTGTACCTACTGGAATTGGCATGCCTTTGATATTAGACGCCGTAGGTACTTCTGTAGTAAACTTAAACATGTCAAGTTACATAAACGCAGATGCTTTCAAAAACTTTGGGGAGTTTAAATTGTTAACCAAATTGTATCCAAGGTAAATTGAAATTTAGTAAAAGTATAATAATAATATTATTATTTTGGTTTTAATTTAAATATATTTTTCGCAAACGAAGAAACTTCATCATATTATACCTACGTTATTATTGATATTAAATAATTTAATTATTTAATTTAATTTTGGCGTGTTATTACATATATCTAATATATTTATAATATATGGTTTATAAAAACAATCTATATATTATAATTTATATAAACTATATTGCATCTATACATTTTAACATATTTTGTAAAAAATATGTATTATAACTACCCATAGTCTCATCATGATTTATAGACAGAAGTGTAGCGTGTATACATCGTGCATATGTTTTATGTTATTTTTAATAAATCGCAGTGTAATTTTGTAAATACTTAAAATACAAAGCGCTGTATATTTCAAAGAATCCATTATTATCGTACAAAGTATTAACATTGCCAAAATAATAATTATTCTGTTTCAGAATTTTAAATTTAAATTTCCGTTTGAACATTAACATTTTGTATAGTTTTATATAGCATATTTTGACGGTTTTAATTTTTAAAATACGCATGGAATATTAGTCTGAAACGAAAGAAATGTATTTAAATATATTTTTATTAAGATTTAACAAAGTTATATAACACATTTTTTTTAGTATTATGTAATACTATAGTTTGTTTCTATTTTATAATACTATTGTCGAGTATAGAACATAATATTCCGTTTATTAATTTTAAATGAAATACTTATTTCCACGAAATATGTGTAGTCTAGCTTTGAATTTGGAGGGCTCAATGACTATGGACCTTCATTATGAGACTACTCAGGCCAAAGTTAAGTCAAAGTTGTACACTTCAACTGCATTTGAAGGAACCACGGAAGTTAAGGGATATAAATTCGTGAATTTGGTATTTGATTTGCCAAAGATCAGATCTGATATTATTAGCATCGAGTACGTATGAATGTTGCCACAGTTAAATATTTAACTAGAGCGTAAATACAATAATATTTTTTAACAAGTGAATAATATTTTGACTAATTTTATCAATGTGAATTTATTTTATACTTATTTCTTAACTAATTTGTTTTATTTCTAAATATACAAAATAATATACTTATTCAATAAATTGTATTATTTCCGTATATAATATTATATTCATTCATATTTTTGTTGTATAGTTTTGACTTAAGCATTTTAAGTACTTCTTATTAAATATAAATTATGATAATACCTTAAATAGTGAACTTAGATATTTTTTATTTGAAATGAAAATATCTTATCTTTAAAACATTTTATTTAATAATTTTGTTTTATATTATGATAGATCCGAGTTGTTTTTAGAAGATCATAAGTTAGACGTCGATGTCAATCCGAATCGAAATTCTGTGGCACCCTCTACATTGTCGTATAGTTTGCCCGTTCTCGAAGAGATGATGGGCCTTAAATTATACACTAATTATCGGTTACCAAATGTTACTGAAATAATCAAATCGCCAATGGTCATATTTAATGGGCCATTAAGATTGAACATTTTTCTACTTAAATCGGATGTAAAAGTCAATAAATACGTAATTGAATACAAATGGCTCACTGGCAGAGTAAGTGAACGTGTTTGTTTCTATGTGGATACCCATATATTATATAGGCTTAATATTAAAATAAAACGAGTATTTGCTTATGTTTTGCTTTAGAAAAATTCTTCCGTTAGTTTTATATACGAAACACCTGGATCTCAAGTTAAACACTATATGAAAGTACTTCTAGAAATAGACACCCAAACACAAAATTTCACTTTAATAGTTCATGGAAAAACCATTCAGTTACAAGCCTTAGGTACTGTTTAGTGTTTCTGTAATTTCGTCTAAAGATAACTTATTTTGAATCAATGTTTTTAGGTTTATATAGAAATTCTCCGTTGCACAAGTTGATGACGTTCACATTAGATATTAACGATGTGAGGCATCTCGATCTGTTTACGGAACTGAAAATCGAAAATGAAAAATACGGTCGTTTGTATTTACCAAAATTATACCTTGACATAAACGCAAGGAGAATTGCTGAACTCGAAGGTGGTTTTTATTATTAATTATTATCAACATTTTTATTCAGTTTTTTAAACTTAAGTTATAAATTATTATCCATAATATGTATTATACGTATAATTACTTAAATAATAAAATTATCACATATCTGTTATCAAATCTTAGGTCAATACAAATGGGTTGAAAAAAAAGGAATTTCTCAGTGCGATATCAACCTGACATTTAAAACTACCAAATTTGATTCTACAATCGTTGGTTATATAAAAATAAACGATGCGTCGACAGCATTAAATTTGATATTCGAATACACGTTCGATAAAGCTGTAACCCTAGACACGGTAAAACTGGAAGTGAAAATCAGTGATCGATCAACCAAAGCTTTATCATCATTACAAGGAACTATGCAATTAGAATCATCAGCTTATCCACATATCAACCATCAGACTTCAGCCATATACCAGGTATAATAATTTAGTTTATAAGTAAATAAACATATAGAGTTGTACGCTATGTTATGTGAAATTATTTACTACAATAATATCATAGTACCCAAATCAGAACTAATATACTCTTATCTATATTGATAACGTTTTCGACTAAAGTTAATATATTTTATTTTTATATCTCCGATATGTATTTAATGTAGAACGCATAGATATTATTTACAGATTTGTAATTTATAGTATTGAACTTGTCTTATAATAAAATGCTATAAAATAAAATTATGAGTTGAAACAAATTCATGGAATACTGAACATTTTTCAAATAAAATTCATAACAGTTAAATATAAATATTTGTTGATTATAATACGAGGAAATTAACTTTGAAAATATTTAACACGTCATGATTAATTTATTGAAAATTTTAATATTAAAAATTATTCAAACGTGTTTAATATGTTTACCAGTGAAAAATTAAATAAATAAATCGAACTCCAACTTTTAAAACTCTATTTTCAGCAATTGTAGAAAACTTCTGTAGGTATATGATAAATTGTTGAGTATTTTGAAATGTATTTTATAAGGGTTATTTAAAGTTAATTTAAAAATCTGAGTCCAATATGTGACCTAAATAAAGTTTTCTTGTTTCAAATAATAATAATAATAATAATAATAATAATAATAAAAAAAAAAACACAAAATTCGACTATACAATTCATCTTATCGTTTTTTCCGTCAATTCGTTTTGATCTTTGCAATGGTTTGATCATATTTTTCTGTACAGCGGGTGCCGTTACCAATAGGAACCGTCTATATTTTTTCCATTTGATAAATAGCTTTCGACACCTTCTAGTATCTTCTTTTATTTAAGGTATCTAATTTTGAAACACTGTGCTTATATTACTTTGGCATTAAGCTGTTTGTTGAACATGTAATTCGAGGAAGAAATGAATTGAGTAAGAAGTTTAAATTATAAAGAGTTACATAGTGTGATAAGAAGTTTTATTATAATATCCTGTATCTTTTTCACAGTAAAAGACTTAATTTCTTAGAAAAAAAAAATAATAAAAAGTATAACTATTTTGTACTTACATGATATGTCACTATACTTATAAACTGTTCGTTATACTAAAATTTTAAAATAATTTCATGATTTTCGTGTTTATGATACATTTTTAGTACTTTTTAAGTTTTATAGTTTTAATATGATCTAAAAATATGCAGTAAATATTATTATTTTTTACAGATATTTCATTTAATTGTTAAATTTTATTATTTACTATATTATATTATGGTTTCATTGAATTTAATCATTATACAAATCATAGCTCATTAACTCGATTAACTTGAAAATATTTTCTTCTTATTTCAGAAAGCACAAGGTCACACAGAATGTCGTATTGATTTTATTAACTACCCTAGCTTGAAGGACAATAACAAAAAATTACATGTTGAATTCGGATTCACTCAAATCAAATATTATTCTGGTAATAAAATAAATATAAACTTATTCGTTACTAAAATGGCGGACAACATTTTGTTCAAGTTCATAACAAACCATCAGGATACGCAAACCATGTCCAATACTGCAGTTATTGTACAATATGCTCCAGGTACATATTATATAATTGTGTTTTATTTAATTTTTTTTTGCTTAACTATTAATCAAATGACGTGTTATCAATTAATTTACATTATATTTACGTAATGCGTACAGACAAAAATATCACGGCCAAACTCGACATTTTAATGCCTCCGAGTATATTACTGAATGTAGATACAAGATTTAAGCTAACAATACCATCTGCAAAATTTCCGTTGGACGTGCGCATTCTGATCAAAGAAAAAGTCATGAACGAATACGACGTAAGTGTGATTTTATCGACAGTTAATTTATTAATATAGCATTATTTACGATTATAGTTGGTATCATAAAACAGCAATAATGGTCGGGCCTATAAAATATTATTAATCGTATTTTTAATTTTAATATTTTACTTAATTCTAATTTTAGAATTCTATTATCTATCTTACAATAAATTGATCTGATTATATTGGGTTTATTAACAAAAAAATACAAGTCATCTACATCATCAATAATATAGCTATTTTATTTAATTTTACTACTTTCATTAAAAGTGCATTATGTCAATACTTGTCTTTGAGAAATTAAAATAATTGTCATATTTTTACATTTAATTATATATCACCATTATTGTTTATAATAGAAAATGATACAAAGTTTGATGATTAACGCTAAATCACAACAAATTACATATTATATCGGTTGGTTGTCATCATTTTACCTACATGATATCATTATGTTCATAATATATTACTTGATAAATAAAATACACTGGTTTGAACATAATTTATACATTGCTAATTATTTAATTGTCTAGATTGATTTTGCGGGAACTTGGATTGGAGGACAAAACGTAACTGCAAGAGGGCTGTACCAAGACCACTCCTCATATTACCTAACAAGTCATACACTTAAACTTTTAATAAAATCTCACTTGTTCAATGACATAGTGTTTATGGGGAAAATCTACGTATCTGACGAGGAATACAGAATAGAATCGTGGGTCAGTTATCAGTATATTATCAACGTAGACTTGATCCGCCGTCTATTTTATGTTATAACAGATCAAATAAAAAAAAATCCTTAAATGGCTATTTAAACATAGCAAATAGAATTATTATATTCGTGTGTTGTATACAGGTGGACCACAATAACACAAAGCACGCTGTATTATTGAGACATCTGGCTCGTTCCAATATGTTGCAGTATGAATCATACGGTGAACTGAAACTAAACACAAGCACGTATTCGGTGTCCAATCTGATCGACCTGAAACATCACGAGATAACGCTGGAAATGCACCTAGACCAGTATGATAATCCAATGATTATAATAAAAATAATAATAATTTATGTTTTTACATCCCTGATCACCTTGATATTAATTTGAAGGTGGAAAATTTAACAAATTTTAATATTGTTTGGGTTAATTTTTTTTTAATTTAATGCTTTTAAGCGAAACAAATTTTCGTCTTACTAAAGCCTAGTATGGCAAATTTTTCTATCAGAATAATACATTTTACTTTGCTATTTTAAACATTAAAATGACTTGATGACTACGATTATTTAGTATCCGGTGTATTTTTTTTTTTGTGGGTATTTTAATTTTAAAATAAGCTGTGAGTATTTTTAAAATGAAAATTTGTTTTAAATTTAAAATAAGTAAAGAAATTTAATAATAATTTAATAATTTTGACTTGCTTCAAAATTAATGACATTAACAAGGCCTTAAATAATATTATTAACTTCTAGTTTACTAATAGATCAAATTACTTTAATGTAAAAATACAATAAAGTAAATTATTCAGAACTTAAAATTGGTTTTTGAGTTTTATTTAAACGAAGATAATACATGGGTATTGGGTACGAAGTTCTGTTAAGAGATTATGAATAAATAATTTTAACCACATATTAAAATAACAAAATATAATATAAATTAATTTAAATGTCACAATTTAATTTATTATTAGTAATTATTACTAGTTATTATACACAATTTTATTAATAATAATTTAGTCAAAAACAGAACTCAACTTACAGAAAAATCAACGTTTAAAAACTAAAAAAATGTATAAATCTATAGAATATGAAATTAGCGTCCGCCCCTTTGCCATTATTTAAATACAACCTTATTGTGCTTAATACCTGTATGTTTGTTTTTTCTTGATATCCAAAAATATTTTTACGGGTAATTAAGGATGAGATGGGTGGTGTTAAAAGTTAAGATTACTGAATATAAAAATATGCCAAAAAGAGTCAAATTTGTATGACTAAATAATCTAACTATTATGTTTTATTTATATTTTACTAATAAATGGTTTCAAAATACAATCTATAATGTACCCAATAATATGTGTCTATAATTAATTTGGCCATTTTTTTTTTTTTTTTTTTTGACACTACCTATGAAAGAGTAAATTAATTAAAAATATGCATTAATGGCATGATCTAGGTACAGAGATATATCAATTTACGGTAAAGGATTTGTTAAAGAATGGAATTCACATACGATTTTTGAAATAAAATGGGACGCCAATCGAGATCCTGATCAAAAATTTTCAGTCATCTTCAAAACAAATACAAGCGATATTGTCGACGGTGAACAATTTCTAGGTTTACTGGTGATAGAATATCCTGGTCGGACAGTGAACATCAATTTAGAATTGAGATATATGGGTATGAATATAACAGTATAAATTAGAAAAGCTTAATTTACCGGTTTAGTTTTTATAACTTTGAATGTTTTCATTATAATAATAATAATAATATTATTATGTTATATTTGCTTACATTTAATAGGTGTACTTTTTTTTCGATAATTTAATGATACAATTTATTATTATGAACTATTAATTTGTTTTTAACAATTATAAATTCCACGTAGGACAACACTATTTTGTATTGAGCTCAATTGAATGGGATCCCGTATCAAAAATTGACTTTTCATTAATATTGAAAAACGACTTCCTATCAAAAGGAAGTGGATATATCGGCTGTAAGATGCTCACACCATTCGAAAATTGGGTGAAAACATTATACGAACAAAGGTACCTAAAGCGATTTTGTATTTTATGAACTAAAGTAAAAACTGATATAATCAATCGTGATTGTTTTTAATAAAATATTAAAAATCTGACGAACATTTTACTTTGAACTTATATTGTCGAAGAAAAATGATTTAGGTCTTGTGTATTAAGGTTTGATAGTAAAAAAGTTTCACATAGGAACGTCTTCGACATAATATTTTATAATATTTTATAGTACATTATCACCGATATTTGACGTATACAGATATTAGGTTTTGTTATCTTAATAGAATTGCACAAAAAGATACATTTTTAACAAATTTTAGTAAAAATAATTTTTTGAAAAAATTAAATAAATTTAGTTTTGATTTTGAAGCAACATTGTTTGCTTGTTAATCGTAATAACACGATTTACGTCAATAATATAAAATAGATATTTTATGTTATATTATATGTAATTTGAATCTAAAATGTACCTACGTATTTGGATTTATTATTTAAATGTTTATTTTAAAATAATTAAACTTCGAAATTCAATGTCAATCACTAGTAAACCTTAAAACAATTTAGCTACCTGTGTATAATGACGTGTATTGATGTTATAGCGTTATGATTGGACCGCAAAACTTGCACACAAACGGTAGTGTAATGTGGCAAGGTACCCAATACTTGGACTTTGATGTACAATCCGGTTATCAAACGCTAGATGAAGAATTCGGATTTTCGTTTAATACAGCTGTTAACAGTTCGTTGCAAGATCTTAATGCTATTCGCATATATATCAATCACAACTACGGTACCAACAGTTTCAACACCACTGTCTTACTGCAGGTGATATTTTATTAAACTTAAATAATGTACACTTTTGTTTTTGTTTTTTCATCTTTTTTGACACTATATTAATTCCTTGATATTTGTGACGATAAATATTTATTTAACATTGTATAGATAAATCCAAAATACGTAATATCGTTGGGATTGACTGGAAAAATTAATAGTACGAAGACTGAAACCATTTATAGCGGTTCGGTAACTACGCTAACCCCGTTTTTTTATTACAAGACATTTAGCTTTGAGTCAGAAGTCGGTATACAAGAAAAAAAACTAAATGGTGTTGTCGGGTTACAAATAGATTCTAGTAATTTCAAAGTCGAGTTCCACGGTAAGTTAACACTGATAAAAACAATACAGTATTTTTTTTAATTGAAAATTTGTTTCTTTTACTATTGCCAATGGGCGACAACTTTATAATCCATAATAATTTCTGTTAAACGATACGTATATTTTGTCGGATATACAATTACATATTATTGTGTGACTTAATCAATCGGTTAATAATAGATATAACCGATCACTGGTATTGATCAGCACTGTTAATTTTTAAATTACCGATTTATTTTTTTTAGTAGAAGTTATAATATACAGTATATTATTGTTTATTTTTGTGACTTCAATTTACATTTAGAATGACCATTTTTATACTATAAGTTGGTTCACTATTTTATTCATATTTCATATTCAATAGTCTAATTAAAATAATATAAATATTATATTTATTCACAATATACCATGTAGAGTTGATGGTGTTTTTAAGCTTGATAAATTCAGATAATGTAAGTTTATTTATAGACAAAAAAAAAAAAAAACATTAACAAATATTTTTTACGAAAACGTGAAATTCCTATAGAAATAATGTGATTAACTTTTTATAACTTTTGCTAATTACTCGCGTGCGCGTTAGAATGTTAGGATGTACGATAGTGTTATTTTATTTTATTGAGTTTTATTTAAATACAAATTAAAAAATTAATATACACTTTGAGACATACTGTAATTCTTAGATTAAGTATAAATAACTAAACAGAGTAAATTATTTTTTAATAATTAATATATTGCTTACTCATCCCGGCCAAGATTGTCAAGAAGGAAATTTAAGTTTAGTAATTTAAAGTACAGTTCTCGTATAGGTATATAATAGTATTGTATGCAAATATTAAAATATATTATATTGTACCTTTACAGTATATCTATATTCTATATATATTATACATTTATTTACGTTAAGAATATTTGAAGGTAACAGAATTTTTAGAATGTATGCTGTAGATACTAAATTGTATATAGATTTGGTTAAGTAAATTGAATACGTATCACGAAAATATTTTATTATATTATTTTTATAACAAGTATCACGAACCAGTGTAAATTTATAAGCTCATGATAACATTATTGTGTTTGCTTATAGCAAATAAATGGTATTTTACTAATATGTATAATGTATAATTTTTAATATAATGATACGATTTAGATTTAGTGGCCGGGAGACAATTGTTCAATTGCTTTCTTGGTCAGTTTGCCCCTGATATACCTATTAATTGATAATAGTTGTAAAAGACAAAAGTTTTTATTGAATTTGTAAATATTTAAATTTAAAAATATTCATAGTATATAAATAATTTTCCTATAAAATCTATCTATAAATTTATTCTTCAATATACATGTTCTGTATCAAAAGACTGAAATGTACATAAGTAATCGAAATATGACCTTAAAAACATTAAATATAATTATACTGAATATTAAAAAATGTCAAAATATGCAAAGTTATGCATTAAAAACTATTTCAATTCATAATACTAGAAACGTACTTAGCATAATATAATACGATTACCCAGACAAATATGCAAATACATACAAATCCGCTCCCTAATTATAAGGAATAAAATTTAAGTAATTTAAATGAAACTACGTGGAAATGTAGTTGTTCAATTAAGTATCTATTTTCTCGTTGTCCCGTAAAATGAAGTTAAAAATTATTAATATCGGTACCTATTGTTGATGAATAAAGCTATACAATTTAATTTTTGTTATTACTAATTGAAATTGAAATTAGTTTCAATAACATTTAAATGTATATTGTTGTTTTTTTATTGTATCAGTTTATTACTATATGTATAATTTCAATTCGTAGTTACATAAAATAAAAGTTATTACAAAATGTATCCAAAAAAATTATTTGTTATGACTTAACGTTATAATAAATGTTAGATAATATTTAAATTTCTTTAAAGAAGAAAACAGTATTATACTTATGTAACTAAATATAGGTACGTTTTATAGCGAAAAAAAAACTAAATTAATATACAATATGTTATACATATTATATTGTATAAATGGTATGATTTAGATATTTGGTATCATGTTAATAATATTGTTCTGTGTACATTTTATTTAAATATGTTGCTAATTGCTAAATGAATAGTAGTAAAAACATGAAATATGTTGTGCAATGTATATATAAATATTTCCAAACCGGTTAACTAAGACTGCAAACTATTTTCGTCTTAAAACTAAGCCAAGTACGTAACCAAGAAGTTAGTAAATACATAGGTTAGGAAGAAATAAGTAACTTATATACAAAATGCAAGTAGTACCTACTAAAATTGGCAATAACATATAAAAAATATGAAATATAAAAACTGTTCATTACTATTATTGTTTTGATATTTTTTTTAAAAAAAATTAAAAAAAATTGTAAGGCAAATATTATGTTAGATAACACAATTAATATTAATATTATGTTTTTTTAAAAATATAATGCTCAATTTTCCCTTATTGTTAAAGCTAAATATTTTCACAAATAATAATAATATTAAAAATGTAAATTATAAGCTTATATCAATTGACTATCAAAATTAAAAGTCGATAATTATAGTATAAATATTATAATAATATAACAAAATAAATTAAAAAAAAATTTGGGCTTAAAATTAATAGAAAATGTTACAATTTATTTTAAAATTTTTCGTTAGTGTAGTATTAAGTTAAAATGCATTTTACATTTTAAATTTAGCTAACTTTGTATAAAGGATATAGTATTCAGGTTCTTTTTTATTTATCAAGAAACTGTGAGTAGGTTGCCCGTTGGGTATGAGTGCATGAATGATATGTAACCTGGCTATCATTACTACCTACTTCAAGTTTCCATGTAATTTCATGACCAAGTGTTCATTGTGTGACATAATTATGTCTTACGATTTTAAATTTTATGCATTGAGAGTTCCAATTTATTAGTCAAAAGTTGTTTAGTTTTTTTTTTTATTGCTTTTTGGTTGTCAGTATGCCATTATGGTTAAAATTTGACATCAATTTATTATGATAACTTTATTTACATTTTCATCATTGTTGTGTTTGATACGCTCATTGCAAGTAATTTATTATTATAAACTGATAATTAGATTAAATATAATCTAAGATAATACCTATAATATATAGATTATAGAATATTATATCATTTTATCCAAAATCTAATATAGGTCTATAACTAAATTATGCTGTACTGACGTATTGCAGTATTTTATAAATAAAAATGTCGCTGTCAAACCTCTTTTGACAGAATATTATCGTATCTGCGAGTATATTTTAGGTAACAACAGAAATTCAGTGCTGATCTTTATCCGAATTTTGGTGAAAACTTGCACATGTGTTTCTTTTGTCTGTTTACGCAGCAAATGCACATAATAAATTATGTACAACAATAACAATTTATAATAATATTTTATTTTTATATTTTAGGTGTATACATGCCACTAGACAATAGCAAAATATTGTTGAAAATCTCAACTCCTTATGAAAGTTACAAGACTCTATACGGAAAAATTGGATATAAAGCAAGAGAAAAACACATTTTTTTCGATATATATGGTGATAACTTCAAACTAGGAATGGAATTGCGTTACTTATATAAAAATCTATCCAACTATAATCTAAAGTTACGTGTCAACACACCCGTAGATCCGTTAAGACAGTTGATAATTGCTGGTAAACTAAATAGTGAATTAGTAAGTATATTCCACCTGACACCTATAAAATGTATCGTTTATATACATTTAGTAGGATGTATAGACGTAAAATGTAAAATATTATAATGAAAACTCTGTACTTAAAATGTCCACAACTCGCTATAATATAATTTAAAACACATAAAAGCTTTAAAAATAATAAAATAAAATAGCCAATATACAAAATAATACCTTCTTGCCAAATAAATTGGTGTTATAATAACTTTTGTTTTACTTTTATTAAAATAATCACATTTTTAGTAGCTCCTTTGAAAATAAACTTTGAAATAAAAAAAAAAAAGTATTATCATTCTTATTGGAACACTTGAAACTATTCGTTTATTTTGTTTAAAATGAAGTGGATTAATATTTGCTATAAGTAAGTAAGAATAATTGAGTGTTAATGTTATAATAGTTAATTTAAAAATATTTTTCACTCATTATAACTATTAAAATAGACTTATGTAATTCAAAATGAATAAATATTAAAAAAAAAAAATGCAAAACTAAAATTTTTTCAAAGCTTTGATAATATTTTATACTATTAAAACATAAGCTATTTTTTAAACAGCTATTTACAGTTTAAGAAGACGCACACCTACATGCGTTGTATCCGTATTTCAAATGCATATTTTGAATAATCCATTTAACTTTGGAATGTTTAGTATAAAAGTGAATTTACCTATTATCAAATTTTAAAGTAATGAAAACTAAAGTATTTGTACTATTAAAATGCTCATAACTCGTTTTAAAATTTTAAAAAAAGCCTACGAGATTTATAGGTTTATATTCTTAGTTTTAATTTTAATACAGGTAAATTCATTGTAATATTAAACAATGAATTATTCGCATGAAACAATTTTTATGTTATGCGTTTTTTAGAAAGAGATAATTCCATGCGAGTTTAGCATACTCTTAACTAAAATTTATAATATTCTAAATAATGACAATACAATTTAAGTTACATTTATGCCTAAATGTAAATAACTTGTGAAATAATTATAAATGCAGCGTCGGTGTAAAAAAAATTAACTAAACATTTACTATGCAATTAAAAACTTTCTATCAAAAATAATTGACAACTTTCTATTATAGTCTTCGTATACTATTCACCCTAATTTTAATGTGATATTTTAATATTAAAAATAAAAATTTCCATAGTGGTTTATAAAAAATTACTTTGACAACAATTACGCTATAAGTAGTTTGCAGTGCAACTATTATACTTATTAGAGATTATTGTCTTGTACATTATTTCTATAAATATCGCGATCGTTACAGGCCGACTTTCGACTTGGATGGAATCACTTTGTTTTGGGCTTTGCTGGTATTTCTCATTATGTCAGCTGGTCCGATTTCGAGTATGCTTTACAGATATATACGCCTGTGGAAAAGTTTACATATAGCAGCGCTACCGTGAAAATTTACATTATCGACGATATCGATTGTGAGATTCGAGCAGTTTTGCCAGATTTGTCGATGGTAATTATTAATATAAATACTGTATATGTTTATTAAAAATAAGTGTAAAGAAATATTAAAACCATACTATAAAATAGATTTATATAATACACAATAAAATGTATTTATATATTTAGCAGTCTTGTCTAAAACGGTTTCATTTGATGTATTTTTAATATAATTATATTTTTAAATAAGCTATTTTACAATAGTATTAGTGCATGTAATATTATTTTATCAGTACCACGGAGTAAAAATGTTTAAAAATATTTGTTGTTTTAATAAAGGTACTAATTAAAAAAAAAAAAAAAAAATACATTAATAATAAATTATAAGTAGTTAGGTATTAAAATAAATATTATTTAGAAATATAAAATTAAAAAATAATCACGTTTTTGAATAATATAATATAATATCAAATATATTATGATAAAAATTATACTGGTTTAGAATATTATCTATTTGGGGAATTTGATTTTATTAAATCCATATTTTATAAGTGTTATAACTTATAACATTTATAACTATTGACATATATTACGGGATACTCATAATCGTATAATATTATAGTACCTAGGTCCTAGACAACTAGTAATTACTCATGAATTGTTTTTTTTGTATTTGGTCCTACGCAAAATGTGTAGTAATTGTTAATTTTTAAATGGAAATATTAATTTTTGGTAAATATTGAGAAATTTAATTTAATGAATTTAAGCGTTTTTTAATATTTGTTCAAAATGAAAGTCGTTTATACAAACATAAGTACTTTTCAACTATTTTAATAAATAATATAATGATTATAGGTAACATAATTTTGACGATTTGTTTGATATGGCATATTTTAAATTGTATATTTTCATTATGAGATTTTCTGTCTACTGTTTAAATCGTACATATTGTATAATTAATATATTAAGTTTAAATTTAAATTATTAAAATATTATATTTTTCAATCATCATCTTATGATTTTCTACATGATTTCACGTATTTTTTACCTAATAATAACTAGTTATAATTCAATGAGTATTTGTTTTAGAATAATGGTTAAAAAGCTAAAATGATTTAAAAATCGGTATATTTAAATGTGTAGTTGAAAATATGAGTTGCATAACCTAACGCAAGTTGTACTGCGCATATAATCGTACATAATAATAGAAATAAAACTTAAATAATCTTCACCAAATGTTTAATTATTTAAGTATTGCTTAGTTTCTTCTATGAATCCCGCTCAAATATGGAGTCACTACTCACTAGATAGATATTATACTACCTTTAAAAAGAAATAAATTGTAGGTTTAACAATTCACAATAATATATAAAATAATTTTACTAAGAAACATATTTTCATAAGAGTATTCAATATTAATTCGATGCATAATTATGTAAAACTTATAATTATGAAAAATATGTTAATGTTTATCATTATTTGTTCAATAAAACATAAAACACTTTTTTTTTAAAGGGCATATGATAATTATAATATTAAAAAAAAAAGTTATAAACGTTTCTTTCTCTCAAAAAAAAATTTAAGTAATTATATCAACGTTACCAAACGGATTATATTAAATAGACATTAAAAATGATAAACTTATTAAAAAAAATAAATATTTTTTGATATGTACTTTAAGTTAAGGTTGCCATTTAAAAATCATAATTTGATATTTAATTAGGGTAAACGATGAAATGGGTGATCGTTTCGAAAGTAGTTTCTAAAATATTCAAGAATTTTGTATTTTTATGTACGAGTATTCATTGAAATTCCGGTAATAATTTTTTTTTTTTAAAGGTATGATATATTTTTCTAGATAATAAGTTTTGTACATAAAAAAACTTAATGCTGTTTAAAATATTTAATAATTTTGTTGAAAAAGGTTCTTGTTTGTTTTATATATATAAAATTATATATTAATGTAATAATAAATATAGAATTAAACTTTATAAACTGATATCTTTAATCAATATCTTTAAATAATTCAGAAATTATTCAACTCGTGCCGTACTGACGGAGTTTTTCCCTAATCCAATCTTTGTTTAAGATCATTGATTATGAATTTTGATAACATGTCCTTTTTAATAAAAATCCACTCAATATAAATGTCAAACATAATTGTGTTTGTTTAATTTAAAAAAAAAACCTTTAAAAGGCTTTTCTTCCCCTGGTCTAATGAAAATAATCCAGGGTGAGAATTTTTTCAAAGATAATAGATGTATCCATTCATGTTTGTCTTTTTTTTTTCTCAAATTTTAAATACATATTTAATACTTTATATTATCTAGTACACTAAAAATAAAAAAATAAATATTTAAACAATAATCATAGGTAATATTAAAAAGTATTGAATACAAATATAGTAATAACAAAAAATTTAGGTACTTATTACTACCTACTAACCTAAGATCTATTGGACATCAATTACTCTTAAAATACTGACTTAGGCCAAATTTTTTATAGTTTAAAAATTTAAAGGTATACTAGAATTATAGCTCTTCCTTCAGAATTTTGATTCTTAATTCAAGATAATAATAACAATAATAATCTTGTTTTTCTATATATCATATTTTTAGATAGGTGTAAAATTCGTGTATGCAACTATACCTAGACCGGAAGAAATAGATGAATACTACTACGACGAGGATGCTGAGTTATCAATGGTGCTCTATAATGGGCTTTTTGAAATCGACACAGCATATTATCCATCTGTGATTGCGAATTTTAATGTCACACAAAAAGATATTATGTATACAACACAAGTTGGCCTGTCAGCAATAATCGTAAAGGTTACATTGATAGATGAATTATTTTTAAAGGTATACGATTGAAAAACATAACCGATAAAAATCATTAAACATTGTTAACGTATGTATTTTTTTTTTTTGTCAGAATTTTTTGGATATCAAAAATGAGCTGAACGTGACAACATCGTATGACCGTTTTTCGAAGATATTTTCTGAGTTTGCAGTGTTTGCCGAAAATGAAAATCACATTGTATCCAATTTAATCGCGTCTGTGGTCAATTTTAATAAAACATTGACGGTAATTTCCGATAAGTAAAATTACATCTAACTATAGTCTCGAACTTTTAGACCTTGGAAATCATGTTTATTGAAATTCATAAAATCAATAAACTCTATGCAAGCGAAATTCAATTAATAAATTTTAAACTAGTATTTTAAATAAGTACGATGAATAATACAAATCATTTTTTTGGTATATTGTAATACTAAATTTAATATAAGTACTAGACAAGTGACAGTCGTATGTTGTGTACTATAATTGGGAAAGAGAAAGTATTATTGGTTTATTTATAGGTAATGTAGTAATGTTTGTTTTCGAAAAATAACTTTTAGTTAATATGTCAATCAATTGAAAAATAAACAAGGTGGTTTAAAGGGCTTTCGTAAAAATTGTGAACAAACCAAAAAAAAAAAAAAAATAATAATATTATATTAATATATTTTTGGATTTTTGTTTAATTGGTCACAGTTAGATACATCTATATTTAACAACACTTTAACAATTTTAAATGTGTTATCGATTCTTATATTAATTGATTAAAAAATAGTATTATACTTACTATACCTACTTACAAATGTAAAAAATATTTTTTTGTTTAAATAACTAAACAGTCATAATTATTGTTAAATAATCACGAATTTCTTATTTAATATATAATATGATTTTTAGATTATTTAAATATCAATTGAATGTAATTATATTTATTTTCTTTTGAGGTTTACAAACTTTACATATTTGATGAAAATTATTTTATTTTATTTAAATTACATTTATTTACTCAGTTTCGACTTAAAACAATGAACTGCCCACGTGCAAAGAATACTAATTTATTTTTAATATTAATATGTTTTAATACATTGAAACATATCTAAAAACTCAAATTATTAATTTGTATAATGAAAATAAAATTAGAAACACTGATTTGTACGAGTATCAAACAAAACTTTGTTTTTTTTGAAATTATAATAATATTTATAATTAAAATATTTGAAAGCATCATATACCGTATAATTGTACGTAATAACTATACATAAATAAATGTAGGTTTATTTATGTGTGTGGGTGTATGATTGTGTTATTTTCCAATCAGAAGTATTTATTGGAATTTATATTATTTTTTATCATAAAATGTCATTTAAATAAATTAAAATACATTCTCAGTATATAATTTAATTTTTTTTTTAAATTATATTTTCAATGTTGACGAAAATTACCGGTATTTTAGGATTTACTCAGCCGTTAACGGGTAGTTCAAATATTGTTATATTTCATGGATTTCAATCTCTAGTGTTACTGCATTTGCTTTTTGTGGGAATATTATTAAAATACTCATTATATAGAAATTTGTTTAGGTACCTATCTATATTAGTGTTTCGTCGGAATGATAGTAATAATTTAAAATTGAATTTATATTAGAAAATAGATTAAATTATGATTTTAGTGTAATGTTTATGTTGGACTTAATTTTTACTTAAATTAATGTCAAAAATCAAAAGTTTATTATAGAATATCATTGCAAAACTTTAAAAAACAATAGTTTATATTTTTTTACATAAAAAAATTATAACTACAAATAATAACATTATAAAGTTAAATAATTAAAAAATAAAAACATAACGATTGGTGCATACATTTAAATTCCAACCATTCAAACTAATTTCTCACTAATTTTCACAAAGGAAAATTATGTAAACATATATTGATATTTATAGTAAGGTGAAATTTCACTGTTTTGTTTAAACTTCTACAAATTTTCTTTGAAATCGATAAAAATAAAAATAAAGAAAATGGATGCAAAAAAATTATATGCATTTACAAAATTTATGAATTAAATGTTGTATGTAAAATTTTTATTTTAATACATAAAATAAAGATACAATCAAAAAAGTTTCTTTAGTCCTTAATAATATTTCAGTCAAGTTAATAGATAAAATTGAGTTACGTTTTAATGTTTAAAATCGATTATAATTTTTTGTGTGATTACAGACAACTCTCGACGCTGATTTCTTAACCACGGCTTTATCAGATCCTGGTTCAGAAGATCAAGACGATCCGGATTTAGCGAACAATATTCCATTTGGTATTTATGAGATCAAGTTCTATTTAACTTCACCGTTCAAACTCCTCGAGTTCTGTAACTCGAGCATGACTGTAAAAATATTGAGACATTTTTACGAAACAAACATCACGGTGAAGACCAACTATACCAACATGTTTGTCATAGGCAATATGGAGGTACAACAATAAATGTTCAAAAAATCTGGAAGGAAGGGCAAACTGTGACTGAAATAATAAATTGATTAGTTTGATTCAATAATTTTTTTTTTATCATAATTGTATTAATTTAATAAGAACTTTTTTTTTTTTAAATGTATTTGTGACTTTTTATTGCTCTTCTTTCCTCATACCTACGAGCAATTATCAATTAAATTAATAATATTGCTCGTATGTTTTTACAGGTCTATGACGGTTACTTCGATACGATAGTGGATGTAGACGTGACATCAAAACTATTCAAATTGCCCGTGTTTCGCGTTCAAGTTAAAAAAGATTATACAGAGATTGAGAAAAACGTGCAGTTTGTAATCAGCAGACCAACGGTGTCGCAAGTAAGTTAAAAGTTAAAGCGTAAATACATAAATCGCTCTTAAATTATTGTCATTTAAAACATTATTGACCCTCGAAAAAAAATTGTTATACTACGAAAAAGGTCAACGAGGTAGTGTTGGATATTAAAAGCAGTTGGCAGATAGACGGATATAATTTCATAAAGCTTAGTGGCGAAATTGTAACACCGTTTGTGGTGCTCAACCACGTGCAAGGTAGTTTACAGTATTTCCACCAGAGAGACACTAAATCGTATTTCCTGGAATCATACCTCAACTATTCTCGGAAAGCTGAAATGAAGGCCAGGGCTCATTTAAAAGAACAGTCAATCACTCTTAATATGGAATCATCGCTGGAGGGATTGAGGTCAGCTAAACCATAACTCATTACCATATTTCATATTATTGTATATTGCAATAAAGTATTAAAGTATTTAATCAAAATTTGTATACCATTATTGATTTCGGAACATTTTTATAAATTTATTCCATAATAGAATAAATTGAAAATATCTTAATAATTGAATAAGGTTATTTCAACATACTAATGATATGATATACAAATAATAATAATGTACAGGAACGTACACTTTTTGGGCACATTGGTTGCAAAGGATGGTCGAAAAGGAATTGATGCGATTATGATCGGTGACCAGTCTTATAGGATCAGTGGCTGGGCGTCTGCAAACAGTTCGTTTCCATTAGCAGTATGTATTCGATATTATTATCATCAACATTATTAATATTTTAACAGTATTGTAACAAGATCTTTCATGGTAATAGGTAGCCATTTGTTTCCAATGTAGGTTTGGTTTTATTAGAAAAGTTCTATGTAAATCGACAATTTATTCATTGTCATTAAATCAATAATATTATTATGACGTTAAGACGGCAAAACGATTATTATTGAAATGTTTTTATTACCTATACCTAGTGAAGTACTTAATTTAGATATTATTGAAAATCATTGTTTTTAATATTTATTTAATAAAAAAATATTAATAACTAAAAAATATATGTACACAATAACTAATTGTATACTATTTGTATATATGTATTGTAATAATCTTTTCTGCAGTGAAGAGTTTAATGACTAATGAATAAAATATACTTCAAGGATTATATTTCGACTTCACGCCATATGGACAAAAACCAGTTAGAAAGTTATTTAATTTTTAATTTTTTTACTTAATTGAGGCATTGTAATAACTTGGTTTTTCCAGTTCATTTGAAAACAATTAAATTATATGTTTATAAAAGTAGGTAACTAAATAATAGCCCGTGATTAAAATCAAACTAATTTAATATTTTGAATTCTGAGTGGAGTGAGGAATCTTGTAGATATTAGCTATATTGTAATAATGTGTTTATTATTATTATTATTTTTTTGTTTCTGTGATTGGTGACACATTTTAAACTAGATAGTTTACTTTACTCTTTAGTATGGTTGGTTTCTGGTTCGAAATATAATTTAGTAGGTATACCTTAGACTATTAAAAATAGGGATTTTACTGTACTTTTTTCAATATTGAATTGGAAAAATTAGTAAAAAACAACTGGAATATATTTTAAACAACACGTGTTTTTAATAAGACCATTTAAATAATATGTTAATTTAGATAGAAAAAACTTAAGCGACTAGAAATTTTCACTAAAATGTTTATCATATTTTTTTTTACTTAGGTATTAACCTATATTTTTTAAGTTATTTAGACTGATACATTTAAGCTCCTTGTAGTATGGACTTACACATAAATACTAATAGGTAATAATAATTAATATGAAATAAAAAATTTATATAAATGCTAATTCCATTTGTTAATTTTAATCAGAATAGTTTTTTTTTTTGTATTTAATGATTTATTTTAAAATTAAAATTTAACACATCCATCAAAATGACTTATTTAATCAAAAACCTATTTTACAGTAGATGGAGATGTTTTTGTTAATTGCACTTACCTTTGTGATTAGATGCTTACACTAAAAAAATATTAAAAGATTTTGTTTTGCAAACAGTCACGCATTATTACACTGAAACTATTATATTATATAATTATGGTACATTTATAATATTCTATAATCAACGCTTGTTAAACCGTCTTTTAGCTGGAAGCTTATTTAACCAAAGAAGGGATTTCGGTCGGAAGTATTGTGATGCAAGTGAAGCATGATGCCCATGGTTACATGATTTTAGCAATGTTGCAATCAATGAAAAAAATAATCAGACTAAGTACACTGATTGTATCCTCTGAAGAAGGAAAAATGACTACTGTAGAGGTAAGATTGTTTTAAATATGCGTAATAAATAATTTATATGAATTAGAACTGAATCGAAGATATGGAATTTTATTATAGACACTTGTATAATCAAATATCTGTATTGGCTTTATTACAGCTATGTGATAGTATTAATTTTTATCGCTAAAATAAGATAATAATAATAATAAAAAAAAATAATAATAAACTAAAAATTATTATTAATTATGACGAATTGTTAGAATGGAACATAATTAATTTCAATATAGGATTCCGTTGCACGGATTATTAAATATTAATACATTTTACTGTGTTATATATCAGCGTTTAAAAATTGACGACTCTCTACCTCTTTTGTCCAGCTAACGTTATATATTTTAAATTGTTAATTTATATAAAATAATTCTTAAGTAGGTGTATTATATATGTATGGCTGTAGACTTGTAGGATTAAAAAATACAGTTAATAAAGTAATTTATTATAAAAAGAATCGTTCTTATAAATATGAAATAAACACCAGTTATTAAGCAGTGTATTAATTGATTATTTATAAATTAATATTGAATAAATAATATATTTTTAAAATTATTGTTTTATGAAAAAGCGCAAAAAAATATCATTCAAATACAAAGTGGCCTGTGGAACTTAAAATTATTTTTAACTACTGTATTAGTTAATTTGAGTTACTTATCTCTGCAGCCATATAAAATAAATTAATAAATTCAATTGAATTTTATCCGATAAATGTTCAATTTTGTAATAATTCTATTAAAAATAATGGATTTTTCATAATATTGTTTTCACAACATTGATTAGTGTGAGTTTGTTTTGATTTGTAGATAAGCGAATTCTGACAAATATCTAGTATTTTAATCAAGCAGATTATTGCCCAGTAAATGAAACATGATTAATATTATCAATTAAATTATTAGCATAATATCAGATTTCCACCTTAAGGAGTTAAAAGAACATAAAAAAAAAAAAAAAAAAAACAACACAGACACATACGAGTAGTAAGGCTCAAATTTCTTTAATTTTGAGTGGACACACGTAAGCCAATTATTATTTTGTCATCATAGTTTTTTACGAATTCCTTTAAATGACCTCATATTTGATATGTGAAACAAATTATGACAGTGTTGAAAATCGTTTGTTCTAATATTATAATATAATTAGTGTTATAATAATTATAATAAAACTATACATATTATTTACTATGTTATATATGTTCGTATATCGGTTTACTTGCAGATATCTTCAATGCAAGATAACTCTCAAGCTGTGTTCGTGAAGAGTTCATTAGTGTTCAGGCGGCCAGGAATATATGTTGTCAATGTTCAAGGGGAATCGATAATCGATGGAGTATCCACTTTGTTATTAGGAAACGTAAAATTGTGGTACATATTATGATTGTTTGGTCGCAAAATTGAGAGTTAAGGTTTTTCCATCGATAATAATGTTTTAAATCACGATATTTGTGCCAACAGGTTTATTGGTGATAAAGGCGTAATCAGAAGCTCTGTGGAATCTCGATATTTACAAGGACACATAAATATTGACTGGGTATTGTCGCCGCCACAACACATCTGGGGAGCGGTAGACATTGAATACGCGTTGAACAAAATGTCGCAACAAAAGCTATTTTCCAAAATGTACTTCATTGCTCCCGAGAACAGTATTAGCCAAATAACTGTAGGAGCACGTGTCACTGCCAATAACAAATGGACGTAAGTCATATATATTGACTATTGTATAGGTATCCTATTACATAACTAGAAAATCACCTATTTTTTTTTTTTTTACTATTATTATTGTGTCTATATAATATATATGTAATATTGGTACCTATAATTATATATACTAATATGTGTCTGAAGTTTTGGGGTTAATTTGTAACTATTATTACTTTATAGGTACTAATATAATATATACTTCATATTATATATTATATAATTAATTAATATGACGTTCAAATTATTGAATTTTAGGTGTAAATCATATTTACGGAACAGTTACAAAACTCGTTCTGTAATGAACGATAAGTAATTCAAAATTTGCGAATAAGTCGTAATATGTAATGATATTAGTTTTTTAAAATATTGTAAAAAAAAATGTTAAAGCTCTATGATTAATAAAAAGTTTAAAATAAAATTCTTATTAAATAAGAAAATAAATACTAAATATTTTTAAGTTTTTATTTATTGTTAGTTTTCTTTTAGATATGTAGGTATAATTTAAAATCAGGCTTTTGTATAATTACATTATAGTAATTTGTTAAGTTCGCATACAATACGAGTTCTTATATTTATCGAAAGAGTCATCATTTTCCGTGTAAAAACTCACTTAACCACATATAGTATATACGTACTATAGAAGTTTAGTTTTAGTACAAAACAAACGTATTTGTATATAAAATATTTAAAAAAATATTTCATATTACTTGAAAAAAGTAATAAATTTGTTGTCAATTTCCCTTTAATAACTGATACTTATTGAAAATTACAAAATGTTTTAAAGAAAATAAGTAAAGCAATATTATTAGAAATAAACTTCCCGATTGCCTACATTTTATGGGGTAGAGTTATAACCTGCCCTTAAACTGTACAAATAGTTTGTCTCATATCTACCACATAATTATATTAGTTCTTGTAATCAATTAATCAATTAATTTTTTCTTGTAAAATATATCCTAATATGTTTAATAGGTTCGAAGCTAATTCAACAGCGATGATACCGTCGCTTCGAAACATATCATTTTCGACGCATTTGATATTGCCACAAAATATTACCAATAAATACGCAATTGTCGGCAACTTGAAGATTCACGATCAATTCGAATTTATTTCACATCTGTTCCATTATCGGTCGCCAGATTTAAATTACGAATTTGCCACGTTTAGCGAGGTAAGTGTCCTATAGGCGATTATCTACCTAACTATGACGGACAACGGCAATGTCATTGTTGTGGTGGACGGTTTTAAATGTGTCTGAATGTTTTTGATGCAGGTTCTTTGGAACGAGAAAATAAATGGTTTGGTGATGTGGGCGTATAGAACAGAAAATCGTGTGTTTTTGGTTGACACGTTCAGTGGTAAGACAATGGAAAAGTTTTACGACATACATAATGTGTTTGACGCGAGTTTCCTTAAGCACAGACATATTTCTAATTTAGTGTACAAAAAGCCAAATAAACCGCATAATATCAGGTGAATTGAATTAATATTGCATGTATAATATGTATATAACTTACTATAGGTACATCGTATAATATTATTATGTTTACTTTTTTGTCAAATAATTATAATATTAGTAACATTTATTAGATTTTACGATTCTATGAACGTTTAAGTAAAGTTCCAATTTTTTAATCACAAAATACATAAAGAAAAATTCAAATTCATAATAATAATTATGGTTAATACATTCTTATATTTTAATCCACATAATTTTTTAGAATTAAAAATTGTATAATTATTTTCATAAAAATAATGAATATTTTTATTCATATAATATTGTTTTTTTAGTGATATTTGTATTAAACAACACTTAATATTTTTAAATTTATTTAAGTTTTTGAATATATATTATATATATATTTTTTTTTTACATAGGTAATTTCCAATTGAAATTAGACAACATAAAAAAAAGTTTTTAATATATTTTTTCTTTATAATTTTTTAAGGTTTTTAGTTTTTTAAATGTTAATATACATTTTTAATTTCATACTCTAAAGCATAGTTTTTTTGGAGAATTTTTGTACATAAAAATTAGAATTCATGTGAGTAGTATATGAGTTATGAGTAGAGCTCGGATATAAATGCCCTCAAAAATATCAAAAAATGCCCTTTCAATAAATGCATTTATGACCTAAAAGCTCTAAAAATGACCTAAAAATACCAAAAAATGTTCTTTCAAAAAATACATTATTTGTTATAATTATTCAAATTATCATGTAAAAAAAAGTATGATATAAAAAATTAAAAAAGAGTAAAAATTAAATTACATTTGCATTACACTAATAAAGACTTCTTTAATAATTTGAAATTTTAATGGTCGACGGTTATCTATCTACAAGTTTTTATACACTGACAATGCCTCATCTAATTTAAAACCGGATTATCTGGTGTTAAATTCAACATGTAAATAATTTACATTACGTAGTATTATGTATAGTACTATGTTTAAACAAAGTCAATTTTAGTTATAACAAGAGAAATAGGTTAAAAATGTCCTAAAAAAATTAAAAAATGTATTAAAAACATCAAAAATTGCCCTTAAAAGTATAAAACTCACTAAAATACAAAAAATGTCCCAAAAAAATTTTGTGGTTAAAACACGGAGTACTTAAAATACATTTGTAGCTTGGAAAGCGTTCGAAAAAAATGCAAATGCATCCCTAATTATAAGTATTTGAAGTTTTTGTGATATTTATTTATTGGAATACTCCAAAAAATACTCTACTTCAGAATATTAAATTAAAAATGTATGTTTTCATTCAAAAAAGTAAAAAAATTATAATGATAAAAATATTGAAAACATTTTATTTTAATGTTAGTTGATTTTGACTGAAAATTATGTGAAAATAAAATATATTTTCAAAATCTTTAATAGATTTAGAAATAACGATTGTTTTTTTAGTAAAATAATCATTCAATATAGACATTATTAATACAAATTATTTAATATTAAATTCGTAATAATTACAATGTTATTAATATAGAGATACATTTTATCAATATCTAAAAGTAAAATTGGTACCTGATAATTATTTGGATAAATTTTTGATATTGGATTTGATTTAAGTATTGATAATATAATTATAAAAACAATGTATCATAATATAAAAAGTAGGTTAGCTATTAATATTACGTATATACAATTGTCTCGTTTTAACATTTTTATTGCTTCTATTTTTTTCTTGGTTACATTAATGAAAACCATGTTTTAGTTATTTTTTTAATTTTTATGAGTAGTTGTAGGTTATTAAAAATAAAATTGTATTGTTAGAGTTTTGTAAGTGTTTATTTTTTTATTGTTAATTATTGTTTACAAAATGTACAAAAATATAATAAGAACGAAAATATGAAATTTGAAAAGGAAAGTAATTATAGAGTGGTCGTATCATTATTATGTACACAAATCCTGCAGAATCAAAGCCAGACAATTTATCAAGTTGAATAATAATAAATAAGAAACTTTAAGGTCACAGGGTTAAAAATAATATTGTATTTGTTACCGGGAATAAAAAGACTGCAGATGAAAAATTATTGAAATAATATTTAATAAAGCTTATTCTATAAATAATATTTTATATATGAATGCTATATGCTATACGTACATAACTTAAAATAATAATAATATTATTCATAGTGCCTAAAATATCAAATTAATTTTCTACTTAAATTTTAAATATTCATTTGAAAAATCAAAGTATAAATTATTTTTTAGAAGTGTAAATAAATAAAATGTCAACATCTCGCTCGATATAGGCTCATCAAAAATTATTATCATCATAATGTTTTAAGAATTTTTTTCAAAGTTCATGGTGTTTATAAATAAATATTGTAACAACAGATTTAAACATTTTAAAAATGAATTTAATATAAAATTATTTGAACCTTGAATGTATACATGTAAAGCATAGACAATTGAAATATAATATTATACTTTGCAGTCTTATATTATTTTATCAAATTTTATATTAAAATATCAAGTAATTATTCAAAATAGCAAACTAAAAGAAAATTTTAAAATTTACCATTTATATAAATTGTATTCAACCATGACTTTTCAAATTATTTTCAAATTACTTTGAAAAGAACTTTAAGTCTGCAGTCATATTGAATTTAATAAAAAATTTTAAATTAATTTTCATGTACATTTATAAGTTGAACAATTTTCAGAATTTTGTATAGTACCTATACATTTTTGAATATAACTTCTCGTCTATCGAAAATTCTTGCGTAATAAAAATGTTAGAAATATGCTTGAATAGTTAATGTGTAAATACATGCACTAAATTAATTTATTTCAATAGATTTTTATTACGTGTTTTAGAAAATTGTTTTTAGATAATTTCTAAAATACTACTTAAATATTGTAGCTATGTAAAATTATAAACAAATTTCCAATTTTAGGTAGATTATAGACATCTAGATAAAATTAAATACTTTTTTTATCAATAAATGTATAAAATGTATTTTGACTGCAATAATGCTCAAAAATATAACTCATTGTACATGATGTACTTCATGAAATTTATTATTACATCATTTAACTATTATGATATTAATTAGACAGTAAACATTTAATTGTTTGATAAATTATAAATAAATAGTATAATTGTTTTTGTTTTTTTTTTTAAGAATAAGACTAAAAAGTTTTTCACTAAAAATTAATAATTTTTTTTTAAATTCTAGCAGTAATGTTTTTGTTTAAAAATTGAAGGGCTCAACTACTCAAGCATTGGTTAATTTAATTCTCTATTTGCACATAGGAGTAAAATTAATAAATTGTATAGATGTTTGTATTTATTTTTTCATTTATAGTTTGGAAGTATTTTACCCACCGGAAGTCAAGATCACTTCAGCAATGGTGAATTTTGAGTCGTTCGATAATTTTATATCGTTCATTAACACGACTACACCGTTCGTCACTATTCCATACTTTGCGTTGCGCATTATTGCAGAAACAACACTGTAAAATATAATTTATTTTTTAACTTTTATAAATACATCCGGCTTTTGAGACTGGAAACTTTTGCGACAATAATATTACAGTGACGGTGTGCATTCGACAGGTTGAACTTTCATCGACATATTGAGGTGTTTTGGCCACACACCAGTGCTCTGTTGAACGCTACCAATTCCAAGACATTGAAAGAAATCAGCACGATGAACGTTGGAGAAATACTTTTGCAGTTCCCTATCGACAAGAAGTACCACGTCGGTAGGTTCGTGTTCAAATACGAAGTAAGTTCAATGATATATAAATGTATTATATCGTATACGTACATAGCATGTGCTGATTACTTTCAGATCAAGCTACCTCCTTCTTCCTTTCGAAAAAAAAAATCTAAGTCCTGTCATTTTCATAGATTTTAAACAATCTATAATTAAAAATTCATAAATAAGTCTAAGATTGTGACTTTTAAATCTAGTATTTAACATAACTAGGTACCTACTTAAACGTCTTAAACTAACATTGGTGTGTGTGTACTGCATAAATAACTTATAATTACTTACTGCTAACAATATTATTAATAATTGTAAATTATTGTTATTATTGTTATATCTATAAATTATATAAAAAATTAGACATTTAGTTTATATTATGTTAAACGTCTATAAATTACAACAATTAACAGAAGTAAAAAATTAAACAAATTTAAAATAATAAAAAACTGAAAGCAATACTTAATGCAAAATATTACAAATAATAATTTGAAAACTCCAATTATTATATCCTAAATTTCGGCTTATAGCTCTTGACTGAATTAGTAAACTTAAATACAAACTTTTTAATAACTGCCACTAATTTAGTACTCACTATTCTAATCCATTAATTATTAAACTATCAATGGAAAATTAGGCAATAAAAAAAAAAACAAAAAAAAAAAAAAACAATGGTATTGTGATTTGTTTATTTAGTAAAAACACTTGTTATAAACTTTAAAATGTGTAAATTATCTGTATCTATAAAAGAATAAGTCCTGTCTGGCCATTTAAATGGGAAACTTTGTAATGTATTTCGCCAGTTTTGCTTATCGCTCGTATTATTATGTTTTACTTAAAACTTGGAAGGTAGATTGAAAAAAAATATATTTACAATTAAATAGTAATTTTTAACAACGGTTTTCATTATTTAACAATAATTATTAATAATTTATGTACTAAAACATGTATGAAACAATCTTTATTTTAATAAAGCTATTATTATATTAAGCCAACGGCAGAATAATAACATATTCGATGGAGATTCATCTGGTTGTTTTGAATATAATACATACATAGATGTGTCTGTTATTTGTTCAAAATAATTTGAATTTGTGTTTTTTGTTCTATTCACTATATATTAATATTAAATTAAATTAAATACATTATTATGCATTATAGGACTTGACAAAAGAAATAATTGGAGATTCGAGAGTCGTGTACGATGATATTAAAATCGTCGAAGGAAACTTCACCAGGAAATTTACTGTATACAATAACGACTTTATTGATGATTCCATTGATGTGACGGTTCAAAATAAAGTGCTACCTCTGGGCGTAAAATACCTTCATAGGGTGAATAAAGATGGACATGTGGCTACGGTGGACGTTCCCAAAACTGTGAGTAACAATTATTTTATTCAATTGCTCTTTTTAACGCGTTTATGCGTCGAGAAAGTTTTACTACTTATTTTTGGTACATAAAAATATTAACGCAGGTTGGCAATTACTGCTTTTAGATCAATATTATATAGATAAAAAAAATTGTTACAAAAAATGAGTTAATAAATAAATAAATTTAAAAAATTGAATTTTTTTTTTTTTTTTTGTTACATTTTGTCAAATGTAACAAATAACCAATATAAAGACCTCTTAAAATTATTTCATTTTTAAGACAAATGTTAAGCAGTAATAGCTGATTTTAATATTATGCTTTGATGTAAACTAATTGCTTAGAGTAAAGTTAGTTCATGAACATTTGTTTCTCCAAATATCGATAAGGTTACTTATATTAAATCTTTGAAAAATACTGGTAAGACGTCCTCCTAATCGCAATCCAAGTAGCTTATATACATAGTGACTGTTTATATTTATAGAGCTGTTATTGAATAATATTTTTGTATTTAATTTTAGGACTTTAAACGTATAGAAATGTTTAAACTTCACAATGAAACTGAATTCAACGTGACTCTTGAAATGCTGCAGGACAAATACGAAGTAGCCAGGGCAAATACATTGAAAGGTTTGCTTGTCGTGTTTATTTAGTCATAATTGTTATCAGTTTGCGCAGTATATTAATATCATATTTTTTACCTAAAGGATTACAGCCTTCATTTTTAAAATAATAATAACAAAAAAGAATTTGTACTTACAATACAATAATATTATATTATATTATTACTTTGCGTTCCGACATCGATTATTTGAGAGTTGTGTGTACATTTTTAGTTCAAAAATAAATATTACGTAATCGATCTTGAGTTACCATTCATGGGTTTGAAACAACACTTCCAATAATTAAAAAAAAAAAATCCATTTTAATGAATTCTGAGTAAACAACGCACGAGTTTCCACTTATCAAATATGTTACCAAGAATTATTTACGTATTGGTATCGTTTGACATTACAAGTACCATTACGGTCAACAGTAAATTAATTATTTTTCAATAGATGAAAACGTAGAATGATTGAGTGAATTTTGTGATAACTAGGCATGTCTTTGATGTCAAAAACTAATTATTCAAGGCAAGAAGAACGCTGTTATTGGTGTACAATTAGATTCACTAATCAATAATATTGTATTCAATTTTTGTTTTAATTTAAATCATTTTGTACAGACAATTTGAAGACTACAAATACAAAATATTCAATTAAAATAAAACTATATACTTTTTTTTTATGCGTGACGCGTTGGTAACGACTTAAATTGATACACCGGAAAAACGCTGAAAATGATGTAAATCTTTTAAAATAAAACCATATAAGCCAGAATAAAAATATTTAAAAACTATCTATATTTAAAATTTTAATCAGTTGTTTATAACACAGTATTAAAGTAAACGGAGATGGACATCAAAAATTATTAACTTTTCTGTCAATCTAATTTTAACTGAGTATGCAAATGTGTTGGTTCCTGAATATATATTAAAAATTAAAAATCTATTGGTATCTAAAAAAAAAATAATGTTAGTGCAACAAAATTATAATACTTCTTTTAATAATGTTTTAAACAAATATTGAAAATTAAAATGTAAAAATGAATATGTGTTTTTCTAAATTATGGGAAACATTGTTACCGACCTATTATAAGATATAATTAATGTTTATTCTTGCCAAAGTTTTTCCTTTTAACAACGTATTTAATTTCCATCAAATTATCAGAGCATCAGATATTATGCCTGTTTTATTGGTATTTATCACACGTATCGGTCCAAATTATTAGATAGTATTAATCAAAAGTCAGAAATTTGTCTACTAACTGTAATAAATAATTATATTAACTGCAACATTAGCCCACAAAACTAAATATGCAGAATATTTTTTAATAAATAAATACGAGTAAAAAAATATTGAATTATACGTCATGCATTTAATTAGAACTTTAACCAATCCCAAAGATTTCGGTATTAGAAGTTAGGATAGTAATGCTTTATAGATATCATGGAAAAAATTACCCTCTATCCCTCACTATATGACTAACTAGTTTAGGAGATAGGTTAGGTAAATACTACTAAATATATTGATTTAATTATGATATGAACTATTGGTAGTTCATGAATTTTTTCAAGTTACCAAAGCAAAGTTTTAACCATATTATTGAAATTCTTGATTTAAAAAACCACATTAACTTTAAAAAATATATAGATAGCAACTAAATTTAATATAATTTATATAGAAAAAATTTAATAAAAAAAAACTAATACTAACTTCAGATATTTATATTTTTTCCATAACGTATCTAATAATATTTTTTTATACAAATTTTTATCAATACGTATCAATATGCATTTTTTCAAAATTCAAAATCAATTAAAAATAATTAATAGTTGTTTTCGTTATATTTGTAGTAATAAATTTCAATAGGAGTATCGTGGTAAATTCGTATTATGTTGATGATAATGATGACTCTTATACAAGAAATATAAAAATAGTTTTGAATCCCGAAGCCTGGATGAACTCAGCACTGAAGGTTGCTTATCATAATTCGGTAAGTAGTACATGATTATTATTACACTAGATATGAGGGCGTTGGCGCCCTATTTTTTTCTTTTTCTGATCCTCGCACATCATAGCAAATTTACATTAAAAAATGTACAGTACATAGATAGGTTTAATATTCAAGTGTCCGATAACAGATTTAAAGTTATGAATTTGACTTTTGTTCAAACGTTTGTTATAAAACACTATTTTAATTTTTCTATAGTAATTTTTAATCATTATTTGCAGAAAAATTGAAATATCTTAAAATAGCCAAAATATAAACACAGATAATGTTAGTTTGATTGTATGTTAATGCACTTTTAACTAACAATATTAGATTGACTTTGCTGAATGAAAATTTGCTACGATTCTCAAAAAGAAAAATTTAATGCGCACTAATATATATATAAGTATATATTTCATTTTAAAAATAACTTGAATAATTTTAATTTGTTTGAAGACACCTAGTGAATATGGGAAAATCATTGATATAAACGTAGCTTATCCCAGGAGGAATTTTTCGATTATTAGCGACGTAGAGACAGACACTAAATATTTAATGTCTCAGATGACACTAATACAACACAGAACTTTGCCGGACGATAAATACGTACTCGGATATCGAATTGATTGGAGAAAACTTGAGTCTAAAGTTAATAGACATCGTATAAACGTATTGTTGTATCACCCTTCATTCCAAAAAGTAAGTAATTCTAATATAAAATGTCAAGAGTAAATAAACTTCGAATTGACTATAGTCGTCAACTTTAATTGTGTTTGAGTTCTAAATATATTATTTTATTTGTAAAAATTATTCAATATATACTTTTTTTAAAGAGAGCTTGGATCTCAAGATGGTTTTATTTTATTTATATTCTTAACTTTTAAAAATACACTTTACATAATATCTCATTGTGCTTTCTATTTAAAAATGTTTGTAATGATAGTTTAAACTTCACAGAAGTATAAACAATAATATTACCAGTTTTGCTGGTAAACTTGTAAATGTATAAACTATTTATACATCTTATGAGCAGATATTATCAGTGTGAAAATATTTTTAAAATAAAAAGTAGGTACTTTGGTAGTGTATTAATTTATTCTTTTATTATAGTATATAGGCTCCTTTATTTCTAATAATGAAGAGATATGCGTTAATAGCGCTATATGAATGAGAAAAATAATTAACTATAAAATATTATATATATAACAACTTGTTTTTAAAATTGTGTATTTTGTTTGGTAAATAAGATCACATAACTATTAATTTATAAATTACAATTCCTCTAAAAAATAAAAATAAAAACAATAGTGAATAACTTTATTTCCAGTTATTAATTATAGTATTATGTTAGTTGTCATACATATTATATTATTCTATGTCATGTATAATATTTACTATAATTATTTAGAGTTAAATGTTCATCTTACTTAAATCGTTTTTGGTGTATTTTAATATTCACAAAGTAGGTATATTTTAAAATATACTTTTAGGAGTAAGCTTCACATTATTTTTTAGATTTTGGATTTTATGATAATCGCTTAATGATGCAATTATCGTAATATTTATTTCAATGTATGTAACACATATAGCTATAGAGTCTAACGATGTATCATATTTTTAGAATGTTACAATTAGAGGAAACTATTCACGTGGTAATTCAATACTCTTCGATTTAAATGCTGAATACGATTATGCGTTAGATTCAAGACGGAAATTTACTATTGGTTGTTTGATTGAAAACAATTCGGCTAAGTCTAAACGAAACTACTTTTTATCCCTTAAAGGAAGACATTTAATTACCAAGTAATAATTAATTATTATAAGTCATGTGAATGATTGTATAATAATTTAAAAAATAATAAATAATAATTTTAATTTATTTAATTACTGTAAGATAAAATCATTGATAAAAATATAAAACAATTTATAAAAATAAAAAATAGTGTTAAAAATAATAAAAATAATTCTTTTAACATGAACATTATTTTTTAGATTTAAATTAGACGCGGCTGGCACTTTTAAATCACAAGAATTCTATCATTACTTCCATAATAATATTACTTATAAACGAGCATACTTACCAGATCAGTATTGGGACGGTAAAGGTTTATTGGATTTTTTTAACAAAACTATACAGATCGAGGTATATATTTTTAGTAAATAAAAATGTTTTTAATAATAAATTATTACTACAAAAAAAAGAAAAAAAAAATTAACATTTTATAATATTGTGATTTAGAAATATTCAATTCTCGATACTACTATTATCCACGGGAACTACAGTAATTTTCAAGGAACACATTATGTGAACGGACTGATACGAAGAGGAGATGATCAAAACATAGTTGGAAAATTTTACGTCAATATTCCACAGAAAGACACACATTTAGTAATTAATTTTACCCCAGGTGAGTGTAAATAATATTTTTAGTAATATGAATATTTATTAGCATTTAACAGTATTATATTTCCCATTTTTCCGTCTTATTGAATTAAAAAAAAAAAAAAACTAAAATAATTTAGTGCTGTCTCTCGGAATGAAATTTTCATTTGTACCACATTATGGACTTCTAGAAATATCTTTTTAAAATTGAAAATTAGTTCTACTGCACAAAGTTGAAAGGAAGCCTTAAGCAGTACAATAAGCGACAATAAGTGATAAAAATCATGTATTAATACAAAAAAAAATATTATATTCTTAAATAATATAAATATATATAATTTTCAATTTAACTTAATATACAAAAAGTATTATATAAAATGTTTAGACATTGTTGAAGAAATGTCCAAGTTAAATACTTCACACATAACATATATGTCTATAAAATAAAATTGTGCCTCATATAATTTTAATATTTCAAAATTTCTTAGGTAAAAATTATGAAAAATCTTGTTTAAAATTATTAGGTAGGTTTTTTGATTGAACAAAAACATTTTTAACTACTATAAAAAACAAACTAAAATTTAAATATTTTAAATACCTATAAAAAATCTTAAAATTAGTTTAAATATTTTGAAAATTTAATTAAATAGGGAAAATAGAAAAAAATAATATAAGTTATACCTAATGGAAAGGTTCAGATTAATAATTTTGAATTATAGTAAAACAACAAAAATCATTTGAGGATAAAGAGTTATTAGGTTTAATTTAGGTAGATACACTTTTATAGTTCTTCAGAACTGCGCATTTAAAATATTCAAAATAGCTGTTTTTTAGTGTAGGTAGGACTGGAGAAAATTAAATTTTCCGGATAAACCGATATCTTGAATATTTTAAAAACAGTTGTACAAATTTATGCGAATGTAAGGAATAATTTATTATGCCAATTTGTAATTAAATATATACCTATATTTCCTTCTTAATTAAGCTTTGTACATAAATGCATGATTTAAATTACTAACACAAAACAAAATTAAACAAATAAAAAAATACACACACACATACAAATATCATTGACAAATCCATACATTTAACATTTTTCTAGGGACCTAAAACAGTTAACAACTTAGGTATTAGATTAGTACAGTCCGAGTAAAGTACATGATTTTTTTTTTTATGATCAATAAAATTTAAAGATTTGATATTAATTTAAGTTAATTAAACTAGGTTGGTACTCATATTTTGTATTAATTGTACTGTAAGCATACTCAAATTAGTATTTGTATAAGTATACTTAAATCTAAAATAACATATGAATTTAATATATATTTTTAATTATCATATACTTTTAATTTTTAAAACCAATTTTGTTTTTTATCTGTTAATTTATTTAACATTAATTTATAATTAATTTATTAATTTATTTATAACTAAATTTTGTTATAATTAATTAACTATACATTTGTGTATTTAAAGGAAAAAAATCAGTGAATATTTTAGTTGAAAATTTATAGTAAATACAAAGTTTACAGTACGTTGGATTTAATACTAGTTAAAATAGTTGCTAAATAAAATCAAGTTACGTGTTTAACATATAATATATTAATTTTCTAATGGATTAAAATTAAATTTCAAATATAAGGTACCTATTATACAAATATTTTAATCTCAACAACTCGCAAGTCACTATATAATTACTTTATAAAAGTTTATATTTAGTTGAGTATTAGCTGTTTATGTATTCATTGAATTTATAATTAGTTTTTTCTTAATACTTTTATTTTAGATGCCACAAAACAACTGTTTATGTCTGGAAATATGTTAGAGAACAAAATTGCTAAATTTAACATATGGAGAACTGAAGATAATGTAATTATTCCTGACGTTGGATTTTCTTTAAGCCTTAACCATTCTAGATTACTGTCTTCTTCTTTGGAATGGAGAATCGATTTAAAAGATAATATTGTGGTAATTAACATTTATCATTATTAATATTAATATTGCATTATATTATTATATTTATTTATATTATTATTACATTGGCTATGTTGCAAGAAGTGTTCAACTTGATAATTTATAATACATAATAATACTCTATATGTATGTTTAGAGTGTGTTACGTACATCAGTGAATCGTACTTGGTGTTATATCCAAGATACAACAGAGTTTTGGACACATTACATAAAATCTCAGACGGTGGAAACTGCAAATGGTATTTGGGCTGACACAAAACCGGAAATACAAGAATTTCTGAACGATATAAGGTATTGTTATTTTTGTTTTATTTGAACTTCAAGAATAGAAACTTAAGAAAAGAAAAACTTTGTGATAAAAATTGCTTTATTATTTAAACTAAATGTGCTTAATATAGTGGCGTAGGTACTTTATAATTTAATACCAATTACTTTTGGATTATTGATTTGTACATAGAAACTACAATATGACCTTTTCTCAGAAGTTGAATTAGTTCAAACATAAATTCGATGAGTTCAAAGTTAATTCACTTTGATTTCACGAAGGTTAACAGATTTAAAACAATAGAACAATTTAGTTTAGATTTTTATGGAAATATTCTAGTATTATATAGATTTAATCGATTTATTTTAAAATAGGTTTAGTTTGAACAGTAATACTCTTAGATTAGGATCCAGAATTTTTACGTAAATATAAATATACTTATAAAATATTTAATGTTAGGTATATAAGATATATGCAGTGATTCAAAAAAACAACACTTAAAAAATAATAACAATAATAAGTTGTAAATACTTTTTTTTTAAATATTATTTTAACATCAATTGCGTAAAAATATTATCAAAAAAAGTCAAGACCTTTAGAAATAATAAGAATAAACAGATAAATAGATCACCTTATCTATGTATACCAATATTATTTACATATCTTGTTTATTCTACATTTATTCACATTATTCGTAATTTGTTCAGCAACTTCCACGTACTAGAAGAAGATTTGGCATACTTCAAAAAGGTGTTCAATAATTCTTACAACGCAAATGAGTTTTATTTGAAAGATATTCATGGGCTGTATATTGCAATGATGGAGGACATGTCATTTATGTAAGTGTTTCATGTACACTGAAGTAATCAAATGTTATAAACTTATAAAATTATTATATTACTACGATGTATTTTTGTGGTGTACTATTTAAAATACGTTAATAATAATTATTAATAACTTATTTTTATTATTAATATTTTTTTTTTCGTTTTTTTAGGAACACAATGGGATCGTTACCACAGATTGTCAATGAAATATGGACAGCACTAGGTGATACGGGTCAAACAATTAGAAAATCTATAGTTTGGTTTATCGACAATGTGAGTGACATTATGTTTATATTATACAATGATGGTAACATATAAAGGATTTTACAGTAATGATTGATAAGTGTAGTTAAATTACTGTTATTTATAATTTTTTTAAAAATCAATTATTATTAAACAATTATATAAAGTAAAAATAAATACAAATATTCATTATTACAAAAATTATTACAATTTATCAGTTCTTTTTGTTACGACCTATATGTAAAATTTTAAAAGTCTAAATAATCCATAGCATTTCATAGTGACATCACTTAAAATACCTAACTGGAATAATAATACATTTTAGGTTTTAAGTGATATACTAGATTTTCAAATGGCATTTTTGTTTAAATCATGTGTATTTTTGATTAAGAATTAAAATATCAAGAAAGAAAAATATTAAATGTAAATTCATAATTGTTATATTATGATATTATGTTCTTGACTTTTATTATAATTTTTTTTTTATTTTGGTTGTTCACTAACTCTTGACCTTTTTAATTTAGACCCCTAAAAACTATGAAAATATTATTAAAAACAATTGTATAAAAAAACATTTTCAATAAAAATACAAAAATACTCGAGTAAAAACTTTTTTCAATTAATATTTATTTCAGTATTTTATATTTCATTATGAATACTTCTATTTCTCAGATCTTAAAATGTTTGTTATTGTAGTTACAACAGTTTATCGAACATGTACCGCAATTTTTAGTAATTATAGTTATGTAGTATTGCTCCATAAAAAAATAAATTTAGAAATAATTACGTCCAGTAATGTAAGAAGAATGTAAGATATACCAAAATTAGGGATAGGTATTCATATCAAATATTATTTTATTATATTGATATGGACGATAAGACATGATGATAAAAATTTTACCCCAAGATTGGCGTATTTTAATTTAACCGTTTTATAAAACCATTGTATAATTGAATATTCTTTTTTTACATAAAATAACAGTATAAATATTTATAAAAGAAAGCAGAAATGTAAACAATTGCTGTTTATTGTAATAAAGACGGTTTGGAACAATAATATTTTTATTGTTAAATTAACTTTTTGAGAATAATTATTATCAACAACGTTCGTGAATTTATATAAAATTGTCAATTACCCTATTTTTTCAATATTTTATAGTTTTCCGGCCTTATTGTTTTCAATGACATGTATTCGTTGATCTATGCTTGACTATAGTTTTCCTTTTTTCATCGCAGTGATTTTTAACCATATTATAATATTTTAGTTTTTCTGCACGATTGTACTATAAACACTGTGTTTAATTCTAAGTTTAGATTTCATGGCCTTTAGATTCTTATTTGCCGATTTATTCTCCCTCACTATTGTAAAAAATTGAATTCGTTCACGCATTAGCATTCATTGAAAAGAAAACTCCATCTGTCAATTAATTGTTCGCATTGAGAAATTATAGGCTTAAATAACTTATTGATAATTTTTTCCAATAAACAACAAAAATATATCTTAATTATACAAGATCACACAAAATAAAACATATAAAAAATAATATTAAAAAAAAATAAATAATAATAAATTATATTTAATAATATTAAAATGTAAAAAAAATACTGCACGAATTAGTTGCTCCAAAAACATTAAAAATGCACCAAAAATAAATATATATTTAAATTCAATTCAATCAAACTTACTTTATATTTGATAAAAAAGAGTATCTAACGGGTTTTTATCATGAATAAACGTGAATAAAATAGACATAATGACCGCAGTATTTTATGATATTATGATAAGAAAAATTAGATATGTTTTATGAAAATGATTATATTTTATTGTTTTTACTGTTTTGGTTGCAGATAAAAATGGCTTACGAAGAATTTGGTAAACTATTGAAACGATTGATGGAAGGTGAAGCCTTCATTTATATCTCAGACTTTATTAATAGTTCCATGGTTAAATACGACAAAGTGAGTACGAAATATATTATATTTGATAATAATTATAAGATAGAAACATTTTATTCAATTCAAGTAAAAATTCATCGAGTAACTGAATTTTTGTTGACTAGTTGATACGTGACGTTCATATATCGTTCATAAGATACGTTGAGAGTATGTTGGAAGAATCTTCAAATACGGTGGCGGCGTATTGGAGTAATGTATTAAAAACTATCGAGCCGACTGTGGTGCAGATTTTCCATCATATCGAAGCTGTTTTCGTGTCAGCTACAAAACACGTCATTCGTGAGTTTCATGAATATAGTTAGTTCAAATAAATTAAAAATAAATTAATAATGAACGTTTTTGTTTTATTATTATGGTACAACAGAATTTTTGTACGCTAGACAACAAGAGCTTATGCAATCGCCGTATTACGCGCACACACAAAACATGACACAAGACTTGGATAAATTTTATAAAGATCTTATGCAAAATGATTTGTTTACAAATCTAAAAAAATACTGCATAATATTGTTCGACGTCATCAAGACTAAATATTATCCTCTCATACCGTTCGGTAAGTACTCCACTGGCTATCACTTTCTCTCTTTCTCTCTCTTTATCTATATATAATATATATGCCTCTAGTTTATACAATAACATCGAGCATATCTGTGTAAATGTAAATATGACACAGTTTCAGTTTTTAATTTCAACGTAAGATAATTATTTTTTGAGACTTATTATATGATGAAATAAAAAGTTTAAAATGGGAAATGACAACATTTAGATAAAAAATTGGCATACTAAAACCTTTTATTTTTTTCAATTAGTCCACAAATAGAATAAATTATAAATAAAATAATCACCCTCAAGTCCTCCCTTCAAATTGGGACATTTGAGATAATAGTTAACTACCTATTATTTGTAGTTCTGTAAAAGATACTTAACCTATTAATGAAAATAATTTAACAAACTTCATAGACATCCATAAACAGTAAATCTAGTAATTTAGTCAAAAAATAAATAACTTTTGTTTTTTTAGTTGACAGTGAAACAATGGTATATGTATTTAAGTTTTTTTTTTCATCCTGGTTAGTTTTTCTTTTATCAAAAATAAAGGGAGTTTTGTTAAGTAAGGTGTTATAAGATATTTTTTTTCACTATTTTCGTTTCATATTTACTTATATTTTATGATAAAATATATGACAAGCAAATGACATATCTATTATAATAATTATACCCCAGCCGAAAGTTATCAATATGTCAAATCGATGGGCTTTTTCGTTAAAGCAAATTACTATCTTTGGGAGGGTGGTGATTGCTATATTATCCACCCTTGCTGCCTTAATCTAACTCCATTGGACTAAGTGCGCTTTACTCTGTTTGATCGTGTGTGTATTAAGAAATAATTATATTGTTTCTGCCCGACAGCTATATAGTGATAAATATTGGAGAAACGCCGCTTCCTCAATGCTTAAATCGCAATTGGGGGCAGGGGGAGCAATAACACTGAATCAAGCAATATAATGAGCTTAATCTGCTGTGAAATCAAGATTTTGTTTTTAGCTGTCTGGGAAGTTATTTCCGAGACGATCAACAAAGTCGTAGTCATAGGGTAGTAATTTCAACGACCAAAGCCATTATCCCACATAAAACAGTCGCAATAAAGTTGGCAAATTTTATAATGTAAAGCGAAAAAATAAAAATACAAATAATATAAATTATGTGCATATTGTATTATACGCAATGACAGTGTGCGTTTTATAGTTAAATACAGAATAGAGAATTTATGTAATTCGCAATCGTCCACATGCAAATATGCAATCTATCATTGTTTTATTATTGTAAACTCGCAGACATTTTGTAAAGTAAATGTATACTACCATGATAACTAAATATTTAGTATTTAATAAATCGTCGAAAATCCGATTAGGATCGATTTATGTAAACAAATAAACCAGGAAAAGTGAGGAGATGTCTATAATAATATGGTAATGATATGTACATAGAATTATATTGTGTACATCAATTTTTATTTTATCCTTAATGAATTACACTAAATTATTATATTTTTTATTAATTGTAAATTTGTTACACCATAAAAATATTTAGTAAGCTAAAACTGAAACACTTAACTATTTAAATAAGTACAAAATGCACATTTTTATTAAATTACTTAAGTACCTTCATATTATAAATCGAAAGAAAAATATACATTTCACATTTAGTTAGAACATGATTGCGTACGTTTGTTTTTTTTGGCAACACAATTACGTATGTTTGTGGATGAGTTGTCAAATGTTATCAAATTTATTAATTTTACCATAAACTTAATAAATATCTAGTAGAATATGTACACTTCTATAATAATCAATATAAAATAACAAAATATACCAAAGAGAATAACTAAATAATAGTAAAATAACTAATAAATAAATAAAATTGTCAATAAATTATTAATAAAGTTTAATATTTTGTACACAATAGTGTAAAAAAATCAGGTAAAATCTTACGCAATCGTGTATCTTAAAAAGATATCACCGATAACGAACGTACGCAATCGTGTTTTACCTTTACATTTGTTGTATTGGCATTTAAATAAATATTATATACAACCTGAAAAGTAACTTATAGACATGAAATAATTTATACTATATTAAGTCCCGAGAATGTATACCATTTAGATAATAGATATTTTAGATATTTTAGATTTTATTTAATGAACATGATGTAATCATAAAATAATAATATATTCAATATACAATTTAATTTTAGAGTATAATTTAAATTAAGCTCACATTAAAATTATTTATTTTTTTACTTTGGAGTATTTACCAAAATAATTTTTATATTGTATGGACTATGAGTTTTAATAATCTACTTATATATAATGTTATATAATAATCTGGACTAGGAAGGTAGGCACGGAAGCAACGAGAGCGCGGAAAGACCTTGAAACAGAATTTGTTTAATCATTGAAAAATTAAAACTTATAATTCGTATTTTGATATATAGCTAAATTATTTTTTTATTTTTAAAATATTTATTTTAAATTATTGTTGTTGTAAATCGTAAAGCTGATGATGAATAAGATTAAAACGAAATGATTAAAAATAAAATATTTTCTAGTCTAATAGAATTATTATTTAACGGTAATTTATAAAAATGACCGTAGAAAAATAAACAGATAAATAAATATACAATGTATAAAAGTGGCTAAAGGAAGACATGGTTAAACATAAAAATAGCTCAGAACAAAAATAAGTAAAATCAGTGAATAATAAAATAAATAGTAGATATATCTATTTTTTTTTTTTTAATAGTGGCACTCATTAAAATTGATAATCCAGTCATCTACGTGTTTTTAAAACGTAGTAAATTATTATTTTACTTATATGATGTGAAAATTAGTATCTACATATATGTATGATATAGCTACTTATGATTTCAGTATTTCGTAGCGCCGAAATTAAATATAATTTGTAGATACAATATTTTTGTATTATAAATGCAATTATTTTACCATGTTTATTTTAAGATACTCAGATACAATATGTAATATAATGCTTCGGGTATAATGAAATAATATTTAAAATTATAGCACATTACGTATAGGAAACGCAATAGAAAACTCCGTGCATTATTATCCGTAAAGTCAGATTAAGCACAGCATTGTCGTATTTTTTATGTTCTATAATATAGAAATAAAATAAAATAAAATTAGTACTGTCAAATAGATAATAAAAATACATTTTGTCTCGATCAGATTTATCTAAATTTTAAATATTCGTTGGTGTTATAAAAAATATTTTCTAACCTGACGAAAGAATATTTCAAATATTTGTTATCAAACCACAATAATACATTTAATAATAATAAATAAAAAACAAGTGTCAAAGTATGATTTTTTTTATACATAGCTGTTGGGTATATTAAATTCATTCATTTTATTTCTATTACAGTATTAGCAAAATGTTATGTATCGTATTATCCTACATACAATACTTATCATTCGTCAAACAAATAACACTGATGTAATCAATCACTACGTGCACATTTTGTCACGGAAACATTTTTTTTTTTTTTTTTTTAATTGCTTTTGTCGCTCGGCATCTACTACACGTTTCCATCAAGATAATAACAAGTGTGGCTTTTACTCATAAAACATATCATTAATGTTAAACATTAAAAAGGTTAAAAAAAAATAAAAATAAATAAATAACAAAATAAAGCCCAGTGTCAATCGAAGTGCCATATTAATCATATTATTATATAAAAATATTACAAACTCTATAATATTATGTACCATGTGTATACATTTGTATATTTAAATAGTATACAAGTAAAAACCACTTTTCGCTTGCTAATCGCTACTTTTTAAAAACGACAAAACATAAATTTGAAATTTGAAATAGTGGTGTCTCTAATACTCTAATACTCTAGAATAGACATATTAATATCTACTTTGATACCATATTTTAGGACCTATTTTATTTAAAAAGAATTTTGACTGACAATAGATGAGTTAATATTTAGTTTATGGGTCTTTCTGCTCTTACGCATTCTCAGAGAGTTAACAATTTGGATTTTTCTTTAAATGTGTGTTTAGGTAGAGGACACCACTAACTTTTTAAAAAAGTCTTGATTTAATTCACGTAATATTATTAAAAAAAATTTCAACATGTTTACGTATATTATACGAGTAATATTTTCGTGTACCATTTTTTAAAAATCAGATCTATTTATTTGCCCAGCAAAACCAGATTTAAACCTGATTAACGATATAATACAAAATTTGATGCAAGTATTTCTTATATAGATATTCGTACACGCGGTAAATTATTTGCACTTTGCAGTAGATGACCTATATTTTAGTATATTAATTTATTATATTTATTATAATACTTGCTGTTTTTATTAAAAAAAAGACTTATTAAAATATATCATTTATTATTATAACTAAACAGTATATTTTGCAGTTTATTTTAAAATTTAAATTATTTAAATCAATAACTGATTTTGTTTTAGACTTTATAATGGTAAATAATATGTCTTAATCTTAAATAGATTTTAAGTTGTGTATGATTAGATATTTTCACTGAAGTTATTGGTAAGCAGAGAATAATTTTTTCGCATAATTATTTACTCACTTCATTAAAAATATTGGCATAAATCCATTCTACAAAATAGCAGAAAAATTAGTTCTCGCGTAAATACGTGTATAATTTCCTTATAGGAATTAAATTTAAAAAATATATTCAACAATTACTAGTCGTGCCAAAAAAAACTCAGTAATAACAATATACATAATATTATAAAATATAATTTACGCATTTGTAATAATAATAATATATAATAATATTATTACATTTAAGAAAATTTATATTTATTTAATTATTAGTTTTAATTCAACTTAAATTTGTAATCATTTTCAATTGCTCGGTGTGTAGTATATTAATGAATTGTATTCACAAACTTCCTGACACGTTACCTCTAAATGTCAAAGAATGAAAATTGCATACATCCCATGATAGTTGAAGCTAGGAAATTAATGATCATGTGTGTCGTTTTTGTTTAATATTATGTTTGGAGTTAAAATTTAAAAGTATTAGTATTTCTACAGATATTGTGGCTTAAAATAATTGTTTTGAGTAAATTCTGTGTTGGTTTTATTTTATTTCGTCATTACGGTTAGTGCGTTCAATAACGATGACGTCAATGATGCCATTTCGGGTTTATTTAAAGATAGATTCTAAAATGTTATCAATTTTTAAAAAAATCAAATTTTATCCTATTAGTGCCGTTTTGTACCTAAATTATAGTAACCCCTTCCTCCCCGGGTAAATCTAATTGTTATACTTAACTCCAAAAATAGCACATCTGTGTGATTTTAAAATTCCTTTATATTGTTCCGTTCCCCCTTCCCCTTTCAAAATCACAACATGAATGGCGTATATAGGGTGATTTTTTTCAAAGGTAATTTCTAGTTCTCTCGATAAGTCTTAATGTACTTGTTTAATAATTTTATTAAAGATAATATTAAATCATTACAAAATAACATTTTGAAAAAAATAAATACTTTTTCTATTTATAATTTGTTATAATTTGTTATGCTTTAATTTTTGAATAGCTACCTACAGTATTTATTTTTATTCACATACTCCAAAGCAGAATATTTATTAAATTTCAATACATACAAATCGAATTTCGAACGAGTAGTTAAATGGTAAGAGTTTAGTTATCTATATCTAAATATTATAAGTATTGATGACTGAAGTGGAGTAACATATGGATATTCTGTAAAACGTTGGTCTCTACTTTACTTATCAATAAACTACTCATCAATAACTTATCTATTAAAAATATTAAAAAAATGTATGAATATTTTTTTAAATGCTGTTTTTTAGTGACCATGATTAAAATTATGTTAGAAAAAAATATTCTTAATACTTTTTAAGAAATGAATGTTTATCTTTAAAACAACGACCCCATATATTCTTTGCATTATTATTAGCATTACATAATAAAATATGAACATCAACGGAAATGCTACATATTATACGGTGTAAAATTATACGTTATTATAATATAAAAATTCGATTTGTACTTATTGTATTCATATAGGTACCTATATACGATAGTTCAGACTATTGTTACTTGTATTGGATTTTCCGTTATCCACCACTTGTTCACATTTTCTGAAACGTTTTTTGAATAATTTATCCACTTTACTTGGAAAATGTCAATCTCCTCGTACAAGGGCACACGTCAACCCAATGTAGTATCTACCTACTAATATATAGATATAATGTAGGTATGTGTGACGTGTGTACGTACATAATTTTTGGTACTCAGCCAAAAAATATTAAAATATTACGATGTTGCCGTATTTTACGTATGAAAGTTTCACTTTGTATATTACAGCTGCACTGTTGTATGTCAAACAGACAGACGAGTTCTACGACATATTATACTTGCATTTATAATAATATGATATGTGTGCTTGGAATGATTTCAGCGACTGAAATGAACGCCCTCAGACTGGAGATAATCGACGGCGTGAATCAATTGCTCAAGTTGCCGTTGATCTCTTACGTGATCGACAACACCAAAACAATGATCAACCAAGTAATAATCATTACGCAACCAAAATATGCTGACTGTTGTTCAGATATATATATCATATTATCTTAAACAATGAAAAATATAATATTATTTTAAGTGTGTGTTATTCACGGCCTATTTATAATATTTTGTTTTTTAGTTTGTGTGGTTTTGCGAATACATCGACTTAAGCAAAAAAATTCAAAACATTATTCCCAAATTAGTGAATCGGTTATACGATCTAACGTACACAGCAGTCGACAATGAAATGAAGTAAGGCTCGTTTTCGTTTATAAAAACGTATGAGTCACCAAACGTATTCACCCCAATTTTATTTAAATAATGCATTATTTATTCAATTACCAATTTTGAAAGTTATAATTATATTTAATTATCATATTTCTAAATACTTAATCAATTCTATAGGTAGTATTCTGTGGTTATATAAACTGTTTTTTTTTTAAATGACAAGCACTTTTTTAATGTAAATTATAGTTGAGTATGTTGATATAGGTGTCTATATCGAAATTTAAATGACTATAGTTTTTAGAGTATTCAAGTTTGTATACTAAAGATATGTTTTAATAAGTAGGTTTTTAGCCAATAGCCCTAGATGCCGAGGCTTTAAAATAATAATAATAATAAAAAAGTAGGTTTGGAATGATTAATAAGGCTATAATAATTTGAGATTTTAGCAATTTATGTTAATCTTTTTAAAATTTTTATAATTTCTGTAAAAATTATTACAACAATAACCAAGTATAAGATTAAATAATACGTCTATCGAATATTTCGTGAAAAATAACTATCGATGAAAAATCAGGAGTGAATATGATTTTTGAAATATCCTTATAATAATTGCAAGTTTTTACCATCACTGTTTGTAAGGATAATAGATATCCACCTAATTGATATAACAACGTGCCGAAAAGTTGATTACTAGATTTAGCTTTTAAATGAAAAATATGATTAAGTTTATTTTTTTCTTGTTTAGTTTACGGTAAAAAAAAAAAAAATCCTGAATAATCGTGTTTGTTATATTTCAGATACCACAAAGCAAAAACAAAATTTTTATGTAATCCGGAAAAGGGATTTTTAGAATTGGAACAGAAGTTACCGTTTTCGTGGCACGCTTTCAATGAAACGCCTAAATACGAAGTAATTGTTATTACAATATCCCTGTCATAAATTATTCATCAATGTATCATTATAATATACTTAACTAATTGCTCCAAAAACTATGAAATAACAATTAAACGCTATCGGTTGCCACTCAATCGTTTCTTTCAGGAAATTCCAGAATATAGGATGGCCACTAAACTGTTGAGTATGTTTGCACCATCTAATGTAACGTTTTGGTTTTTATACTACAATTTGATGCCGTTTATGGATTACACAAACTGGTTGCCACCGTTCCGAGGTAGGTTTTTACAAAATTAGGCATCTATAAATAATTAAAAAGTTAAGGTTAAATTAAGCAATGCATACTTTTTTAGCTATTTAATTTTATTTAATTAGTTGCCTTATTTTCTAATTCTCTTAATAACTTAAACAATCAAATAATCCATTACAACAAATCACATTTTTCAGTTAATTTAAAAAATGAATACTTTAAGTTAAAAATTATTTATATACATATCTATTATTAATTAAATAATTATTTTTTTCGTTTTATCACTTGAATTATAATTGTATAAAACTTTACTTTATTAACGCTGACTTAACTCAACAAACTCTAGCTAATATTTATATAATTAGTTTTCACGAATTCTCCAACCTTTGAATATCCTGTATATTTTAATATCTTATAGGTAATAACAAAAACCACTCCATCATTACGGTTTTATAATTCGTACGGATATATCATATTAATATATTATCGTGTGCATGGCCACAATTTTTCCGATTATTTCAGACTACACTGCTGTAGATCAGATCACGTAACCACGTAACATTTTAACGTACCTATCTCTTTATTATAAAACCAATATTTTAATAACAATAATTCCATATAATAATGCCTATGAGTATGTGTATAGGTATATGTGTGATTAAAATTTCGTTATCAAAAAATATTATGTATAATAATAATATTTGAATACACGAGCCGCATTTCATGGTTTAAAGTTTCATACCTTTAATAATATCATGATGTGATATGTATATTATTTAACTAGTAGGAATAGTTTACTATACTAATTAGTTATGCGCACCAAACGTTAATTATTTTACGAACCAGGCGCGAACTTGTATGTTGCATATTATTGTACAATAAGTAATATCGGATAATTAATTAATATGCGTGGTTAAAACTTTTACAATATAATATTTAAATTTTTTTTTAAAAAAAACATGATTTTATAAAAAATATTCAGAAGATATACGTATTTCATAAAATCCAAAAGTTTGTATTGTAAACGTAATATAAATATTATTTATTATTTATTATAATATTCGACATTATATGTATGATATATTCATTCTTGGGTACCCATTGTATAATTGTATAAATATATTGCGAATAATGTTTTCTTGAATTTGACTGGTTTAAACAAAAATTATTATAGGATTCATTAAAATTTTAGAGTCTACATTTTATAATTTTATTAGTAGTCTCACACATTTTTAGAAAAATTCGCTTTTTATACAAAATTAATTTTATCTATAAACCCAATTAAGTTTAAACACAAAAAAAAAAAAATAGTTAATAATACAAATGTATACATAATAAGCGGTGTTTTGCTTACTAGTGGAGTAATGGTGATAGGGGATTTGGAACACGGATATTTAATTAAAAATTTGTAGGGCTGGATTGATATCAATCGGTACATCATGTATAGATTTCTTTTCGAACCTATAGTGAATTCGATATAATACCTGTCATGTTTCATGTATAAATTTACATAATCTAATAATGTATATTATGATGATAATACTATTTTTAGATCTATTAAAAATTACTCTGTATCCATAATTACAATTTAATTGTACGTTAAACAATACGTATAGTTTATCGTGGTTTTGATTTGAATTGATAATCGATAATAAATAACAATAAACAATTATGAATGTTATCAAATATCTGAATTATCAAACAAATTACAAGCTAAATACAAGCATAATATAACATTTTATTGTTTTTTATTCATGCTAAGAAATAGCTATTTTTAATTATTATTTACTTATTACAGTAAGATATATCCGTGTTTTTTATTTGTCCTGTGAAAAGAGTATTTCAATTTTGCATCTATAAAAAATGCATTATAATAAATGAATCATTTTTACAGAAATGCAAGATGTATTGATAAGTCACATCATAATTTACATAAATGTATAAGCTTACAAGTTTTAATCCGATTGATAGGGTTTTAATGTTAGTTATAGATTTTATAATAGTAATAGGTATACGATATACATCATAATATTGAATATCGTGAAAAAGTGTTATTGGTCCAACTTTAAAAATATGCTATACATGTTTATGAAGTATTCTCATAATTTTACACCTCTGACACCATCCATGAAACAATAATGCACTTGAATACTGATAAATTATATTATTATATTTTATTGTTTACGTAAATAATTTAACCTGTTGCGTAATCACACACACACACACACACACACATGTTGCAGCTCATGCAATGATAGTAGGATCACAGCACTTTGTGACATTTGACCAGAGGCATTACGACTTTAAAGGGCAATGTTCGTATCTGTTGGCCAATGATTTTGTCGGTCATGAGTTTTCCCTGGTGCTAAACTACGAATCGGAAATTAAAGGCCACTATACGATGTTGCTGTTACTGGGGTCCGAGACGATTTCGATAGATCTTCATCGCAAGGTACGAGCAGCTTACATAATTTTATTGTAAGGAGTTAAGGGTAATGTTTTTAACGTACACGAAAATATTATTTTATTACCACCAATATATTATATTATATGTTCAGCGTCGGATAGGTAAGATACTGGCTTACCAAAAGTATTAGAATTTCTAACGTTTGATTACAGATTTAGGCTACTGTACGGTTTCATAATTCGATTCAATTATATTTTTTACTATTTAAAAAAAATAATGATAAATATTAAGCACTCACAAACGGCTCAAATTTTAAGCGGTTCACTGAGATTTTCTAGTTAGTTCGCCTGCTCAATTTAGATCTGTAAATGAAGAATCATAAGTACCGTAGTTATTATATAAATGCGACAGAGTAACAATAGATAATTGTCTTTTAAGCACATTAAAGTTTGATGAGCAAGTTCTCTCGACTATTCAATATCGAATGCTTACAATTATAATATGTAGGTACCTATGGTCACTCAGCATTGTAGTGTAAACTTGAATGACATGCCATTAATAATCTACGTAACGAACCGTATTTAATACTCAATTTCACATTTTCCATCTCTTCCTAGTATGCATTGATTCAATACAAATACGCTCATAATTTAAAATAAATGCATACAATAACGTAACAGTAGCGATCTCATTATTGCATTATTACAATATTTGTATTGCATGACATAAGTATAATATACTACACCTATAATATGGATAATGTACGGGTGAAGTGGTAAACGATAATTATTTTGGTATAAAATGACTGAAGGGCTGAAAATATAAAGTGTATGGTCTATCAAACAATACTTCTAATTGTACGGAGTTCTAAAATTTAAAAGTATAAAATATATTTATATTATTAAAAATCAATAAATTACTCTAAAATATAAGTACTTTATTAAAGTGTGAACATTTTATGAAAAATAAAATAAAACTGTGAAATTGTTTAAAAACCATTAGCGACTGGAAATTGTAATTTTAAATATAGTTATTTCGATTTTTAAAAGTGATACAATTTTTTACCGATAAAAAGTATACTTTAAAAAAAATTTAAACATGCAATGGAATAAAATACTCGGAATTTATATTATGTAAGCAAAAAAACATGTTTTTAATGAAATTTTTTTTCTTTATTTAGAATCAATACTATTTAGCAACTATTAAATAAATAATAAGTTACTATATTAATTATTATAATAATGATACTTAAAATGTTTAAGAATACTATTTCGTTATAAAGTATAATATATTGGCGTGTATCTTATGAAGAATTAATACATAATTATATGCAGTAAATAATAAGACAATACTATTAAATTAACAGAAATAATAAATTATACCTTCTATTATTAATTTATAATAAGTACTTAAGTTTTAACAACAGATTGTTCTGGAAAATTATTAGTTTCACTAAATAATATTACTTTAATACTTTAATACATTAACACTGACTATAGTTATATTAATAATAAAATATAAACCTAAGTAAAGTTTATTATTTCACTAATTTATTATAAATGTAAGTATATATATTTCAGTTTCATTTAAATCAATACTTAAACCATTTTTCCACTTAAATCAAGATAATAATACATAAGAGCATCGCCCATTTGCGCTAAAAAAAATTAATTCTTTTTGGGTACAGCTTATTTGGACCAAATTTACTTGATATATTTAATAAAGTATTACATCTTTTCTTTAAACAAGAATCAATACAACTTTATTTAAATTATAGTCAATTGTACACATTTTTAAAAATAATAATACAAATTATTTTAAACAATAGGTAATAAATAGTTAGTAAGTACCTACATATTTTTTTTAAAAATTGTAAACTGTTGGTTATCATAGTCGTTGGTCGAATTTTTTTCAAACAATAATCAGTAGTACACATTTATATCTTCGTTTTTAGAAGTAGTGAGATGTATATCAATAAATCTTTATGAACATCAGACACAGATTTAGAATTTGAAAGAAGAGATTTTTTACGAGCATGGTAAATACTTTTTTGTACAACAGATACATCAGTAAAATCTAAATTAGTTATGTACTTATGTAGTTATTCATTTCAATTAAAATAACCTTCCTTGGACGAATTTTCGATAGCCACACGTTTACATGCTGCAGTTATATTTAAAATCTATAGACTTATAAGAATAATTTTTCTATACATTATAGACACAAGTACACGATGTCTTTTAAATATAAAAATTAACCAATTCGTTAATGTAAATTTTTTACGCGGGTAAATTTGGCGCAAATGGCCTCTTAAAAAAAACATACTTTTTTATTTTAGCGCAAATGAGTAACCCCTATACATTGCCACTCTCATTTTTCTTTATTTCTATTTAATTTTATTTTTTAACTATAATTTCTTTATTTTCTTCATTCGTTTTAGATAAAATTAATGAAAAAATATTATCAATAACTAGTTGATATTTATTTAATTTGTTATTTATTCATACTTAATTTATATTATTTATTTATTTTTTGCATTACACGTTAGATAAAGTGTAAAATATTAAATTGATACCCACTACAAATAATTAATAACAATTGGCAATTAATATTTGTACTATTATACAATAAGATTTTAATCTGTAATTACCTAATCATTAATCAAATTTGTGACTTGTAATTTTATTTTTACTTAACAAGTTATAATGCTTATCTTCTAAATATTGAAACGATACTCATGTTTTGCATTGTTATATTATATCTTCTGTGTTTGCCAATTATCTCAAAAAAATTTAAATTTTTAAGTTTTTGTGTTTTTTTTTTATAAATTATGTTTTCTAAAATGGTAACAAAAAAGTTTTTATTTATTTATTCGCAATGCGCATTGTAAAATTATTATAATCAATACAAATGTTGATTTATCGTAATTTTAAGTAGATACATTCTAAAATACAGTTGATTTGTAGTAGGTTGTAGTACCTACAAAATCGATTCTCGGACACATTTAACCATTATTATTGTGACGAATCAGCTATACAGGCCATTATAATGCATATTCAAATAACCTATGCCATTAGAGTTCAAAACGAGTACTATATAATAATGATTATTAATTTAATATGAAATTAACCCAATACAATATGTATACACTATACACTGTGTAATGTTTATACAAATTCGAACGATATTTCCAGTAAATGTTGTGCACTGTATAGTGTATACTATCACGATATGTTGATATTAGTGTATTATACTTATACTACTTATAGTATATTAAAACCGTCTTGGTTTCCTTTTTATGTTTCAGGACGTGAGAGTTTTTCCCGACAGTATTAAACAACTACCTTTGCAACTGAACGATACGGTTATCTACTACGAAAACGAAATACTCATTGTAGAAAGCGAAAGGGGATTATCTCTAATATGCAATATGAATTTCCAATACTGCACGTTTCATGTATCAGGTACAAAAGTATTATTGTTATTATTATTGCTGAAATTATTGCAACCATGGTCACATAATAATATCAGCATACATCATGGTATTGTGCTATCTGTGCCATGTAATATATTTTATATAGTTACCTAGGTACTGTTATCATTAGAGATATGGTTTTGATTATTATTATAAGTGTAATACGGTACAACACTAACAAAGTTACAAATTAATATCATCGTATAACGATTCTGAATGTTTCACTATTTTTACTTTCCATATTTTTTAAAACTATATAAATAATTATTTTTACCTCATATTATATGTATAAATACATCTAAGTTATTTTGTACTTCATTTAAATTTTTTGCTAATATTATTTAATGAAAAACTAATTTGTTATTTTTAATCATGTATATTTTATGTTTTGACTTTGAAAGTCTAACTATTTTGAAATTTTACATCATACAGCAATGTATAACATTGTGAATAGGTTGGTACTAGCTTGATACATATGTATGTAGGTATAGCATAGATATTGGAATTTATTTCAATGTCTTAGAAAAATTAAAATTAGAAATGTACAATACTTACTAAAATAGTATGTAACATCAATAAAAATGTCACGTACATAATAGATTGCAGAAGACCATTTTACTTAATGATGGATGTTAACAAAACTAACAAAATCTAAAATAACTGAACTATATTATTGGTTGTTATTTATAATTATTTACTCAGCTGGTTTAAAAATTATTATTGCATTTCTTTGCAGGCTACAGCAATAATTAGTTTAATTGTAATGTTTTAATTATCATCGATGTACGTGAAAATATTTTTGAGCATTATGATAGTATGAACAAATTTAATAATGCAAATTGAAAAGGAAATTAAACTTTTTGTATGCGATCACAAGCGTATATGAGGGATAATATAGTGATGATGAAATGATTAGAACAAAGTTTTAAAATGACACTTATTTTGTCTTATCAAAAATATTCTCAAAGATTGACGATTTAGTGAGAAATAATCAATCAAACATATTATCATAATATTAAAAAATAAATTTTTATGAAAGTATTTAATAATATTGTAATGATATTGTATAGTTTAAATTGTATAAGTAATTAAAAAGTGTTAGGTACTTACTAATAAAGAAAAATATATTATTTGTTTTGTAATTTATATCATATTACCGTTTTTGGTAGTAATAAAAAAAGTAAACAATTTTTTTTTTAGGGGGAAAGTAAGAATTTTAAAAATCCACAAGAGGAGACAAAGAAAAAAAAAATTCGGGAAACACTATTTTAACTTTTATTGTCTATTTGATTATGAAACGTTTTAGGTTCACACTTAAAAAATATTAACTCACATAAGTCACATAATATTCTTTCTTGCGTTTTTTTTCTGAATGTTAAATAAATTATATTAAAAATATTTTGATTTCTTTTATTGTTATAAACTAAAAGTTTATTTTAAACAGTATCTAATTTCCAACTTATTTATCTTGCTAATTTATAATGACTGCTTATTGTTGCTATCGAATTACTCGCGTCTGGTAATATCGGTTTATTTTATTTTTTGCTTTTTATTTTAATTTACTAACTGACTGATCATGTTTGATTGATTTAATGAAGTTCCTGATCTTAAATTGTTATCTATTCTGATAAAAGTGTTACTCGTACTCTTTAAAATTTGTCTAACTTAAAATTTTTGAGGTAAATAACATTTTTAATGATCATTCATGTATAATAGATTAATACTTGATTCAGCTTTGTATAACTGTATTTTTATTTTTATTCAGAAATCCTATGTTATTATTTTTTCAAAAAATGTATGTCTTTTAAATTTGGTTTTTAACATTGCAACTATCAATTTCGTATTATCCATATTTTAATTTATATAAAGTCGATTATTCGATTATGCTTAGATTGCATTTTTTTATCTTTTAATTTTAGTGAAATATTTATCTAATTATCAATATTGATAATGATAAAAATACATTTTATGACATATTAAATGATGTTTGATCTATGTTCGATATTTTATAGGTGGTTTTCTATAAAAACCAAGGGATATTATTATTTAAAAAAAAAAGTTCATACATCTTTTAGTCCTCAAGAAATCTCGCTAATTGGTAAAGATTCGAGTATAAAGAGTATTATTCGACGTATATACTATACACAAGATTTTTTCATTTCATTCAAAATCGTTTATGTTTTGAGATTTTCTTTTTAATAAAATGGTTGAAAAGGTATCCCTATCAATTTTCAACTTGATGGTATACGTTTTAATAGATATGATCACTATCCTCTCAATATTTTTTAAGTATTCTTATTTAATTCTAGTAGCTTCAAGAACTATGGTTCCAGGGAATAAAAGATTCAAAATTACTTATCTTCTAATTATTATAACTTATTTTTAAGTAGACGATATCGAGTATTGCTGTTTTTTTAAATTAACTCAAATCGTCTCTACAATTTATTACAGAAAGAAAAAAACAGTATAATAATAAAAATTATGTTTTTTTAGCTGGTTAATCAGGACCGTTCCTTGTTTAATTTTATATTGTTTAGAAGCTAAGATTGTTTTATTTTTATTTGTTAATATTTTATTTTGCGTATAGTTAATTAAGTCTTAAAATTAGTATGAATGAATGAATGACAATTATTATAAAAATTATAAATTATTAACAAATCGATATTATATATAAAAGGTTATTTTTTTGTACTCTTATTAATTATTATTAATATTTTGATCGTGATTTTAAATTATTTATAAAATCTTATATTATTTCTAATATTAGTCATGATTAGGGAACGGATTTATAGGTAAATGCATATTTTTATTAGAGATCAAGATATTTAAACTTTGACACGAAATGTTCATGATTTAAATCATTCTTATAAAATGTTTCTATATGCTCCAATTATATTGGTCAATATGGAACGATCGTTTAGCCATTTAAAAAAATATTTTGAGACCTAATAGGCGACATTTAACATTCAATAATTTAAAAGGAATTGTAATTATTCAATGCAACACATCATTTTGATATTTTTATAATTATATTTAATATATTACTTTTTCATAAATTCACTGTATTTATACAGAAATAATTTTTTTTCCCACATACTTTGATGTTTGGAGCACACATTTTATAAATTATACTTCCATACTTATATACATATGTTTGTATTTTTATTACATTTAATTCTGTTTTCCGTCTTAGTCATGTTCCAAGTTATGATTATAAAAGTACATAATGAATTATCTTATATATTTATTTATCAATGTATAATATACTGTAGTTTCAACTTAAAATATATAATATTATTTTGTACCTAACTAATTTAATTATGATTTTTCCATAACATTTTTCATACATCAAATTAATTTTGCTTGTATTATCATATTAGTTCACTTATCATATCACGAAACCACAATTTTCATATCGATATTTATTTTTAAAAAAAAGATCTTTTCTCATATTATTATAAAATATTTTTTCTTGCCTATAAAAAAAAATATTAACAATGTTTCTTTTTAATTTTTTTTTTTTTGTCGGTAATTAACTAAATATTTATAAACCATTGATCTAATAAAAATGAAAAGTAAGATTTTAGATTAGATAATAAAACTGTCTATATTAAATAAAATTATAGTTTAATTTATAATAAATTTAGAATAAAAAAATACACTATTAAACATACAACAAAGTTAATATTGTTTTAATTTCATAAAATATAAATCAAGTTTAAAATAAAGTTATGCTATAAAAATTTCAAGCATGTGTATACTGTGTAAACACCAAGATAAATGTTTACCCTCTAAAATATTTGCCAAGTGACGTCTACTTAGATGTAATTATACATAATTGTTATTTTTTTTTTCAATTTTATGATGTTATTTCTACTGTTAAATTTTAATTCAATTAAGTTATACTACTAGTAATATAAATTGGTATTTTCTGATTTCAATAATCTCTGAAGAATGGCTTTTTCTCTGTTTGTTGCAATTTACCACGATATTTACTCGACCATATCGTTGAATATCTATACGCGTATATCTAATAATAATAATATTTTTAAGAATATTAAATGTAAATTACAAATATTATATAAAGTATAATATATGATAGTTAAAAATACATTTATAATTTAAATACTACAATAATAACATAAAACATAACATATAGGGTAATAATTATTATTAATATGTTCAAACAAAAAATAGTAGGTAAACAATAAGCACTAAATGAAAAATTTATTAAATGCAAAAAAAAAAATGGATTTAAAAGAATTTTTTTTAATTGTAAGAAAACATATCTATAGTTAAAATAAATTAACATTGTTTACAATATTACCAGCAGAGTATAGTATACATGCAGACATTGAAGTTTAAGCATATATTACGTACTTTGTATAATATATTTGGTAAATTAAATGTATGTTTATTCCTGAAATTGATTAAAATATTTACCTTACAATTTATTCTATCGAAAAGTTCAGAATAATCAATCATAATACCATGGAATAATATAAATACAATTTTTAAATTTAATGTAAAATATCTGGTTTTTAAAGAGCTATAATTTGAAAAAAGCTACCTATATGTAGTTATATCCTGAATGGAATTCTCTTTCTAAGCGATATTCCTAAATAACTTAAAAAATTTTTTTAGTCTGAAATAGGATGATATTATTTTAATTTATATAATATGAGTGGTATATAAAAAAACAAAAAACAAATATTCAATTTGAGATTAAATTCATGAAAAATGTAATATTTTTGAGCTGATTCTTTATAAACAGCTTTATATATGCGTTTTCTAAGTTCTAATTTCATAAAAAAAATATTCCAAAATATGTTATCGACATGATTATTAAAATTGTTTTTTAATCAAATAATCTCTTCTTTGATAATATTTTTACTAGTCAAATTTATTTTTATAGAATAACTAATAATGAAGTTTTTTTTCGGGAGTTTGATATTTATAAAATTTGTCAATATTAAAAACATAACAACATATTATGATCACATCATTGGCAAAAATAATTAAAATTAACTTAAAAATAAATTGAATAATAATACATTGGTTCGTATATTTTAGTTTCATAAAAATATTAGGTGGGTATTTAGAATATTTTAAAAATACACAAATTATTAATTTATGAACGTTTTAGTCGAAAATCGTGTATGTATTACAGTTGTGAAAAAGTTATATTATTTATAAATGTAAATAATAATTTAAATAGTTTTGAAATTTTTTATAAAAAACAATATAATTTGTAATTGAAGAATTATCATCTATTTTAAATATATTATATGATATACAACTTCCATTTACCTGGAAATGTACTCCTTTGAATCCATTTATTAAATAAAAAAGTTGACGTATCTAGGTAATAACACAAATGTAATTTCTTTGAAGAATTTTTCTGAAATATCATCTGGGCCATTATATAAATTAAATTGATAAGCCATAATGCATTAAAAATGTCAATTTTAAATATATAAATTTCATTTTTATCGTTAATATAACTTTCGAAGTTACTTATAATTTGTGCATATTTTATAGAAACTTTAAACGATTATCGAAAAAAAGATTAATTAACTACTAAATTTCAATATTAAAGTCAGTTTTCCTATCTTAGTGTTATGAATTAAATAGAGATCTGCCTCTATTTAATATATTATGTATATAATACTTATAGATTTTATTTACATCAAAAACTTCCAAAATTATTTTAAATAACTAATATATTAATAAATTGAATGTTTTTTTTATTATTAGTAAATAATAAATAGATTTTTTAATCTCCGTATCATATATTTTTACGTTTGTAGTATGATACTAAAAAAATTAAAGGTTATACATTTTTAAATAATAATAAGCACTTGGTTTTTATTTAATTTACATTTTTAAATCTTTACTGAATTAAAAGGGGTAAGATAATTTATTTCTATTATTTACGTACTTTTAAGGATACAATGATTTATTATAGATAGATATAATTATAGAATATTATGTAAGTCATAAATAAAAATATTAGAGTTGTAATCAAATAAGGATGGTTAATAAATAAAATCAAAAAAAAAAAAAAACTATAGTAGATAAAATAAGCCCCTATATTTAGATTATATACTTAATAAACAAATTGTAATTTACATAATTTGTTATAGCCAACGGGAAAAATAGGGCAAAAGTTTCGCATAAAATTTAAATTAAATTTTAAAATATATTATAGTCAAAAATCACACTTTATATTTAAAATAAATGATTTTAATATTTAAACAATTGAAATAAGATAATTTTTCATTAAAATATAAATCAGTGTAAAAAAATTTTTCAAAAAGTAAATACTGTAACTACTCTTGATAACAAAAAATTAGCCACAGGGCATTCAATAAATATGTTTTCGACATAATCAATGTATAATCATATTATGTATTAGAGCGATTGAGCAAACGTATGAACTGAAACGGTTACTAGAATAATAAATGAGTATTTTATTGTTGCAAATAAAAGTTCGATTTACTACTATAGATTAAAACAGGTTTAGATAATAAGTTAAAAGTTATTAAATAACCGAAACGAGATTGTCTATCAATCTTTCGATTCCGAATTTAAGTTTTATTAATTTGAGACTTAAGAAGTAGAGCAATATAATTTTGTTAGAAAACAACAGGAATTTTAGAATTTAATTTTTCTCGGATAAAGCTGAAATATAGTTATAAAATGTCATCAACTTTTTTATTTAATGTATTTAAATCGTTATCTAATATTTTATAATATTAATTGTTGATATTATTTTATTTTGGGCAGTCTTTAAGGTTTGTCTTGGAACAATTTAAGATTTCCATCGGTAGTTTTAAATCTGATGTTAATAAAGTGTTTGAACGAGACTAATTATATATTTCGGAAAATGTTGCAGGTTGGTATTTCGGGAAGACGGCGGGACTGCTGGGAACAATGGACAACGAGCCTGTCGATGACATGTTGTCATCTAATGGGTACTCGGAACCAGACTTGTTTAAGTTTACCGAGAGCTGGTCGCTGAACGAGAACAGCTGCAGCGCGTATACATCGATCCAGAGGAAGTCGTTGCCTAGTGCTCAGATCGTGGAGATCTGTGACAGTTATTTCAAACACAAAACTTCGCCGCTGTTTACCTGTTTCTCCGTGGTACGTATAAAACGTTCGCCGTTGCATCACTATTAATAACGATTTATCATACAATATTGTTGTAACGGTTAAACTGTCTAATTCGAAAGGACTCGGCGTGCGCGACAAAGAAGTTGGTCCCTAATTCGATTTTAAAAACTATTAATAGCAGCTTAAAGTCTTTGTTTGGTCGCAAACCAACATTGACGTTTTGATCTGCACAGAGCTGTTAATTTTTTTCGTTTAGAAAGAGGGGGGAGAGTTAAGTCTATTTTTTCTTTCAGCGCATTCACTTTGGCGTTAATGAAATGATTGAGATCAAATATAATAATAAACAATCAGGGCTATGAAGTTAATGGTTTTTCCGTTTTCGTATCGATGAATTCGACTCAGTATTTATTAAAAATAACTGAGAAACAAATTTGATTCGATATATTATCAATCTTAGTTCAAAATTGTATTTTGCGTAATTCTATGTACGAGTATGCTGGTTCATATTATAATTGTAATTTTTATTGCATAACTATAGGAACAAAATGCGAATTTATGGATTTGAATTTACAGATTCAATACTCATAATATTATAATAATATTTTAATATAAAATGTGTTTTCATAAATTCTTCCAAATAATTTAATTTTTTTATTTATAAACTTAAAAATTTTATTTTTTTTATGTATATTTCCTTATGTGCAATTTAAATATTTTATGCGTACTATTTATTAAATTTAAACACTTCTTTTAATTCATATATAACTGTGAATTTTTTTCATGGAGTAAATTTCACGTATCAGAATATTGATTACACATTTGTAATGTTTATTTTCCTATTTTTGAGTGTACGGATGCATTTTTATTTCATGAGTTGTCAGTGCATTAAATTCACTGTGCTTGTAATAACGTACCGCAACGGTAGCTATGCTTACTAGATTTAATAACAAGTCCCAAACGCTGCGGGACACGAGTTTTAGGATGTCAAATGAAAATCATGTACCAGTCATTTAATTGTAATCTCGTTATATCGCTCTGTAAAAAAATAAAATAAATGTTCTAAATAAGTATAGAGACGCGTGTAATAGTTAAGTATAAAATATAATATAGATACAATCCCTTCAATACTAATTAGGTACTACAAGAACTAATATATTATAATAATTGTTAAGTCACATATAATTATATAGTTTAAGCATGGGTGCACTTAGACTTATAATATGACTTTACCCATCATATTCCTCCCTTAAAAAAGAAAAATAAATACATTTGTCAAATAACAAATGATAACAAAGAATAGAATCGTTTGAATCTTTGATGAGTTAGTTTGATAGAAAAAAATATTAATTTGTTATTGATTATGTTAAAGTTAGTTTACTCTTTTTAACGGCGAAAAAGATCATTTGGTGAAATAGTTTCTTATATTTACACTACACGGTATACATAATAACATTTTAAACAAAATTATACTTTTAAATGTTAAAATAAATATTAGAAAAATAATATTTTTGATAAAAAAAAAGTATTTTATGGAGTACTTCAGATTTCAAATATTATGTTATAAAATATATAATACACACGGTGTAATAAAAACAACTAAAAAAATTGTTATGAACCTTTTATATATTAATTTTCATTCTCATTGGCTAGTATTAATTTTTTTAAATTATTTACTACATAATTAAAAATACTATCATAATAATTGTATTTTTTAAAAATCAATGATTAAAATCATTAGAATAAGGATAATTACATTGTTAGATAATACTATTTTTATTAAACCCTGCCAGTATATTATTATGCCATAATAATTTATGGTATGTTTCTATATACTCACATTAGATCTGAGCGAAGTGCAACTTATTAAAATAACTTTTATGACCATTGTTGTATAATATATGTATAATACATCATTTTGATTGGCCCGCAGAATTCAACAATATAAAATTTAGTATAGTCGTGCTTTTCTAGGTACCTACCACCTGTTTAAAATGAATTTATTTAATTGTTGTTACCTATTAATTATTATACGTCCTAATTCTCTAATTATCACATCCATAAGCGACGATAACGTAAAAAAAGTGTGAAGATTTAAAAGCTATTAAAAAAAAAAAGATTTTTAGAATGATAAACGATAATTAAAATTCTAACAGTGAAGAAAATTATAAATAATGTTAATACTTAAATAATATTGACATATATGTGTATAAACATATTATGTGTTTACTCCAATAAAAATTTCAAAAACATTTTTACTTAATTGATTTCAATTGTTCAAATAATTCCATTATCGAAATAATAAAAAAGAAGTAAGTAGCTACTTACAGTGATATCAGTGATATCACATTCACTACTTTGGGATTTTATAGTGAACATTTTTCCGTATAAAGGTCGATGGTCTGGAAAAGGAGCTTTAATACAATATAATATCGAGACAAATCCTAGACAATGTACCAAATAATTTTAAAACTGTTTTCGATCGTTCAAATGTCCGATAAGCATTAAGCGTCTATTTAATATTATGTAAATTATAATACTCCCGATAAATGGCAGTAATAAGTGATATTTCTGGTCGTTGATCAAATCGAATACTCGACCGGTATCATATTATCATTACTGTAGTTACAGCCGCACGATAAATACGTCATGATAATAGCTATATAATTTATATGTATGTCCTATCGTACTTGTATATTATGTACCACTGTACTTACTTATACTTAATGATTTTCAATGACATACACACGATTCGCACAAGACCTATGATAACAGCTCGTGTAATTTTTCCGTTGCGTTTTGTTGATTTGCTATAGATAAATCCCAGCCCTTATTACGACCTATGTTTGAAACAAGCCAACAAAAACGAGACATGTACATCAGCGACCGCCTACAGCGAAATGTGCTCCATAGAAAATCTACCGGTTCGCACACCGACAAACTGTGTCAGGTGAGTGGTTGGAAATATATTATTATTATTATTTTTAATCACCTGTCGTACGAGTTTTAAACACGGGATCTTATAATTATAATAATATTATGGTCATACCTAAGTAGGTACTATATTTTTTTAAATTGGTTTTTATATTTTGGAAAAAAAATATTTGTGGTTCATCTAAAATACTCACCCCCCCCCCCACTCAACCATTTTTCCTAAAATAATGATTTGATTTTAATTCTAATTTATATATTTTTTAAATTCATATTTTATAGGTATTTTTATTTTTTTATGTAATGGAGTTTTGTGAGTCATAACAAACATAAGACTTAATATCTTAGAAGCTACTTGTTCCTATTTTTCATTTAGACACATTAACGTTTTTAAAATGGTTCCTACTTAAACTTAACAATTTGCAGTTAAAAGACATTTGAAAAAAAGAAATTAAATCACTAAAAAATTCCAAAAAAATCAGATTTTTTATACATTATAATTTTTAAGTATAAAATGTAGTGAACATGCATGGCCAATCACTCTAAATAGTTTTTACAAAGTATTTATAATAACAATATCTACAATTTTTCTATAATTATCTTATATCACTATGAATTTATTGAGGTTTTTTGAAAATGTCAATGATAAAACTTATATTTTTAATTTTATAAATTTAATGAAAAATGTTTATCAATTGATATTGAGTGTTGAATAAATGGTTTCGTAATTTTATTTTATACAAATATTGTTAAGTTTAGATTAGTGGAGTAGCGGACCACATATTATTTTGTACGATATTACTTATCATTTTACTCCGATCACTTAAGCTTTACATATTTATCAATTAAAAATTTGAGTAAAGTTATTAATTTAATAACCGATTAATAAAAAAAAAAATAAATAAAAACCACTTTAATAAAATATGTAAGAATTACGATTAAAAAATATGATATATAGTTTCAAATTATTTTTTCAAAAAATAAATACAAAAATTGAATTTTAATGTGAATGTAACCAGTGAAATGAATAACTGTGTAATATATATTATTCTCGATCTGTAATATCGATGTTTATTTCACGATATAATCTACTCACGTGTTTTGCCACAGGTGTCACGCACTAAACAACACGGAAATTATCGAGGGCGATTTCATGAGTATCAATGGTAGCCACGTACCGTCGTCGGCCGATATCGTATTCATTGTCGAGGCCAAGAAGTGCAACGAAAACTTTACGGAGAAAAAGAATGTGCACACCTTGCTCACGATGATGGTCAAAGAGTTACACGACGTTGGAATGACGAACAACAAGTGAGAGCACCTATGTATCATAAAGGTCAGAGGTTTCGATTAAAACTCAAACGCAACCACAAACATTTCGATTTGACGAAAATCGTATTTACGTTTGTACTAATATCTAACGTAGTACTAACGTAAGTACTAACGACGCGGTGTTTAACTGAGAATCAGATTTCGTAATGCAACACATACATTGATGTAAAATTATATTGTTTTTTTTTTTTTTTTTTTTTTAATCGATAGTTCTTTAAAGTGTTAAGGCAATAAGCACACAAAAATAAATTAATAACTGATAGGGATAATAAAATGCTATACATACATGTTTTTGTCTTTTGGCTAGATGTTGTTGTAGATGGAAACATAAATAATAAGTTTATATAAATCGAAATTCAAACGATTAATTTCTAACTTTATGTACCAGGGGTTGTTATCCCTATAGTATTGGAGTAATATGGGTGGCGAGGACTGAAACAATTGTTTCCTAAATATTTTATAATGGTGGCAAAGATATCGTGTTTAAGCTTTAATTTTTTATATATCACGTTGAATTTTTTTTTCAAACATGCCTGAATATCATATTTTTGTGTTCCTATAATTTATTAAATAGATAATTACTAGTATTGATTTTATAATCATTTATCATAAAATCAATATTGCTGTAGTAAGTCATTAAAATATTTATGTAACCATGTAGATAAAAGTGGATAAGTGATCTTCTTTTGAAAATATTAAAATCCTATCCACATTCGGGCCATGGTCGTGCCTATAGGGTAAAGGAAGGTTCGTGATAAATTAACTAGATGTCTAATTACAAATTCAATTTCAGTAATTATATTTAATTACTTAAATTGTATGATAAACATAGAGTAAAGTTATAGAATACGAGTATATGTAATTTTTTGATTTTAAGTCTTTTAATTAGTTTTTATAAAAGTTCAAAAGTCATTGTAAAAAGTTAGGTAATTTCGCGATAGTGGTTAGGTAATTACTTGAGTACACAATATTTTTCTTTATTAATTAAGTATAAAATCTGGAATAATATAACAAAAATATCAACACTTTTTTAAATGCATTTTTTATATTTTTTTTAGAAAAGCTTTTAATGAATGCTGGATTTAATATTGTATGAAATGTTGTCTGATTCAGCCCAGACTATATTTACTATATATTTTCATATTGTCTGTGGATTTGGTTTATTTCCAGAATTTCCCCTCATAAAGTCATTTAAACTAGTGGCTTAGTTTGACTTAAGTGGTTTGTATACTCCTTCATCTAGTGGTTGTAATAAATTACTAGTATGTGTTGGCAATGTAAATTCATTTGAGGTGAAAACGTTAAGAAAATGCGTATCTGTAATAAGGAATAATTAATTAAAGCAAGTCAATAAAAAAACAAAAGTTTTACCATTAAATCAAGCATGTTTTCTAGTTTGATATTTAGTAAAAATAATACACTTATCTTAAATACAAGACTAAAAATAAAAATTTTGAACAAGTGCATCAAAACAAATGTGCTAAATATACGTAAAATAATGATAAAAAATGTACCAACTGATAGTAAACAATTGACGTAGGCACCACACGTACCCAACAACTTTATATCACCCGACAGTAGTACCTAGGATAACCATTTGAAAGTATTTAGATGGTTTTCGACTAATAAGTATGTTCGTAATAAATACTAAAAGAAATATCACGAAATTATACATATCACGAATGAATATACCTTCCTTTACCCTGTATAGAACTATTCGCCTATTCACTAATTGCTTAATATTACTAATTATATGATGTGGGGTATTTTCACTATCAATTGCTGATTTTTTCATGTTATTTTTAGCTTTTTTGCTTGACTTTAATACACGTCAAGAATATGATGATGTGTTGAAGGGATGGGGTGTGGGTGGGGGGGGGTATAAATAGTTAGATTTTATGTAGCCATTCTACTTTTGCAATTATTTTCTAAATATCGCCAATATTTTCTTCTCCTCCACAACTATTATCTTTGCGATAGCCGATAAGTAAACCATTCGTATAACAGATACTTATTTTTATTACTTCTAATGAATTTTATCAAAATGTAAAAAAAAATAATTATGGAATAAAAAAAAAAAAAATTATGATAATTTTTTTACACTTCACGGACGCTGAACTTAACTGAACCGAAAGATGAGATTAACTATATTTTAAAAATTTAATCTATGATATCGGTCGGATGTTCAACAAATTGTTTATATTTTTATTAATATTGATCAAATTTAACCGACTATATCGCATAGATTATGATGTGGGTTTATCTGCAGATATTACAATTTTTATTATTGATATTTTGTTATTATATTTCAATATAAATTTCATTCATTTTACTTTGCGTTTGTTACTTCCACTAATTTAGTTTTTGCTATTATTTTATTATTTTGGATGACACCTAAAATAAATATCCAGATAGTTTAGTTAAATCGATGTTCATAACTTTAAGTTATAATCTAATAGTTACCAAATGATGTATTTAATTTTATAAAATTGAAGTTAATATGAAAAAATAATGTACTTTTAAGTATGTTAAAAAAATACGTATATCATTTTTTTTTAACCATCTTTTAGAATAATTGTGGAATTTTCAAAATGTTTAAATAACTGCTATCACTTTTGTACTAACTCATCAGTTTACTATTCTTTTTTATTGAATATTGTGATATTATTTAGGCAATTACATATAATTTTTCAACTATCAATTATTGAATAACGATAAAAAAACAATCTATTTGTTCATAATTATTTAAAACTATTGCCTACGGTTAAACAATATAATATTTCATTAACTTTTAATTTTAACTATACTACCACAGTTATAAATTTGTATTAATGCATGTTTTAATTTAATGAATAATTATCTACTTGCCATTTTTCAAATAAACTGAAATAAGCTAAGTTATTAAATTTCACAATTAATCTACAGTTAGATTACTAATTTACCTAATCTAAGGAATAAAAAAAATAGTTACATGTCATACATTTTAAAAACAATTGTCGTATACGCTGCAAGTTTAATATTAATATAATAATAAATTATTAAAATTTGTTATATTATAAAACTTACGATTATACACATTATTATAATTTAAAAAATGTATCTTCATATTCTTTCCCAAAAACAAGTTTACTCCAAGTTTATGGTATGTCATTGATAATAGGTTTGTCAATATAAAAGTTATTATAATCATTTTAAAATTATAAAAGTATTAATCATTTTATAATTAGCATAAATTGACAAAGTATAATTTTAATAAGTACTTAGTTGTCTACTTGACTAATATTATATATACGATATACTCGTAAATTAATTTATCCTATTGTACCTATATCGAATTTAAACAATTATCAAGAATATTATTCTTAATACATAAATTATAATATATCAGAACTATTATACTAATAGTTTGCATTTTAATTTAGATACTCGTACATTAACATTCACGTTGAGCGTTAAAACTATTTAATACTACCTACGTATTATATAAATGATATAAAAATGCATTTAAAATAAACTGTACCTACATAAAAGTATCTGATAGGTTTATACAATGATTGAATTATCGATGGTAATAATATTATCATTGATTCTTTTTTGCGTAACAATTTTATGACAACTATAAAGATTCGTCCCATTAAAACTAATGAAATATTGTATATAAAGATGTTTAATGGTTAAAATAAGTATATTTAATAGCTTATAACGTGTAATATATGTACATTATAACATTTTTAAGTTTAAACATATCTTGCGACAAAGAAGAAATATACAAGTTAGTTCATTGTGCTTGATCGTATAATTCAGATAGGTCGTTAGATAAATTTTCGACTGTCATTTGAAGTAATTTTAAGGTAAAAATGCGTAAATGCGTATTAAAAAGGCATCGGTTTGATTATCAATTATCAAGTCTTACTTTTTTTAATATTGTGAGCGCGGATTTTTTGTAAATATTTTATCACCTTACATTTCATAAATATTTATTTTAAACAGGCCATTGTTTCAACAAATATGAACTATAGGCATCACAAGTGGTGTCAAGGTTAAGCCTGTAGAGTTCATCCTAAAAATACCTATATTAGGTATATTAGTTCTATCGTGTTAATACATTTGAATAAAATTTTGACATAAAATAAAATAAAATAGTTTTAATATTATAATACGGGATAGTATATGGTATAAAATACGTATCCGTAGTATAACATAAAACTTGAAAAATTATATCCACCAAATTCATCATACAACAATAAATTATATGAAATTAACAATTATTTTCAACGAGCATTGATTACAAGTCAACTAATACTATCAGTTTTTTCCATACCATATAATATTATAAGGACAGTTTTTTAATGTAAAAGCATTATAAAAATTATTTCTTATTATTTCAGATTTTCAGCTGTTTTTTTTGGCGGTGATGGTTTATTTGATGAACCTCATAGCGTTGTCGTCAACGGTCAAGTGTTCGCAAGTCCTACACTATTCTTACAGTTCTTTAACAATATACAAATCGGTATCTTTATAATCAATATTAAATAGGTATCATAATATGATTATGTCGTGCGACTAGAAAAAAAATATTTGATAGACTTATATTGGGGAAACCGCAACAGTGTACTACACAATTTATGACGGTCGCACGGTGTTTTTGATGTTCAAAACAATGAAATTTTAAAACGTTTAATACTCATTCGGTTTTTTTTTTTTTTACAGGTAACGGAAATTCCGACGTATTCAACGCCATTCGGTTTGCATCAAAGTTGCGTTTCAGGACGGCACATTCAATAATATTTTTACTGTTTCCGTGCAGTGATTGTGATCCGTCAAACATGATGGTAACTCGATTTTTATAACTACATTAATTTATTACAAGTCTCTAGAAGTAGAGCATATACGTTGTACATAATACCCGGTATTTTACAACATTATAATTCGTATTATTCTAGTTGGACTATTCTGTTATCAACCACTTAATTACGGAGAAAAGTATAAAGTTACACGTTTTAATGGACAAGCCATTCGTTCTTGATAAGTCACGAGCGGGGAGCTCGTTATTCGGTAAGTGTGCACAATTTATTTTAATTTTTTGTCGTGTCTTATTCATATTATTATGTATTCACATTCGTATGGAGTCTTCTCCAATGCAGCAGATCATTGTTCGGTAAAATAAGTGTATACCTATTTACTGTACAAATGCTTTCCGCTGAACGTTATTCAATATCGTTGAAAACATTTCCATTTATTTATAATTGTGATCGGTCGTATAATAGTATATACTATGTATAGTAGGTACCTAGGTACATAGATAAACACAGGTACGCGTACTGCAGACAAAACAATAAATGTAGGTATAGATAAATATTCGACACGCAAAACGAACCGACTGTTGTTATAAACTGTATAATATTATTATTTTATTATATATACACTTCAATCGTCACTTTATGTAGGGTTGTACACAGTGTATCATTGTATACTATTTGTATATATTAATATTATCATACCTACAGGGTACAACTGCAGTTCTACATAGTAGATGCACTATAGTGAATATTATACAATTATATTCTGTGGATTGTATGGGTTTGGTAAAGTAGGCAGATACTTCAAGTCTCTTGTGATCGAATGAAATCAAAAATCCCTCATTCACAGTGTCTATTCAAATTTGGTCATGCTTGCGCAGTAGTTACCATTTTGTTGGCTTTTTAATTTATGCTAAATCAAACACAGCACTCCGTATGATTTTTTGATCTCGAAAACCACTGTATTTTTGTAAAGGCTACAAAACTAACGGTGATATTACTTACATTTTTCATTTTCTATTTTTTCCAAAATAATGCACCCCTTTCAGATTATATTGTTTATTTTAATTATAATAATATACGAAATGTTCTTACATTCAATTTTAAGATACTCCAAAGAATCTCATATTGTTATAAATACCTACCAATCAATGAATTATTTTATGTCTCAAATCATATATTCTTCACTATAATTTAAAAGTTCAAACAATCTCAGAAGTAGTAACATCTATATTTATAAACTTCCCGCTCCCACCTTGTAAACCATTCTAATCCACTGATTCTCGCCTTTGGCTACGAGAATATTTCTTTAGAAAATTATTTCAAGAAGGGTAAAGAGATTCTGGATTATAAATTAAGCATAAAAGAAAATATTTAAAAGAAAAACCCATGTCAAAATTGTTAAGTAATTTCTTTTAACAAGTTTCTTATGTTCATATACATTATATACATTACTTACCTACCTATACATGTGTATTGTAAATATATTGAAAGATTATATATTTTGAATAAATTTTAAATTATATATATATATATTATAAAAACCGATAAAGTGAGTATAGATCGCAAGGGTCGTGGCGTCCAAAACATTCGTGTGCTACGTAAACAATGTTAAACAAACGTATTAAAATTGGGTTAGATTAATATACGATTGATTTGATGTTTCCACTAGTTCGTTTGACGTTCTATTCGAACTTGTCTGATATTAAGATTCACCAATTATTACAAATATAATATAATTCTAGACAACCATCCCTGCCACCTCCACGTGTTTTGTAGAAACATAAGATAAATAAATAAGTAAGAGAGGAAAAATGCACTTATTCGGCGTGCGCAGGTCTATAATGCGTGTGTTCTGTGCGTGCACATTCGTCGTGGCGAAGTTATGCGGCGGTCTGGCCGGCCCAATATTATAAATCATAATGTACGTTATTAGAATACTAATATTATAATACAAATTAATATGTACGTGTGAACGGCTATTTGGGCTCGGAATGAACTTTTTTTTACTTTATTCTTCATTACTCTTATCCTTTCTACCATACACAGGTAAATTACGTTAAACGAAATACGTTTATGTAACTACACTGATAATGGCATGATCCCTATACGGTGATACGAATCGGTTTAAACATAGAATATTTATAAAAAGGTCTACTGATACTGCGTGGAGGTTGATGTAAAGCTTAGATATTATCAGTACAATAGCACTTACTCAACTTGGTATAAGTAGTTCATCAGAATAACTCTTTAAGACTTAAGAGAAAAAAATATTTAATCACGATAAAGTTGTTTATTAAAGTATTTTTATAGCTATCAATGATAAAAATTAATTCATGGTTATATTTGTTATACATTTATAATATTATTATTTTTATTTATTTATTGATATGAACACCAATCGAGGCATTATATGAAGTATTAAATATAATATGTAGAGGTAGTTAAAACATTAGATAATATAATTGATATAGATAACAACATTTTATAACAAAATAAAATAAAATTACAAAAAAAATCAAAGCCTAACATCAAAATTACAATAAAATTTAAACAACGCATTACTATCATTAAAGGATCATTCATTAAAAAAAATAAATAAATTATAACAGGAAATTACGAAATAGACAGTCTAATAGAATTTAGTATGGGCCATTAGAGCTCGAATAGGTGAGGTACATCAATCTTACCCTATAGTAATTTAAAATGACTGGTTCATAATAATGCTGGGGATGACCGGTTTTTAAAAAGAAAGCTGCATAACTCAGGAGACATTTCTGAACTCGTTCAACTACCTTTATTTCAATTTAAAAATGAGGAATCTAAATTATTAATCCACAATTCAGAATAAAACGTAAAAGAACGGAATTAAAGGAATTTCCCTGATTTAATAAGAGGGAAGACTTCATCTCCTACTTAGGTACGCCACTGATTTATTTATGTTTATTATGGCGTACGATCGACGCTTCACGCGTTTCGCTATGTAAATCAATGTTAAACGGGTAGGTAAATAATTGGTTCATAAATTATTATTATTAAGTTGCTAAAGAAAAACTCGCACTCTCGTTTAGCGTAAATTGTTGTTATAAACAGCTGCATAAATAAAAAAAAAATAAAAAAAAATAATATAGTAACTTATAATCAACCTTTCAGTGTAAAGTGCTAAAACAGTTTTGTAGTATGTTCCATTGATTTCATATAATTGTACATAACCAAACTGTGTGGATAAACTGACTATTATTTCTATTTTTTTTTTAGCGAGGAAACTGAAATAAATAAATAAAAATAATAATAATACAAATAATTGTTTATTGGGGTCGTTTTACCCTTTAATTTGGTTCATGTGTTTATGTAAAGTTTTAAATAGAAATATTGGCCTGGAAGTCTTAATGCATATATCCATCATTTAAGCATTATATAAATTAAAAATAAATAAAGTTGTTAATTTTTTTGTCATAAATATAAATAATATAATTTTTCCACTTGGCAGTTTTATTTTAAATTTCAAAAATTACTAATATTCAAATATTTGACTCTTTTATGAATTTGTATTTACCTATTTACTATAAAAATGTAAAAATACATACAAATTTTCCAATGATTGTGCCTCTTTATCTTGGTTTACTTCTTCATTATATTTTTTAGTGATTTTTTTTTTCATAACTCATGAAATATTTGCATCAGTATGTTATGATTTTAAAACTACAATGTCTTCATAATTATTTTAATTATCATTTAAACTAATTCAATATTTTAGATTTAATCTGTCTTTCCATTTTAAATGTTTGTTTGTAATTGTAAACAACTACTGTAAAGTAGAAATCTGATCACCCTAAGAATAATACAGGGTGATTCTACTAAGGTTAAACACTAATCATTTTAAAGGTATTAACGTAGTTGGAATGTTTTTATACTATGTGAATAGAGGCAGATTCAATAAATTTACTTTAAAAACAAATAAATCTATGTAATGGATCTTTTAGTTAACTAATCCATTGTTTTGAAAGTAATTTTGACATGTTGTTATAATACGCGCTTTATAATCCAACAATATACAACTTTTTTTTTTTTAATTATAATTAACTATATCTTTGGTTCAGTTTAAATTAAAACCAGGTCGAGTAAAAATGAACTTGAGTAGAATAAAAACTGAATATCTATTATTATATTACTGAATGTAGAAATTTTGAAAAACCTTACATTGATGTTCATTTAAAAATTAATTTTTTATAATATTGCCTCGTACATATCGTTATCACCGCTATAATAGGTTACCAAACATTTATAACTATACAACACTCAATGTACATTGAATGTCTTGAATGAAAAATTATAAACAAAGGCGGTGTTTTTATTATGGATATCATTAAAAAACAAAACAAAATTTAATGTTAAGAAATAATAACACGAAAAATTAGCACGCTTACAGTTACAGTGTTACATTGCTGCCATTTAATGATAACTTGACTTAATATCTATGATTTGGACCTTGTATAGAGCACCTACAGATATGTCGTTAATTCACTATTATTGGCGAACCTCTGGTCATATATTACACCACACAGGTGTTCTTTTTCGAATGTATACAATATTTTATGCAAGTGTCTTGTCAAATTGCAGCTTTGATTAAGTTACTTTATACACATACTTGTAGCACGTGTACGGTTTTTAGCCCATATGCGTTTACCGATGTGCAGTGAAATTTTCGATATTGATGAGTAATTTATTACACATGTCGAGTGATTACTGTCTCTTGCTTACGTGCCTTTTTAGCCCACGTGATGAAATCATTCATTGTAGAGTCTTTGATTTCAAATCACAAAAAGTCACGCATCCTATTATATCTTACTAGTTTATATTACTAATTTAATACTGGTAAACCGAATTTAAATGTAGGTTTATTTATAATTTTTAACTAACAACCACGTATACATTTTTTGTAACATGATTACTAGACTATTTTGTTTATTGTTTATATCAATTATAATTTATTGACTACACCAGGTTTTTAAGTCAATATGTTACTCTTTACAACTTATAATATTAATATTCAAAGTAGTTAATAAAATACAATGAAATAAGTTATAGAAACAGTTACGCATAATTTCTATCAAGTCTTAATATTTTATTTTACTGTTGTTTATCAAAAATACTGTATGCAAAAAAAAGAAGAAGTTTATAGTCTTTATTTTAGGTCACAGTAATGGATGTGTTTGATTTAGATTCAAGGATAAATATTATTACTTACCTAGGAAA